CCTGTTATATATTTTTCTTCTTGAAGGTGTCTTTTTCAACATGTCCGATTACCATGTTACAATCTGTTGTATGATAATGTCTTGATTGGCTTGTCAAGTCAAACAGTAGAGCCCCTTATTGAAAAATTTCAGCTCACCTCCTCCCTGGTCTACTAACAGACCTGAGAATTAGGCATCAAAGACCCATGTTGTATAAGACTAGTAGTAAATATAATGCTGCTCATCCTCTCTGGAGGAAGCTCATACTAAATTTAATTACTATATAAGTAGACCATTGTCCATCTTATATTTCTTGCAGCAGATTGACATATCAAAACATCTCATATTAATCACAATAACAACTTCAGGCATTGTCTATTGTTTACATTCCAAAGTACAATCAGACTAAAAAATGTCAGCTTGCATTAGGCTGCACAAATACTGCACTGCCTGCAGCAATGTCAATCATAATATGTCTTGTCTAGCCTTGAGAATGTCTTACCCTACATTAGACTTTCTATTTCAGAAATAATTAGTCTTTTGATAATAAAATGAAATGTCATAACACAGTTGCATCAATAAATCACTTGTTTACATATAAATCTCATATATATAGACAAGAAAACATTGGTCAGCGACAAAAATGCATGGCAATGTGTTTATTGCTTATGAATAGGCAGAACATTCAATGAGAAAACAAGGATTGAAATGTTCAATAGTTAATTGGGCACAAGAATGAATAAATGATTTCCATCCTACTTTTCTGCATCAAGGCAGTAAACCAACTTCTCATGTTTACCATAAGGGGCTGACTTTTGCAGGATGTTTTGTCATATTTTCAACAAGATTTCTTACTATTCTTTGTAGCCATCTGACTGAGGTGGGGGATATAAAGGATATCCTTGAGAAGGATATTCGCCATTCCGTGATATCATGTTTTTTTTTATTAAATACTTTATCTAATTATGGCATACAGCTAATCAGTTATTCTTATGCTGATGGAGTAATAATTTAGAGGATGGCTGAACATTAAGTTTCATATTTAGGTTTCTTGTCTGATATCTTGAGAAAATTGAGATAATGACAGTAAAACTTATTGAAATCGAGATAACGACAGTTGTAAAATTGAGAATAATTATCAGGTTCTGTCAAGTCTGCTGGAATATTCCAAGATAACTTCACATAAAACACTTCTATTTTCCAGCACATCAAAACGTTTCTCGATTCACGAATAATGTCTTGAAAGCTATAAAACTGTCTGAAGGTGATAGTTGATAGAGATCATTTACTATCTTTTAATAGCTCTGAAAATAACATCATGGAATAAAACAGGAATAAGTCTATCAGAACAGTTATACCAATAGATATAGATGAAAATTGGTATATGACAAGCACTTTGGCAGATCTTATATGCAAGTGAAACACAGCAAATACTGGAATGTTTTACACAGTTACTATATTCATATTCAATCTTTCTATTTTTTCAGTTAAATTTTCAGCTTTTTGATTTTGTCAGAATGGATATTTTGTTATAGTATTTGAAGTTGTTTTTTTAAATAAATTTGGATACAAATAAGTAACATAGTCATATAGTACTTTTACTATTTGGCATCATATCCCTTTTCAAAAACTTCAGATGTTGTTATGACTCAAATTATTCAGAAAAATTTCTATGATATAAATACAGATAACTAAATACATATACAAATTTAACATCTGCCTCTATTATCTACTTATCTACCTTTTTATTCTCTTAACAATAAAGAGCTATTATGAAAAGGGACATAGATTCAAATTAAGAAGTTGGTAGTAATCTATTTACTGATCTCAGTAGTGGAGATAGTGAAAGATATATTGTTAGTATAACAAGCAGATGTTTTTTAGTCCAGTTTATGGTTTTCTAAATATTTATAATACCATATAGTTAGTAATGGAAATGACTCTAATCATATGAACTCACTGACTAGTACATTTGCTGGTGTCTGACAGGAGTGTTAATATTTGCTTCAGTTGCTAGTCATGCCCTGCTGAATATAAAATAAACTAGAAGCACAGATTTCAATATATAAAAGCAATTATTTTGGATACTTTTAACTAGTTTTTTGTTTTCAAAATTATATTCGTCTCATTGCCACATTATCAATAAATAGATACAACAGTGATTCACTTTATTGAAATAGTTTAAATTAAGCAATGAATTTCAACCTATAAAAGCAACGTTTTTCTTAGGAGAGGATTTGCCTGTACTCATGTAATATATGCGAGCATTGCCTCATTCTGTTCTAATCAACCAATCAAAGCATCTTACTTTAAAGCCATTAACTATATGCATGTTCATATATACTGTTACAAAACAAAATGTAAAATTAGCTATGTAGAAGTATGTTGATTGGCCAGTTTGAAAATCATGTGACATCATGAATATTTATAACCTCAATACCTGTAACAGTAACAGTTTTTGGAAGTGTTGGAAGAGAAAATGTTTTCACCTTGGTTGAAGCTTCACATACCATTGATCTCTTTCTCATGTGACATAGCCGTGTTGTGGAAAAGAGTGCAGTGTAAACGGTATAGATGAGACTGGCTGGGTCCAGACCAAGTACAGTTTGCTTCAAGTGGGCCAATTTTTATGGCAGTGACTAAAGTCATTATACATATAGGGGCACGTAGAGAATGCTGATGATTAAATTAAGTCCTATGTTTAATCTAGAAAATTTGAGGGCAAAGACCTTTGCCTGCTCTAGTTTCACCTAATCCATCAATGTAATGTTTTGTAAGGAGAATAAATATATAAACAATATGTTAAGAGTATGTAGTTTAATTCTATAGACTCTCTAGTGTTATATCAACTCTGTAGGGTTTTATGTCATTATATATATTGATATAAACTGGTCTGTCTATTAAAAACTTAAAACATTTATTAACAATATACACAATTGTCAAATTTGTTTTTATAGGAGGGGCTCTAGAAAAAAATAACCTCCAGTTTTGATAAAATTATGAAAGTTAATTAAAATATCAAAAATATTTCGAAATTGGCAGTGAAATTCTTTGAATGGCAGTTGCAGTATTTGGCTTGAATAGGGTCAGATGGTAAAGTCATGATTTATAGGAGATTTTGCACAGTGTTTTTGAACCCGGTTTCTGGTTAACTTTTCACTAACTTAGAAAGGAATTTGAATTGAACCTTAAACAGGTCATATTTGGAGCTGGGCGATAAAATAGGATTGTTGACATTCTTATTACACACCAATTTGTTGTCTGAGATTATATCCTGATAACATGTTTGCACGTGATTTCAATCTGCTAGTTGTGAGGTTTTGAATTTAGAAACTTAACTTATTATTTAGGTAGCTGTTAGAAGCTCATCATTCTCATCCACCCAATAATTTCAGCCACAGATCTATCTCAATAATATGATCAATCACTAGACATGTATTTAATATTGAATTAATAATTTGGACAGTTTCAGTTTTCTGATTTTAAGCTCAATTGACATAATAATCAATCACAATGAAATATAGCTGGATTTGAATTTTTCTTCACATGCAAGACTATTGTCACTAACAATCCTAATCAAGATCTGTTCATCAGTTAAATGACCAAATTATCTCTTAATCCCCCCCAAACCACATGCTCTTATATTATTTCTTTTCACACAGAGAATAGGCGGCATTGTCACAAAATTGTCACAGGTTTTGATCTGAAATGAACTGAGATTTAAACAGTCTCAAACTTTTAACAGTTCTTTTGATTGGTTAGCATAAATGATGACAACTTTTGAGCTATTGGATCAAAACTCCATAGAACACAATTTAAAGAAGAATTTTGTCAGATCATGGATGACAACTGCAAAAAATGCAAACAAAAAAGCATTAATATCTGCATATTTTTCAGTAATTTAAGATTTAAATACTGCAATTGATAAGACATAAATGAAAGATGTATTTAAAAGCTAACAGACACACCCTACTTTCACTTGATAAATAATTAGACTATTGAATTTCATGCATAGAAACCTAATATTTCACTGTCACTAGCTCTAGCTGCTCTATTTATTTTTGGGAACAGTTGGTATGTTTTTCATGGTTGATTTCTTGCATAAATTTTATGTACATAGTCTTCAGAGATACTAAAACTGCATAAAAATTGCATAATCCCTTCAAATATACCTCAAACTAGAGATTTCACTTTCTATTTCTATATTTGTCTTTTCTATATATGACCTCAAGAAAGGACAAGTCGTCATTTTAAATTTAAACGCTGATAATTCTAGACACACATGGATTTGAAGGCTCAAAGTTTGACGACAAGCTATGAACAATATTATCGATTAGCTAAGACAAATAATTCCTGTTTCTAAGGTATGATTGGTCAAGCAAATGGAGATCTCATTTCTCTTTGACTAAGACATAAAGAGTCAAAACTTTGTGAACATTATCGGTGAAAAACAAAGTCTACCAGTGGAAGAGTTCAGAAAGCCTGAAAAAACTTAACCCTTAATTGCCAAGGTTTTGTTTTAAAAAAAAATTAATATAATGATTGAAAAAGTCAATAACATCTTGTGTTTTTGACAACTTTAGAGTATGGTGTCATATGCTATGAGTGGTAGACAATATATTTTCATTCAATTATAGAGGAAATTTTTAAAATTAAAAAATTAGCCGCAAAATCTATTATTTTGAAGTATGTAGTGTTTTTTTCTCATATCAGAGGCACACATTATTACAGTCTAGATTAAATGCCTTGATTACATTCTTCTATTTACCTGTATGCCTTGTGGCACTATATTTAATACCATCAAAGGTTATGAATTTGTCTGTCACTCTGTCATTATAATAGAGCTGCCAGCAATCTAATAATGTAATGAGAATATGTCTGCTTTTGTCCTTATCATTCTTAAACTAAGATATGCATGGAACTGTTAACAAATTACATGTAATACTACACTACATAACCGGGCATTACAGCTCATAACGCACACTTATGAAATGCAGTTATCTCAATATAACAGTACTTACCTTCCTGTCTCGATCAGAATAGGGTATAGCAAGCCATGGCATTAATGAAAAATATTCTTTAAATCCTTCCTCATCTTTGTCCCAACTCACAAAAATTATCTCTAAATTTTCACCTTTATCGGATTTTTTAAAATTTGAATAAAATTCAGCAAGTTTCGGTGTGAATCCTCTACAAGGAGGACACCAATGAGCAGAAAAATAAAGTCCGACAATTTTGTCTTTTCCACATAATGACTTTGTTGGAACTTTGTCACCGTTTTTCTTAATTACATTGTCACCTATTAATCCTTCTAATTTCGATGCCATCGTCCTGAAGTCTATTAAACATGGAATCCTTGAAGAATATTGTACAGAACACGTTCAATACGACCGCCTCTGAAAGAGACTAAACTAAAAATAGACTTCTTTATTCTAGTTTGGGATAGATGTACGAAGGCCCATTGAGGACTTATTATAATGTAATATAGTCAGGTGCGCCAATAAAGAAATGGGGAAAATTTAAAAATCGTTACTCTCTTTCGCTTGATCAAAGAAGATTAAGCAGTAACGGTTAATACAATCTGCCCTCTTACCTGTGTATTTTTATGACCTTACAAGATTCTTGTCTTTTGAGCTCGAAAGGGATCCGTCTATGACGATGGGCATTTTCATTATATGAGTGTAACATTATGGAAGGGCATGTATGATTCGTTTTTGTCTTTTAAAGCTTGCCTATATTATTAGCACAATATGATTGATATGTTTGTTCATTTATTTTTTTGACAAATGTAATTAAATGCCTAGAACATGATTCTCCGGTCTTTACAATTATACTGGGGAAATAATTAAAGAGGAAAAACCAATGTCAATGTCAATTACATCTCGACTGAAAGGGTGTTTCAAATATTCAAATAATTAGTTAATAAATCGGTCTTTAGACAGAGTGAAAATCTAACAAAGACTTATCCTATTAAACATTATATATACAGTCAAAGCACCAATTGTGTCTAAAATATAAGAAAGGACGAGCAGTTAGGAATATCTATCTAACCATGTGAATATTGAATGGGTGTGTGCATGCGATAAAGAATTATAATCAATCCAATTATTACTATTTTCTGTCTGCAGCCTGCTTGATTATAATCGATATTTCTGATTAGTTTTCACTTCAATCGTGTCATTTTGACTTCATAAAAAATTTCCCTTTATTGGAAACCCAACCAGACAGAATCAAAGGAGAAATCTGCATTATTCATTTCGCCATTACTTCTATCTGCATTATTCAGGCGTCCAGAGAGGGAAAAATTGAGAAAATGATTTTCTGCTACATTCTGAGTATTTGTTTAGAGTTTAATGCCGTTTAATGCGTCTGACAATAATAAAGCTTTTTATTGACAAAGAAGGAACAGAGTATGGGCATGGGTAAAAAGAAGTAAATGGGTTTCAGAAATGGTGGCCTATATAAATTAAAAGTAGCCAAAACATAGCCTAACCAAAGAAATCATATACATGCATTTTCAAATATACATAAAAATGATATTAGGCTTCGCAACCTTCGCATATGCCTTGGGTGGAGTGACCACAGAACAAAGGAATAAAACAGGCCTAGTTCTGTTAATAAGAAATATAAACAAAGTCATTGATATTATTATTTTATTTATCTTAACCTGTTTCATCTGTTAACAGATGATAAACATTCTCTAAGCAACAGGTAGCATTCTGACAGCGCGGGAAATTCTAGCAGACGTACTGAAATCAGATGTCTTGACCACCAAATAACCTTCAAAATTATTTAGAACAATATTCAAATGACGATCACAGAAAAGTTGATCTTTTTTTACGGTCAAAAGGTACGAGATCAGTCTGAGAATCATTGACATCGTGCAGTATCCAATTGAGATAGAGAAATATAAATCTACATAAGGTCCTCAAATAGGCCTTATGAGCTTTTAATATAGAATGATTCCACCATAAATAGAAGAATTATAATGTAGGTTAATTATTTTTTAACATGTGACGTAATACACACCTTCTCGAACAGAGCTTATAAAATGGCATCAACTTCTTAAAATGGATATATGGCGTATAGATTACATTCTCCAAACCCCGACCTTTACCTAAATCGTAATCATTATATGCATCCAATTATAGCTTCATGTATTAAGCCTACCAGTCGAAACTAATGGATGTCCTCACGCCCTTTGGATAAAGACTTAGTCAACTAACCCGACGAAAAGAAAATTGGTCATATGAATGCCGAAATTTTCCTCTTCTTTAACTGCAGGCTCTACTAGAAACAACCAAAGTAAAAAGAAACCAGAAAAGTTATAGAGATAATATTTCAGCTATAAATCACAATAAGATGGAATTTGGCAGGAATCCATGTTTATCAAAAAATAAAATAATTAATTGATCTCTGTTTATCTGAAATTCTAACTTTCCAATTTCTAGATAATTACTTTACTTGGAGAACTTTCAAATTTTAAGTAAAGAATATATCAAATCCGTTTTAACTTATAAAAGTCTATCCTTTTTCAATTAAGATATATACCTAAATCTTGTCCGAAATATCTGCCTCTATATTCCAGCCTGTGATAGCTATTATAGCCAGAATAGAGGTAGATGTTTCGTACTAATCTAAATCCTACAACTGATATTTTAAGTGTGGTACAATCTTGTATTCTTGTAAGACAGGCCTATTCCTTTTCTTGATAAGATATTCTAAATCTCGTGTTAAAATATAGATAGGTTCTCGTGATAGGCTATCCCGTGTGGTAGATGTTTTTGAGTTAGTAAAAATGAACTAAACTGAATGGAGTTATACGTCCTACTTTCCTGCAATTGATTGGGCTAATGATGGCAGGTAACGCAAAGTTCCAAACAGTGAAAGTGGCACTTCAGTTTATTTACTTGAGAAACCCTGGACTAGCAGCTTTTTCCACATCAGTCATTCCGACCTGCAGCACTGACAGGGGCAAGGATGAGTTAGTAGATCGTATATCATGTAATAGTCCAATATATTAATCATAGCCTATATTTGCTTATTATTTCATTTACAGAATATCTATAACCATTTATCAACTCTTATCGGTATGATGAATGAGTTTATGTAGAATTGACAAAAAATCTTAGTAATGATAACATTGAGCTAATTTTATAGTAATTGAGAATCGTGAGGTATTCTTATGAGTTTTTGTCGGACGGTGGTCACCATTAATTTCTTTTCAATCTCGCCACCTCCTTAAGGCACGTGCCACTAAGGATGTTTATTGTTGGCGCGTGTCTAAAAGAATCTCAAGTGTTTTCCTGGCTTTGATGAAAGTTGGTAAGATCTCAACTATTAACACTTATGTTTTTGAGGTCATAAAGTTCCGAGTTAATTATATCTGAAACATAAACTTCTTCATAGAGTGAACAAAGCATTTTGCGGACAAACCAATTGAATGACTTAATTGTTGAACTAATTTATTCAATTATTGTCTACAAAACATTTTCTTGACTTTTTTGTCATTTTATTTTTTCGTGAAATAGAAGGAAACACAGCTAGAATGATTAAAATAGAAGCATTCTGCGAAACACACAAAATATCGAGAAAACCCCTTCCAGATCTATAGCAACAATTTATAAAACGGGTCCATAATGGACTATGGCCTTCCAAGTCGAAAACATTTGCCTCATGTTTATTTGGACAGCGACAAAACCCTTTGAATTGATATTATAAATGCAGTATTTAAAAGCTAAATATATGAAAATTTACACTGAGAAATAGACCAATCAAACATTTCACAAAAAAGGATCTTTGGACAAAATATAGCCTTGACTTTTGCGGGCTAAGATCTCGTGCCAAGATATCGTTCATTACTCTAGTGTTATAATTAGGCTAATCTAGATGTTCCTAACTAATAGGGAATACGCTTTCGTGGCTTCGTATATTGTTTTGATATTGTGTCATAATTAAGTTAATTGTCGATAAAAGACTTTTATAATAAGCAAGCATCGGAAGAATAACCAATTTGTGCAGCTAATATGTTCCTGTGGTCGAAGGGAGATAATTCATTTGTTGTCAATGCTGTAAGCGGTGAAAATAAATCTGAAGCCGCTGATATCATTAAAACATTGTTCATGAAAGAGTTAACTCCCCTACTTCAATGTCAATAAATTTCTTGAAAAAGGTAAATTTCAATGATAATTACTTCATTACAGTGTGATTGCTTGTCTTTTTTCGCTTTTTGTCATGCATATATACATTTCTTATCAGGGAAATCCAATTTTTTTTCTTTGTGGTGATTGCCATCAATTTTTGTGGATGGAAACTAAATGTCTCAAATGAAATTGAAATAAATTGATCATCGGTATCATTTTAATTTATCAGATAATATAAGCATAAAAAAAATCAAAAGATTCAATCAATGTCAACGAATATGACATTTCTGATTTTTACCATAACCACCAGAATTGCATTTTTTCAGATTGAGTTTATAATATTGTTATTACTGTAAACATGACCTCAAGAATTCCTGGTGTCAGTTCCAGACATTTGTTGAACAGGCTCAAATCATGGTAAGTAATAATCTTTTGTAGGCTAATGTAAGCAGACTTCTGGAAAGGCATGTTGAGTTTACAAACCTAATGACTTTGTTGGAGGCAGCAGAGCAGAATGGTGGACAGCTCTGATAACCTTCTATAGAACCTGTGTGTATGTAGATGTGTATGTAATTGATGGTACTGATAGATAAATGGTATGAACAATTTATGTTTCGTTCTTCTGATCTTGGCCAGTGCTTTTATTGACTGATATTATGAATTATGAATTTCAGGAATCTGCAAGGAATAAGACATGGGTCTACCATACCTCACCAACCGATAACTAAAGTATTGATAGCTAATAGAGGAGAGATAGCTTGTCGCGTCATCAGAACAGCTCAGAGTCTGGGCATTCGTAGTGTAGCTGTTTATAGTGAGGCTGATAGAAACTCTTTACATGTTGCTATGGTAACTATTTTATATGCTACAATATGAATTTTTGCCAAAATACAAAGTTTCCTGCTATGGTATGGCGTATGAAGGATAGAAGAGGAGTCAATCTTACCCAATTCTCAAAATGTGATCCTTGTAGATATATAGTATTATGTGATGATTTATAAGGCATTTTAAGAAATGTCTTAGCTCCGTTATAACTTTGAAAAATTTGTTTTATTTCACAACCAAGTGGTTTTTTAGAAAATGCATCATTTAATTTACTGGATTGTACACTGCAGAATGATGATTACAAATTTGCTCTTATCATTGCAGGCAGATGAGGCATATTTTATTGGTCCTCCACCAGCCAGTCAAAGTTATTTATGTCAAGATAAAATACTAGAAGTTGCAAAACATTCTGGTGCTCAGGTACAATATTCTTTCATTTTTATTCTCATCTTTAAAGGGATTTATAAAAAGATCATTTTTTGTGTTTTTGGGACACTGATAGCTTCGATTTGCACCATTCTCAAAATTTAGATAAGATGTCTGTGTTTTTTTTTCAGCTTAAAGAGGTGAGACAGAGAAACCTTGAATTGTTTGTAAGGATGATATATCTTTGTCTTTAGGTTTTGCTTAGGATATCATTATTTGTTTGTTCTAGAAGTAGAAAAGATATTTTTAATTGCAGGCAGTTCATCCAGGTTATGGTTTTCTATCAGAGAATACAGAGTTTGCTGAGTTATGTGAGAAAGAAAACATAATATTTATTGGGCCACCTGCTTCTGCTATTAGAGATATGGGTATTAAAAGGTATGCTTATATTTCAGCTTTCTCAACTCGTATTGTTTAGTATTTGACATCTGATTGAATGAAGATATTATAGATTTTTATACCTCAGGTGCAAACCTTTAGAATTTTTATGGAGTATAGAACATAGAGCATCTGCGATCCTACGTTGCACCCGGATGTTTGATAGCTGTACAAGAACACATCACATTCTAGAAAGGGTCCATATTGAAATGTTCAGGATTTATTCAAAAATGGATCTTATTCATCTTCTGTTAAAACTCTTGGATTATTTGATTGAGTCAGAGCTGTTTAGTATATTTGAATATTTAGAGTATCTAAATTATTGTATTTTAAAATGCATTTGCTTATCGATTTTTCTTGCAGTACATCAAAGGCTATTATGTCGAAAGCTGGTGTACCTATAATAGAAGGTTACCATGGTGAGGACCAATCAACTGAAAGATTAAAACAAGAAGCTGATAAAATAGGTTATCCTATCATGATAAAAGCTGTCCGAGGTGGTGGGGGAAAGGTGAGACCATTAGAAATTTAAACATCAGTTGAAGAACAAATATTTGAATAGCAAATCTTTCAGCTACATGTTAGTCAGCAAAGGGAGAGAATTTGACCTAGATTTAGGGGTGGTTCGATTAATGAGTTATGCACGTTTGGGATTCATGAAATCAATCAACAAAACAAGTTGGAACTAAATACGAATATTTGAATATTTCAGGGTATGAGAATAGCCATGACAAAAAATGACTTTGATGATCAATTAGAATCAGCTAAAACGGAGGCTATGAAATCTTTTGGTGATCAGATTATGTTATTGGAGAAGTATGTTGAGACACCAAGGTATGTTAATAGAATATTCATGGTTACTTTAAAATTCTTTGACTAGAAATCATCTATTTATCAAAAAGACTACAGATTTGATATTGAATAACTGAAGTTAAGTGTATGTGTATGAATTATTTGCGTTATCTTACATCCAATACATGTTTTTTCTGTAATAATATTCGAGAATCAGCATTATAAATTATGGTATATTTCAGACATGTAGAAGTTCAGGTATTTGGTGATCGTCATGGTAACTATGTATATTTATTTGAAAGAGATTGTAGTGTACAGAGAAGACATCAAAAAATCATTGAAGAGGCACCTGCTGTAAGCTTTCTCAAATTATAACATCCTGTTTCTCAATAAATCTTGAAATAAAGCTTGTCTTAAGAATGGTATATCTCAACATAAAATTACAACTTTCGACTAATTTTTATCATAAGTATTTTAACAACCTTATATTGACACATTTTTCAAAGGCCTTAAAAAATTTTACATTTAAGAATTTGCATATACATGCTTGTTACATTTGCAACTGTTGATTTAATATATAATAATGGAATTTGTAAAATATTTTGCAGCCTGGACTAAGTGAAGAAGTAAGGAGATCTATAGGAGAAGCTGCAGTAAGAGCAGCTGAAGCTGTTAATTATGTTGGTGCAGGTAATGTTATATTATATTCATATTTTATTTCTTATATTGGTTATACATAAATTTTTGGTTTTGAAATGCTTTTCATTCATAATTTCACTATCAAATAGTTCTTTAATCTGAAATAATGTAGAATGTAGAAATAACAGTGTTATTATTATATATATTATAGGTACTGTAGAGTTTATAATGGATAAACACCAGAAGTTTTATTTTATGGAGATGAATACCAGATTACAAGTTGAACATCCTGTAACTGAGATGATAACTGGTACAGATCTCGTGGAATGGCAACTCAGGGTAAAATGACACATATTTAATCATGGGGGCTGGGGCATTGAATTAGAGGCTGTGCTGCCCATGTCTTGTGCACTAGGCAACTCTCTCTCACTTTGTTAATCTATATTCTTAACTTTATTTATCTTGATTCTTTAGCAAGTTAAGCTCTTTGTTCACTTTGTGGGGTTTGAATTGATTAATTAAACCATGGTTTCTCTTTGACATTGTCCAGTGAGGTTGTCATTGATGATGTGTCTACTTCATTAGATGAAACAAATTTTCTGCAGTTATATTGGTAGAATTTCTCCCATTGCACAATGGTGTTGGCTTTCTAATAACTAAACAATGTTCACATCAGCAGTATTATGGAACCGTTGTCTTTTCTAGGTTGCTGCAGGAGAAAAAATACCTAAAACTCAGAAAGAACTCAAGTTGAAAGGTCATGCATTTGAAGCTAGAATATATGCAGAAGATCCCAACTCTAATTTTATGCCTGGGGCAGGTCCTCTCTTACATCTATCTACACCTAATCCTACTGATGACATTAGAATAGAGACAGGGGTTAGACAAGGTACGAGTCCTCCGTTTTAACCTGATTCTGTTTGCACATTTAACTTCAAATAGATAGGTTTTTTAAACCACTGCAAAACTTAATCTTTGTTTCTTTCAACCTCGATCAAGGAAGACTCAGTACTCATAATTCTTGGTGATGTTTCATAACTTTATGATTTACATTTAATTATCAATGAAATGTATACAGTTGTCTGTTTGGTTGTGCCTTGGATCACCTAATATAATGACATGGAGTCTAGTTTGTCTGTTATAGTAAGTTATTTGTGGTATTTTGGTTGTATTATAGGAGATGAAGTATCAGTGTTCTATGATCCTATGATAGCTAAACTAGTAGTATGGTCTGAAGACAGGCAATCAGCATTACAGAGAACAATAGCAGCTTTAAAACAATATCAGGTACACTTTTCATCTTATATTCTCAATGTAAGGTCTTCTCATTCATACTTCATATATCAATACGTTATCCATCAGTATTAATGTTATACTATTGGTTTTTAGGTGATATTCTCACGTGTATCACAGGATTTTATGATTTTAGGCCTAGTGTATTATGACACTAATTTCTTCAGTCGAATTCCCAAAAATATAGGTTACACATAGAAGCTGATTAATAGAAATGGTCTAAAATAACTTATTACATTTTTCAGGTAGTTGGTCTAAGCACCAACATCCAGTTTCTATTAGACTTAGCCAACCATAAAGAGTTTCAAGCAGGAAATGTTAATACAGATTTTATACCACAATATTCTAAAGAATTATTTCCAGACCAACCTTTGACCTCACAGGCTATATGTCAAGCTGCTCTAACTATGATATTAAATAAACAAGATCAGTTATATCGCACCAGTATTGATTCTCTAGGTAGGTTATAAATCAACTAGTCATCACTACATAAGGCGGAAATTTCCAACAGGTTCAGTGACTTGTAGAAATACGAAAAAAAACCTAAATTCTCAAACCAGCTGTGTACCTACTGATAAGTTGTTAAAAAAAACATTTCAGTTATACTTTCTCCCATTGTCTAATACATATTATATTTATATCTAAAACTGTCTGTTTTAGATCCCTACTCACCATTCTCCTGGTCTACTGGTATGAGAGTTAATGAAAATAGAACACAAACAGTTTCATTATTTGATGGAGATAATGGTAGGGCAGATTTTTTGTTTCATATTTCTCATAAAAATAAAATCATGTGTTTACTACGCCAAGCAAAATACCTTTGTTCTTTGTCAGAAATGATTTCAAATTGATGTGAGTTTCTATGGAAGAGTGATGCTAGCGGCACATCTATAGTAGCATTGAAATTGTATTCAATTTACTTTTTTTGGTATACTCCAAGTTATGTGATGTTACATTAAGGCAACTCCATTATTGTATAAAAGCACCTTAATTCTGTGAAGACATATCGTTTTGGTTAGTGTAAGTCAGCCTTATTTTAAAACAAACTCTTTCTAATAAACATATAACAAACCTTTCGTTCCTTCCTCCCACTAGAAATATCAGTAGAGATCATACAGTATTCTAACAGTGAGTTTGAGATCAAGACACCTGATGGCAGTATACATGAAGTAACTGGTGAGATAGAGAATAGTGGTGATAAATTAGAACTAACGTGTTTTATTGATGGTATTAAATCATCATCTTCTATAGTTATTAATGGTAACTCTCTACATCTCTTCTCAGGGGTAAGTTTATGAAAGTTTTGTTTAGTTCTTGAGTCCAAAAATACCATTGTTTTGCCCGACAGCATATTGATAAGTGTGGTGAAAGTGTCTTATGCCCAAAATTGAAATTAAAAGTAGTATTATTGATATACATTTGAAAATACAATAATAAAATATTTTCAATTTTGAAATAGTACTCAAAACATCCATTGTAGAGCCATATAGAAATATTAAAACAGAAGCTAATTAAACCTGTTGTTTCTCAGAGCAAGGCAGCATTACATGTCCTTCACTTTTATTGATAATGAAAATGATCAGCTTTAATACTATTGTTCTTATTTTTGTAGACTGGAAATCGTGAATTAAAACTTCCAGTACCTAAATACATGGAATCTAAGATAGGAGGAGGGGCAGCAGGAGATGCTGTAGCACCAATGCCAGGTGTTATAGAACGTGTATCAGTAAAAGAAGGATCTAGGGTAGAACAAGGAGATCCTGTAGTAGTTATGATTGCCATGAAAATGGAGGTGAGGTCAAATATATTTAAGCATTTTGGCACTTTATGGTTCAATGGAAGGGAGAATACCTCAAGTTGTGATATTCAATGCTTAACCAAGCTTTCCTGATGAAAACTTCATATCTGAAACACATAGCATGATTTTAGCTCTTTTCTTGTGAAAATATTTTCCCTCTCAAATTATAAAATAATACTGTCTAGTTCTATTTGTTCTAAAGGCCCCTTTTCCAGTTGATAAAGAGCTGAGGAGAGCTTCTCATCTTTTAACAAATAGATTGAGCAGTTGCAAATATTTAAATAAGGCTTATCATTTCAAAAAGACAGAGGTTTTGAATTATGTTTTTGAATACTGAACATAACATTCTAATAGTGTGAACAGAAAAACTTCAAATTGGCATTATTTATATTTCAGTATGTTATAAGAGCACCTAAATCAGGAGTAGTAGAGAAAATAGTACATCAAGTTGGTGAAACAGTATCTAAAGGGACATTACTCATACATTTAAAAGAAGATAGTGAATCATAATCTGTGATATTTTATACACATACTCTGTACAGCATTTAATTATTGACTTTATATTAGAAAGGTTTTATTTTTACCTTCAAACTAGTGCTCTAATGTATTTTAAAAGATTGTTAAAACAAATAAAAAAGGAAATAACAGTATGTTTGACTATGAACACATTGTACATGTATATTACATTTGAAATGATTGTAGAAATAAAAATAGCTCAGGGAAAACTCAGTATCAATATTTGATCTGTTCAGGTACATAGATAATTCAGATTAGCACAATGAAACTGAATGTGATATTGTAATATTATCAATAAATTAAAAGTAATGATAAAATCAAGTCATTAATGAATTCAAAATATGTATTATGTAAAGTCATATCCTAGATGTATTTTTGTATTAGGTGCTGTAGCCTATTGATATTCTTTATACAAAAAAACATACAGGAATGATTGCCAATGGTGTTATATAGAAATTATTAATATAATCAAATATTTAATGAATAAAAATTCCCAAATAATATTTTTATAAGAAGAGAAAGACATCAAGTCTAACAGTTACTGAATTATTCACTATGGTATTATAGAAGTGCTTTAAAGCCATTTCTTTACCCTGTCTTCCCAAATTAGAAAAATTAACAACCATTGTCACTGATGCATGTCTGAGGGTCTGACATCTCGGCGTTCGGATGGAACAATAAACCAAGGCCCTGTGTGCTACAGGCTGTGAATCTTAAAAGATTCCTTGTCAATTTTAAATAGAAAAGAGTTGGCTAATGCCTCGGTCCTGGCAAAATTTCCCGAATTGCACACTGAATGGTGATGCCCATCTTCATTAGCCCAATAAGGTGCAAAAGATAAAGACTAAAGGGTCTATTCATTGTTGAATATTTTTTCAGTGTCTAGTTAATTACTTACTACAAACATCACATCAGTGTTATTTGCGATTAAAGGGAGAAAACTCCATTTATCGGCGAAATTGCCACGCATGTAGTCTCGGGTTTCCACACGGGATTAAATATGTCGGCTTAGAAAAGAATTTCCTGAAATAAATTTTTTTTTTACATATTAGTCACTTTTTGACTGTTTATAACAAGCGTCGTTTTAAGAAAAAAACACCATTTCGCTTAGACTATTCAAGAAGGGGTGAGTGCTGTTTATAGTCTTTTTTGTTTCACCTCTCCACTCTGTCGAGATGTTTGTTTACATAGCACATCTCTGCATTTGTTTGCAAATTGCTGTCACAATCGCTGTCAGAAAGTGTCACTTTCATTACAGTTACATTGTTGTAAACTGTCAGTCATTGAAAACTTTAAGTGCAAATGTGAGCTCATTATACTTTGCATATCACAGTCTCTGTCGATTGTCAAACTTGGTCATGAAAATTCTTCTTAGATGTAAGCTTATAACTATAAGCCTTAAAAATCGGTTACACAAATATCTAAGATTAAACAGTTTTTAGTACAGGGGTTTTCGACTAAGGGATAATTGCTCTCAAGGGGGGTAATTTTGAAAGTTTTTGAAGGTAATCAGGCAAAATTTTTTCGGACAACTATAATTTAAGTCATTCTCTATTCAGTCAGTAGAAAGGGGCTAAGGTTGTAAAACCATTGCTCAAGTGGGTGATATTTAGTCAGTGTAAAATTTTGCCCTAGATCATCAATAATGTTGTGTTGTATTCCAGGAATCTTTCATGTTTATGTAAATAGATTGATAATTGATATATTAATAGCTCTAAGAAAAATTGAAGGGAAAAGCTGAACTGGATATGAAATTTTCAGAAAAAATTTTGTCCGTGGGGAAGGTCTCTGATTTGTATCTTCTTTCAGCAAAGGGAGAAGATGAAAAAAGTTGGTAAAGAATTTTTATGGAGCCATTTAAATTGACTCTTCAACAAGTTACATTTAAAGAAGGTGAAGAAGATCCTGGAGATAATTTGTTTAATTCATTTGATGCTGTTATCAACTGTAACTATGATTCACAACCAACAAATGATAAAGATACTACTGTAGAATACAAGAATGAGTATCAAAATATACAGTATACAACTTGTGGTCTAGGTAATTTTGACTTTCAAATTTTATAAAAAATCGCTCACTCAAGGAACAAAACAATATTTAAGGCTGAGGGACTCTTATTTTTTGGTCTTATAAAGTAAAGTTGTTGCAGTTTGTTACCAAAATTGTTATGCCACTATAACTGAAACAAACTGAACTAACATACAATTTGATGCTGACGATCTGGTATTTTGTAGAAAATGAAGAAGAATTCTCAATTCATGAAGTCTAAAAAGTTTTCTTGAAAAGATTCCTAGAGTAAGGCTTATTACGAAAAAGAAATAGCTAATATTATAATTAAAGAATATTTCTTAAACAACTCTTATATTACCAAGCTGTTTTATACATTAATTATAATTTGTATGTAGTGTAATTTAGTATCCTGTTACAATTGAGAAAATCCATTATAACCAGGTGCTATAAATATATATTATATTATAATAACTAAACATTCTCACAGTTAAAATAGTCCTCAATACATCAATTGTAGAGTGATATAGAAATATATATATATACATGTACACAATACCTATAGCTAACAGCTGTTCTTAATACGTTCAATTCATTCATTTATTTTATTAAAAACATGATGTATTCCTTCATTAAATAACTAATTGCCACCTACTGTTAAAGGGAAATATAAACTATATTAATCATAATGATAATGACTATTAATCATGAATAACAACAAATGGGTACTAATTCCTTAAACTTAATACTTTTAACTATGCATGTATGTAAAATCTTTGATAACCTTGGCTTAAACTTTGGGTTATGTTCTTAAATTATGAATTTGTTGTCTTCCAACAGAAGCTATGTTATTTTATATATTTTGCTGGTACATAAATATTGATTGGCTGCTGAAACCCATGAATATCAAATTGTTTATGAATAACTATAATTCTACAGTATACAATTTGGTCTGTAACTTCGTGCGCATTTTGATGCTTAAAAACATGTTGGCAAGGACTTGGATAAAAAATATGACCAAAGATTTTTCGAGGTTGTACTTGCTCTGATTTAAACTGCTCTGATTTTGTTCATGTTCATAGATTTCTCTATTACTGAGAGCTAAAGGATATAAATAATTATTCAAATGTAAACATTTATTGTTAGACACACCCAAGAGTAATGAGACTTCATTGCATTTATAACAAAGTATAACAATTTTTAACAGGTATTCTATTTCTATAACTTAAATCCTAGTTTTGATTATTGAATAAATAGATGATTGTGTTTGTATATCATGTCTTTACAATTTACATTTACTGCAAAAGCAAAAGAAATTTGATATTTTTAAGAATATCTCTTGACAAAATAAAGTTTTCAAATTCAAATACTAATTTTTTTTTCATTTTTGAATATCCAGATGTTGTTGTACATTCATTATTAGAGCAAAAGAAATTTTCAAAATATATATAAAAGGATTAATAATGAACATTTTTCGCATGTGTTTTAAGCAATTGTAAAACTAATCTAACATTTTGATAATTGAACTTATTGTGACTGCATCTCAAGGATATTTTGATAATTGTTGAACCAACAAAATCCACAATATATCAGGCTTAACGAGATCAAACTTTTCTTTGTAGATAATACCACCCATTCAGTTGGAATACAAGTTCCGAGAAAATCAGGCAGTGGTAAATCTAGTTCCAGAGATTGGTATAACTATTTAGATCCCCTACAAGAAGAAGGTCTAGATGATTTTGTGATCAATGCTGATACAGATTTTGTTAGTCAGAATGATAACTTTAAACCAAGTGTAACTGACATATCTACCATAGCACAGGTAATGGGCCATAATTCAATCAAAATACTTTTAATGATTACTTATACATTTTTAATAGGGAAAATAAAAAAATAAAGCCACCCAAAGCACTCTTCAAAACTCTGATGATTAAATGATCTATAAGATAGAGGCAAATTAATATGATGTAAGGAAGAGATAACATAGATACATGTATTGATCTCATATTTTAAGACCTTTTTTTTCGGTATCAATTGATTTAAGGGAAAAAGTTGATGATTAGGAGCCATGTTTGTTTATTGAATCCATGTCACTCAATTTGATGAAATGTAGTCGCTAAAGTTAATTGAACTTTTTCTTTCCAGATCTCATCAAATTCATCTGCTGCTAATAAACAGATCCCACTCAGTAATTTAAAAAACCTGAAAAGACATGTTAAAACCTCACTAACGACCTCTAGAAAATACACTATGCCTAGTGAAACAGAAATAACATCCAAGATGAGTTCTCCTACAACTCCTATATTAGATTCATCATTTGATACCGTAGCAGAGGCTCTACATTTACAGAGAACTGTTATTGGTAGGTCGTTCATCAATGTATTGAGAATCATAAAGAAGCATTGACGTCAAGTTTTCTTACGATATGATAACAACTTTTCATTTCTCATGTTCAAAAAACATCAACTTTCAGATATTAAAGCATATATTTCAAGGACAATATCCCTTACAGTTTTGAAGCTGGAGAAAGAAAATATAAATTTTTGGAATGGTTAGCTTTAAGTGTATCCCAAAGACTATTACATACATTACATATTTAATCCTAAAACCATGTGAAACAGTTGACAAATTCAGTTTCAGAATGACATAAATTTTTGTATGTGAGTATGCTGTATGCCACGGTTATTTTTGTAGTGGAGTTTAAGCTTAGAGTGTTTTAATACTGTGATTAACAATATCAAATTCTCACTGTTAAATAGTGTTATATTTATTACAGGAAATAGTAAACTAACTCCAGCCCCTCCTGATGTAGTGGCTCAGATTGTAGCCGAGGCTGAGAGAAAGATGAGAGCTGAATCAGAGAGTAATGGTAGTGTGTCATCACTATCAGAGACTTCTAGTTTATATTCTCTAGATCAGGTATGTTACAGACCACATTTATTTTTTTACTTGCTTTAAATTAAGTAGTATTTATTATAATTGACATAACTGTGAGGAAAGATGTGTTAAGTTGACAATCATCATTTTTCTCAGATTCTCTGAGCTTACCTTAAAGCTTATAATTTTGATACATTTTTTTCTATTTTAGACAATGTCACCTAATAAAGAACCAGAAATTGAACCTGGCATTGAAGCAAGAGAATCTCCACTAGCCAACCAAGAAAATGTAGTCATTTCCCAGTCACCAGCATTGAATAGAAATAATTCTAATTCTAGCACCCAGTCTGCACAAGACATAGAAGTTCCTCCAATCAATTCCTCCCCAAGGGAGTTAATTAGAATCCCTGCTCAAGGGTTATCAGTCACCAAAGAAAAAAGCGGATTAAAAAATCAAGAAAAGCGAACCAGTAAGACAAAAGACTCTCCTGAAAGTGGTCAAAAGTACCAACATGATAGACTATATAGAAAATCATCAAATGAAAGACTGGTTGATAAATATAATATCTCTGATAACCAGTCTTTCCTTGAGTCGTTATCTCCTGTGAAAAGTGTAGATATGACTCAGTTTTTGCCTCCACGAAAGTTAAGCTCTTCAAGCCAAGAATCCTTCTCTGAAGTCCCCAAAACCATGATTGCTGAAACACCTAAAAAAATGCAGGATACACCTCAGACCTCATCTGAGCCAACAGCTGCTCCCAAATCTGAATTTGTCCTTCCAAAATTAGGTCCATTGTTTCCAAATATTCCCAAACCAATATTTAATGTCCCAAGAACACCAGTCCCTACTCCCCATAAACCCACTGATGACACAAGTCAAGCCTTAAAGATACAACTAGATGCTGTTTTAAGAGAAAAGGCTAGACTTGAAGGGCAGCTAGAAATCCTAACCACAGAATCCAATTCTAATCTTCAAGAAAGGGCAGAGCTTCAAGCACAACTGGCTTCTTTGAAACTAAAACTGCTTCACAGAACCACTGCTGGCCAGGATGAAAAGAAACTTGCTTTAAAAGCTGATCTTGAAGAAATGAGAATGGTGAGACAGTCTTTGGAGGACTCCATGGCGGAAGCCAAGAGAAATTTGGATGAAAAAGCCCAGGAGTCAAAAATTTTACAAGATGAACTGCATGTAACGCAAGATGCAACGGACAAACTCCATTTAAAGATGAAAGAATTAAGAGACACCCTTTCAGCGAAAGAAATGACCATACAGGCTTTGAAAAACAAGATAGCTGAGCTTTATGTTGAAGTTCAGAATACTCTGCAGTCTAAGTCAGAGGCTGATGCTGAAGCTTCAATATCCAAGAATGATTTAACAGCTTTGATTAATGCTAAGGAATGGTATCAACAGCAACTCCAGCTGGCCCATGAAGTGAGATGCAGCCTCCAAAAGGAGCTTACAATACTCCAAGCCCAGAGTGTGTCACAGTCATCAGTGGTAGAAAGATTGAAAATGGACAACACAAAACTTAGACAGCAGCTAACTGAATCACAAAATAAAGCTTTGAAAGAGAAGGAATTGTTGGCCAAGCATCTGGAAGCTATTCAAATGGACATGATGGATAGAGAAGCTGCTTTTCGTGAGATGCAAGGCGAGAAGAAACTCATAGAAGACTCTTTTGATTCTCAATGCAAGTCTGTGGAAGATGAATATTCAAGGATATCTATGTTAATGCAGAGTAACTCAGAGCTTGAATCTCAGCTGGAGAAAGCACAAGATGATGCCAAGAAGAAGCAGATGCACATCCTTACCCTTGAAAGTCACCAGATTGAATTGGAGAAGAAGCTTACTCTCTCTCAAGAAAAGATCAATGAAAAGGATGGGATGCTGGAAGATCTGAGAAGAAAAATTATTGAAGTTGATGAGCAGTTGAAAGCATTTCAGAGAGGACTTGCTGAGAAAGACACAGAGATCATGAAGTTGAAGGAAGAAAAAGCCACAGCTGAAATTGCTTTGAATGGAGCTTTAAAAGAAAAAGCATTGGTAGATAATGCATTAGATGCCTTGAAGTCAAATATGGGAAAAGTGGAAGTTAGTTTCAAACAGATGAGACATGAGCTGAGTAGCAAAGTCACAGAATTAGAATCGGTAAAAAATGAGAAACATGAATTCTCAGAGGAACTGGATAAGGTCAGGAAAGAGCTGGAAATCAAAAGAAGAAGTTATGACACAATCCACAAGGATTATGATGAGAAGTCATCTGCATTGAATGACATCCAAATACAAAAATCAACCTTAGAGTCACAGATTGTCTATCTGAAGAACGAACTTTTGGTAATACAGGATTCTAGTGAGAAGAGAACAAAAGAGCAAAATGCACGAGAAACAGAACTAGTAAAAGAGTTGCAGGAGGTGAAAATAAAGCTTGTTCATGTTCAACAAGAACTTCAAGAAGAAATGACCAGAAAGGAGCAAGTTCAGCTGGTGCAACAGTCCCAATTAGAGTCTGCAGCCAAACAGAAGGATCTGCATGACAAAGAGATTCAAGCAGAAATTGAAATGTCTCCAAAGGATCAATCAAATGCACAATGCACATCTCAAATGCAACAAACTGACATAACCAGTGATAACTTGAACAACATAGTCCAGTCATCAAGAGTTCCACTGATGGATGCTGAAATGAACACAATTGACCATAAAGTCCCAAGCATGGAGTCCTCTACAAATACAGTATCTGTACAGAATTCAGATGGTCAGAGCCAAACTCAAAGTGTCAAGCAAATGGATGCACAAAGCAACACCATCCCAGTAAGATGCAGTGATGCAGATATTCAGACTATTGACCATATAGTGGATACAAAAGACTCTGCTGATAATACAGTAGTTACTGAAGCTATTGGAATCAAGAAAGACAAAACTCCAAAAGAAACTGAGCAAACTGGTGAATTTTTAAATGAAACTAAAGACAGACAACTCAGTCAAACTGATTCCTCCATGAACACAGTTCCTATACAGCAAGCAGATTCTCACAGCCAAACATTGGAAAAGCAATTGACTCATTCAGAAAGTAACACCACTGTGGTTGAAAGCAGTGATAGCCAGATGCAAACTTTGGAAAGACAAACCAGTCAAATGGCTAGCAATACTGACTTGATCGAGCTGACTGAAGCTCACAGCCAAACTGTTGAAAAGTTGATGCCACAAACAGATTCCTCAAGCAACACAGATGATGTGTCTGTTATGGGTGTCAGAGCCACTTTAGAGCATTCCCATAGCCAAACAGATGATATTGTGGGACAACCTTCATCAGCCTCCTCAGCTCAGACAACAATGAACCTCACAGATATGTCAGAACTAATTCAACAAAATGAGTTCTTTGCTAAATCTTCTCAAGGAAGTGCTAATATGCCTTCATCTGATGGTTCATTTCAAACTGAACCTATTGAAACTCCTAAATCTCTTATGGACTCCTCAATGCAAACTATTGAATATTTAAAGAAAGTCTCACAGTCAAACAAAGAGACAAACACTGAAGTCTTTCAAAATATTGTGCCTTCCAATAGTGACAGTGTAGATGGCATTAATTCCAAAATCTGTGATAATTCTTCTGAATCTTATGACAATCTTCAAAAAGTTTCAGAAACAGACAAAAATATTGTAGAAAATAACCAAGCAAAAATTCATGAAGAGCCTTTGCAATCATCTGTGATCATAGATGGTATCTCGAACGAAATTCATCAAAAAATAATGGCAGAAAATACTAGTCTAAAATCGAAAGTGGTAAACCTAGAGGACAATTTAGTGTTTCATCGTGCTGAAGCGAAGGAAGTGATATCGAAATTAAGTGACAATTTATTGGTTGTGCAAACAGAGTTGAAAAATCGGCAATCGAACTATGATCAGAATGTTGAAGTTCTGGGTGAGAAATTACGAGAAACGTTCACGGTGAAGCAGCAGTTAGAGAGTGAATTAAAGAGTTTACAGAAGAAATTTGAAAACGATAATGTTGGTGCTGAACAGTACAAGTCACGCTTACAGGTAAAAATTTATTGGAATTATTATCTTTTTTTTCAGCTATTTGTATCACTTGTAAAAATTAAATCTCCAATTTCCGGCTTTCCATTACAAAAATGTACGATGAAAGACTTCACAGGTAGTACATAATGATTATAAAACAACACTGGCTCAATATCAGCTAGTCATCAAATTTAAAATACCCGATTTGTATGATTCAACAAAAATATACCCTGAAAGACTTTGCAAGCAATAACTACCAATATTATGACTTCAGGGGATTATTTGGCAAGTGGTCACTGAAACTCTGAAGCTACAGCAAGAACTGTAACAGTATTTTACTTATAGTTTATTTTGAAAGACTATTTATTTTCATTAAATGTTATGATGGAATTTGAATTAAGTGATCTTATTTCTCTCTGTTTCAGTTTCTACAAAATGAATTGGACACAGCATTGAATCGTGTAAAGGAATTAGAAGACTACATTGTAGCTTTTCAAGAATCTAAAAACAATGAAATAACAGAGCTACAACAACATATTACAACACTGGTTCAAAATATTGAAGATTTAAAAAATGAGAAGGAAGGTTCTACTAAAACTGAGGAATTAAACCAACAATTGGCATTAGAATTGGAAAAGGAAAGAGGTAGATTAGAAGGTATGGATATATTTTTTTTATTCTATTAGTTCTTAGATATGCTAACATGACAATTCCAAGGAAAAGCATTTAGTTTCGGACTGCTTCAATGATATTAGTCTTTGCATACTGTCTAGGGAATTTCTAATTTGAAAGGTTAAGTGAAAGCATGTTAGCTTCAGTAACCAACAATTCATAACGAATCCCTTTCAGTTTGTTCTCAATATTACCAGCCTGTGAATTTCGTTTTTGGAACTATATTTAATGATGATTGGTTAATTATTGACAATTGAAGAAACATCAAAATGCTCAAAATGTGAATCAATATCGCAACAAACAAATAAAACTCCAAAATTGTTTCTGAACAAATGATTTCAACTTTTCTACATTGTCAAAGAAAACAAAACTCATTAACAAAAATAAATCATCTGGTATTTTAAATAGAACGAGGATCAACAAGAGGTTTGAAATGACCTAAAAAATGAAATGAATAAAGTTTTATGTCCTACTTTCTGCACCATATGGGCTAATGAAGACGTGCAAAGCCATGCAGGGTGCAATGAGGGAAATTTTGCCAGGACAGCAGCATTAGCCTGCTCTTTTTCGATTTCCTAATGACCTAAAGACAGGCAAAATAAACAAAACATTAAACAGTTATTGCATCAAAAAATTCACTTACTGTGCTTGTAGAAGTCTTGATATGGGAACTTCCATTTCAAAATCAACTGTTCTGATTCTCTGAAAACAAGGAGTGAGTCTGTTGCCAAATAGTGTCTAAGTTTACAAAACAGCTCAATAATGAACAATGGATCTAATATTGTTTTGATTGTTTGCATGACAAGATTCAAACAACAGTAAACTATGAAGGCTGAGCAGTACTTCTGTATTGAAATATTCTATTTTCAAAGATTGTTCCCTTGAATACAGCTCAAACAGCATTAGTTTAGATAGGCTAATTTGATTTCTTTTTAACTTGAACATTTACTCAGAATTCCAAGTGAAAAAAGGGAGCTTTATACCTTTACTTTCTTAAATTGTTCAATAGTGCTCAAGTAATCTAGTTGTAAGGTTGCACTAATTATTTCTTTGAATGATAGTTACTTCATACTGAATAATGCTCAATAATGACTTTAAGTTATGAAAATTGACTGGATGACTATTGCATCAAAAAGGGAGGTAATTGGTTTGTCTTTGATCAAAATGGCTGATGTGATTTATAAAGCACAATATGGATGTACAACAACTCAATTACTTCTAAGTACAGGATCTTATTTTTAAATTGCTTATATTTTATGGGTTGTGAACATATTTTCAAATCCTTCATATCATGTAAGGCCTAAGAGTGAGAATCCTCCAATACTTTTCTACATATTTGAATTTTTTTTTTTGTACAGTCATCATTTCTTTATACTGGTGAATTGATATAGTCATTAGCTCTTATGTTATATTAAGACTTTAACAGTTGTATTTCTTAGCCATTTTAATGTCACTTCATGTAACCAGAGCTTGAGATTTGTGAAATTAAACATGACCACCGTGTTGTAAACTTTAAATACCATGTTTTTTTCTATGTAACATAAATGTAGCATCTGTCATCATTATGTATATTGGTCTACTAGTAGACTTTTATATAGACTTGTATATTGATTTTTTACACTACATACAATTCATTGACAATACTTGTCAACAATATAACTTATAGCTTTTTGGGCCATATTTTGAAGGATTAATAGCATTGTGTCACAAACCATGATAATTATACATCATATTGGATTTATAATTAGAACTGAATGTTTAACAGGATTCTAAAACGGTATCATTAATTTGAAACAGTTCAATATACTATTAGCTGTTTTAAGATAAAAAAAAAAATGTAAAATTTGTAGTTTCACTTACTCTTGGTAATGAAATGTCAATATGTTTTACTGTTAAGGGAACCCCCATATGTCCCAGCTGTCCTGATGTGTAGTTGATTCTAAATAGTGTTGGCAGCATGAGATAAGTTCTTACCCGTTAGTATTCATACATCATTACATAATAATAGAAATAATAAGAATGAATGACAATTTGGTATCAAGTGAAGTAAATAGTCAGTTTAGGTTTGGTATGATGTCCAGTACAGGTCATTTTTATTTGGAACAAAAAAACAAAGATATTGAAAATGCAATAGCTAAAAACAAAGAAATGTCAAAACGATCTGAAAAAAATGTACCCTTTACTTATACAAGGATCAGACATTTTTTATTTTACAGTTTTGTTTTTAGAAGCTTTAAAATATATGGTCTACCAAGAGTAGTAGACTGGAACGAAGCATTACCTGTCAATTTTGTATAATGTATTTTCAGGATTGATCCAGAATAATGTATCATTAAAACAACATGTGGGCCAGCTGGAGGAGGCACTGGCACGTCGTGAGTCAAGTTTAGTAGAACTACAGACACATCTACAGGATAGTAATAAAGATAGGGAGTTGACCTCTGATGATTATATTAAACAGGTCCATTCTCTAGAAACAGCTTTACAGAAAGAAAAGGATGGGCAACGTGATCTCCGAAAACAGGTTGGTATAAAAATACTGAATATAAAGCTTCTGATCATGGCCGTTGATTTTGTAGCATTTGCAGTCATATCTAGTGAAGATGAAAAATGGTTTTGGTCTTAATATCAAAATGAGCAGGTTTTGTGGATTTTATCTATGTTCAAGATGAAGTTTGAATTGAAGTCTTCACAATTCATATGCTGTATATCTAAGTAATATTATAAATCTTATTAAAAAAAATGACATCATTGAAATCAGCAAAACTAATCTTATTTGTATGTTTATCTTTATAACAATGACCAAAACTGTACAAAGTCTGAAAAAGTTGTCATTTGCACATAAGGTAGCCCAGCCACTCTATTTTCACATATAACAGAATTCTTTATTTCATGTGAGTCAAAACTCTCAGCAATCCAGAGTTTATCCAAGATTATGTATTTTCAAACTGTAAACCTTGGATTTTAATTTCAAATTTTTTATTTTTAGATTGGTTTAAAAATAACAGAAAATAAGAAATTGAAGAAGAATAATGAGGAGGTTAAAAAGGAACAGGAACTTTTACGTCACCAGGTGGAGATACATGAACAGGAAGTAGTCAAATTACAGACTGAGTTAGACAATAATCGTGACTTTGGTGTCTCTCACCAGTCAGAAGTGAAGAATCTACAGTTAGAGAAGAAAAGTTTACAGTTAGAATTAGAACATGTCCAGAGAGAGTTGTCTGACAATGTTGCTAGAAATTCTCTTATTAATGAGGAAATGGAGGTTAGATATTGAATTGTGTTAGACCTGAGGGCTGCTTACTTGGAATTTGCTCCTCTTCACATGTCAGTTAGCTAAGCTAAATCAGTAGCCAAGAGGCAATAGTAGTCTAGATTTTGTATTTACAAAATACATTAATGCCTACAGTAGGTTGCTTTGGGTAAAAGAAATGTGATCTAAATTATTTTACAAGCTGCTCTTCATCTTTTTGTCAGTGAGTTTTCTCATGCACCTATATGAAAGTTAACCCACATTTTTTTGATTGAAACAGGTCAGCACGAGATTTAAGAAGTGAATTTTTGAAGTATGTGGTCAATTTTGTGTTCGATATATGTAGAATATAATTAACATGCTTTGACACAATCACACAAATTTATGTTGTACGTTTCTGGATTGAAATTCGTAATGTAAGTAAATATTTCCATCCACAGAGTTTGCAGTGGCAGATTAACAAGAAGAATAGAGAAGTGGATTTTGCCCAGAATCAAGTGAAACTGGTAGAAGAAAGACAACAGTCTGAGATAGACCTACTTAGACAGACAATCCAAGAGAAACAGACTGAAATAGAGGAGCTTCAGAGAGAATTATTAGGTGCCAAACAAGAGAAAATCAACCAGAAATCGCGAGTCACTGAGTTAAGAAGTGCCTTAAAATCTTCTGTTCAATATCATAAGGTATGTAGATTATATTATTTTCAGCAATTGTTGTGTATACCCTTAAATGATAACATGACATTAAATAATGAAATAATAACATGGTCTTATTAAGATTTCTTTAATGAAAAATATTTAAGAACAATTGATTTTTATAAATTCATTTTTGACACTATTTTGCCGGCAATTTTTTTTAACTAAGATAAATGAAAGATAAAATTGCAACAATCAATACCCCGACTGTGAATGATTTTACAATCTTTAATTTATATGAGTAGTCACAGTGCCTTTTTAATCCACTGGATTGGGATAATTCACAGCAAAGACGGAAAAATTTAATTTTTGACTTGCAGCTAACCAAGAAATTGAATTCCAAGAAAAGTAAAGTTAAGAAAGAAGAAGAAGTGGTGGAACAGCCAGTTTTACCAGATGCTACTAATGGTACCACCCTTGGCACCCTAGAACGCTCTACTATGGTAGAGAAAGGTGTGCAATGTGAACTCCAGGACAATACTGTGATACCAGCACCAGAATATGATCTTGATGCCATAGAAACTCTATTAGAACAAACTGCTATTCAAACTCTAGAGAGCAAGTAAGTACCATGGTATTATTGAGAAGGTTGTCAAAAGTTTCATTAGACGGAAAGAAGGGAAGAACAATTTATCACACAGGAAAATAACTTTAGTTCATTTAGGATCCTTTCTACTAGCTGGTCATTGGCAAACTGCATTGCATTTATCTTTCCCTGATTATTGGTATCCATTACAGATGGGTCAACTGGAATAATGAGGAAAGATGGCTTAGTCAGGGCTTTCACATGCCAACCAAGACAGAAGCCATGACCACCATTTTTTACATAACCAAGCAATTGACGTCAGTATGCAATGTTAGTATGTTAGTATGCAATGCTCTTAATGACTGCACTACAGAACCATAGTTCTCTCGGTTAGAAATGTCACCATGGTACTGATTCCACTGATGTTAATGTTTGTTTTGTTTCAGACCATTAGATAATCTCCAGTCTTGTTTGATCTCATTGAAATCTCAGATTAATGGGCTACATATGTCAATGGAAGTTCATACTACAAATATTCATAATTCTAATCAAACTTCTTGGTAGGTTTTCATTCTTGTTATTCGTTGTAGAAAGGTAAATGGACAATATCAGATGTATCAATGTTAAAGCTCTTATTATAACAAATTTTTATTTTCGCATCCTGATGAAATTCTACCAAGATATTCCAACTTATAGCCAACTTTTGTTGCACCAGATATGTGATTGGTTGAATATTTTTCTCAAAAACAATCATAAGTTTTAAAAGGATAAAAAGGTCATCAAAATATTTGCTGAACTAGTTGATAAAGCTATCAATATCACTTTTCATACTAAATGTCCTGCTTTCTGTTTAGCATGCAATAGCTGAAATTAAGCTCCGCAACTGTTAAAGTAAATACTTGACAACAATATACCTTTACACCAAGTTATAAATAAGAAACAAAATTTATTCTACTTTGTAAAAATCTGATTTATTTTTCAGTGATATTGAAAAGGAAGTTCATGAGTTACAGGAAGTAGTAAGAACTGTGGCTAATACCACATTTGCTTCCTTAACAACCAATACAAAATCTATATCAACAGAAGGCTCACAGGGGGAATAACTCTAGAATTTTAGAAACAAGGGACTACAATATGCTTTTATCAGGGGGTTTATATATATTTTGTGATATGATTGCAATTTTTTGGATTTCTGTAGAAAAGATAAAATTGTGCTTATAATGTTACATTACTTTGAGGACAATATTTCAAAACATAAGCACAAATATTCTTCTTTTTGGAAACTGGAAGTCTCAGATTAAAGAAGCGAGGGGCCTAGGTTATTAAACTGGGTTGAGGGAAATTCAATTTAGAATATAGACAAGGGCCATTATAGTATAGATAAATAGTGCAGTATTAGTTCAACTTTATTCTTATAGCAAACCAATCACCCTTTTATATGTGCCTATATGTTATAAATGGAGAAGTGCAATTTATACCATTTCTATGTCACAAACTATTGACCGTGTATTCTTTGTTAACCTATATTATTCATTTGTTATGATTAATTAATATTTCATATTTTAATTTGGTTTGATAGTAAAAAATGTTATAACAGAAAGGCACTCACTAAACAATATTGCATGCAATGCCAATTAAGGGAGGTATACAGATTTCACTGACGGTATTATTTCAGTCTGCTACCTAAAGGGTAAGATGGCAGATTAATTTCAGATTTGGAGAATGGTGCACATCCAGAGGTGATTCAAATCAAAACTCAAGCAGCCCATATTATTTTTAGGTTGTGCCTGTAGTAATGATTGTTATATAAATCTTCAATTATATTTATTCAGCTTCAGTTTAGTCTTTTGTATTGTCCCATGATGTGCATATAGTTCTTCTGGAAACAAATTACCTTCAGTGCATAAAAAACTTCGCTTGACGTACCTCATTTCATTAGATTTATCCTTTAACAATATCATTGAGGTTGAAGGATTAATATTTTGTTTTACGATGTGATATTGTTTTGATGTAAACAACCTACAGCATTTGACAAAGAAATTATGATTTTAATTCATCTCATTTAAAAGGTTTTCTCTCAATCAAAATAACTTTATATGGAAATGATCTACTAGCGAACAACTGAATTAACAGATAGAATGGATTTCATCTACCCTTAGCTCTATCCAAAATTAAATTTGGACTTTTTTGATCTGGAAATGAGGGTCAAATAATGTTTAACTGTCATTTTTGAAAGTAATAATACTTTAGAATGGAAATGTTCCTATATTTTTAAGCAATTTTATCAGTTGAATCAGTAGATAACTTAGTATTTATTCCCTGTAATTACATATCTTTTGAAAGGTTTTGATTCAAGGGTGATATTTTCAATTTTAAAAGTTGTTAGTTCTTGGTCACACTCAAAATAGTTGTTTTATTTTACTTTTGCTTATTTTAATTTGTTTATCTTACATTTAGTATTGTGCCTTTCTTGGGACACCTTCCTTGTTATTGGATATACTTGTGTGTTTTGCATATTCCATGTACTTTGCAATTGTGGATATGTTCAGCTTTGCCAGCAACCTTTTTCTTATACCTCAGCTGTAATAAGTTTTTCCATTCTTTGCAAATTTTGAATATTTGTGAATTGTTTTTAAATGGCCATATATATATAGATATATGCATATTTCTTTATATAAATCATAATATTCACATTTTTATATCTTACTGCATTGATGATATAATGGATTATGAATATAAAAGACAGTCCTGTTTTCAATAGAGGTAATGATCTGTTTAAGTTGAGAGAGTAAAGTATTTGTTTTGTTATGTACTAGTTAGATAGTGGTCATAGTGAGCGGAAATTTTACTTAATATGATCTAACACAAGCTGTCAGTCTAAACCATTAAGTGGCAACTCATCTATCAGAAAGCTTAGCCAATTATTATTGTATGGACAAGTGGGTTAGGTTCAAAGTCCTGATAAAAGCTATGAATAATATATTAATTTAAAGAGGAATTCTAAAGTGTTTATTTTTTCTTTGCTTCCCATATGTTGATGCATGTCGTGAAGACAGACAACAGAAGCGTTTGGTTGTTGAAATTCCATGAGAAAGGTGCAAAACTCCTCATTTGCTCTATTGACTACAGTCCTATCACTATAATCATGTAGATAGATTCACTATATATTTATATCTTATTTATGTCTTTATACTGTTATGTATAGATATTGTTGAATTTGAGGGATTAAAATCAAAGATTGTTTTATTTTTTTCACATCATTGATAATGTTGGCACAATATGCAAAAATAAGTGGGATGGTGCGTAGTCAAAGGATAAAGGTTTGAACCCCAGCAGCAAACATTTGCCTAAATGCAACGTAATCATAACCATAAAGCAGATTATCGAACGCACCTTTCCAAATCGTGCATGCATAAAAACGTGCAAAACGCGATTTTGCGACATTGGTCCAAATGCACGTGCACGATTTCGGCATTCAAAACCATCAAAAGTATACCAAGACTTACGCAAGCGCAACGAGATAGAGCGATCGGTATGGCCAATATGGAGGCTTCTCAACGACAGATAGCTAGAACCTTCAACTGCTCCCAGACCACCATCAGCAATTTGTTAATCCGGCTCCAACAGACAGGACAGACCCAAGACCGAGCAAGATAGGAAGACCGAGGGTGACAACACCGGCCGACGACGGCTACATTCGGAGGATTCATCTTCGAAACAGATGGGTGACGGCGGTGTCGACGGCAGCAACAGCATTAGGTCATTTCATCAGTAGACGAACAGTCCTTCGAAGACTTCGTTCGGTTGGTATACGAGCCTACCGACCCTTCCGACCTTCCGTGGAATGGCGTTGACCCGTCTACATCGTCAACGCAGACTGCAATGGGCACGAACTGTACGTCGGTGGCAGCGATGTGACTGGGCGAGGGTGCTCTTTACAGATGGGAGTCGGTTCTGTCTGTTCAGGAACGATGACAGGGTTAGAGCGACTAGCGCCAAACTGCATCACAGAAGTTCACCCGTTTGGAGGTGGAGGCGTCATGGTATGGGGTGGCATTTGTGGCCAGATTACAACATGGCTGGATATCATCTGAGGGAATCTGAATGCTCAGCGATATATTGATGAAGTGTTGAGACCTGTTGTAGTGCCTTTTATTCAACAACGGCCAAGAGGATTAATTTTACAACAAGACAACGCAAGGCCTCGAATTGTTCAAGACATCTGAACAATACCAACGTCGAAGTACTGCTCTGACCACCTTGTTCCCCAGACATGAACCCCATTGAACATCTCTGGGATAACCGCCGTCAATGAGGAGGCGTGTGTTTGCGTACACGGCCACTGTTGACGTTTTGCCTGTTTTTACTGTCATGGAATAAATTCTTTATACACTTTTGCAATGAACTCTGGTTTGTTTAATTTTTAATTTTGACCCCTTGACTCTTCCTTTGCGTATTGTGGATAATTGAATATCGGTATTACAATGTATTTTCTTTTTAATTCAAGGAGATTGATTTCTATTAATAAATCAATCATCGTATATCTCAAATATGCCTTTGTCTTTGGTGTGTGGTCAAATGAAGTCGGTGAAAACTTTCTTTTGCCTGTCAGTTTAGGTAATTTCACACTGGACATTTTGTAATTCATAAATTTACATAAATACTTCTGGAATAACAAAAGTGAACGTAATTTGAACATTAAAAAATCAACATGAACAAGTAAAAATTTTCATATTTACGTATTTATATACGGTTGTTTACAGTGCGGGTTCCAGATGATTGATGTTGGCATTGAAAGGATTTTTAGAAGGTTTTAAAACCGGAATGTTGCATGGGTTGCTATTGCCCTAAATGCATTTTAAAAGGCTAGAAAATCTCCCTCTCGGCTCTCTAATCAACTTCAAGATCTGGACACAGTACTAAGATTATCACCTCCCCCTCCAACAGATGCAACATTCATCTTGATTGTGAGGAGGTAACAGATGTTCTCGACTTCTGCCAACTTCTTCTCATATACTTCCTTCTCTTCCAGATCAATTTTTTCCAATAAATTTACTACCTCATCATATACTTTATTCACTAACTCCTTGTTTTTAGGGGCCAATTTTTGGACTGCACCTTCAAGAGAGGGCTTGACACTGTAAACATAAGAATCAAGCTTATTTCTAGACGCTACTTTTTCCAACTGTTTACTGTCCTCTTCTTTGTACATCTCTGCTTCATGAACTAGTCGGACAATCTCACTCTGGCTTAGACGATCTCTGTTATTAGAAATGGTGATCTGATTAGAGTTCCCAGTATGTTTGTCTTCGGCAGATACATTCATAATACCATCGGCATCAATACTGAAGGTGATCTCGATGTCCGGAACTTCCATTTTTGCAGGTGGGATATCTGACAGCTCAATATCTCCCAGTAAATTGTTGTCCTTGGTCAACGGACGTTCTCCTTCATAAACATCAAAATAAACGCGAGTTTGGTTGTCGTAATATGTCGTGAACATGCCACGTGCCTCGGCAGGGATTTTAGTATTACGTGGAATCAAAATGTTCATTTCTCCACCGATAGTTTCAACGCCAAGGGACAAGGGCGTTACATCTACTAATAGTACATTTTTAATGATTTCACTCTTGTCTCCACTCAAGATGGCAGCTTGAACAGCTGCTCCATAAGCAACAGCTTCATCCGGGTTGATGGATTTATTCAGCTCTCTACCATTCATGAACTCCTGAAGCAGTTTCTGTATCTTTGGAATTCTTGTTGATCCTCCGACCAAAACGATTTCATTGATCTGTTTCTTGTCCATTTTAGCATCTTTCAGAGCTTTCTTTACTGGATCCATTGTACTTTTAAACAAATCTGCACATAGATCTTCGAACTTGGCTCTGGATATATTGGTGTAGAAATCGACCCCGTCAAACAATGAGTCGATCTCAATACTGGCAACAGTGGTGCTGGACAGAGTTCTCTTAGCTCGTTCACAGCTATTTCTTAGTCTTCCGATAGCTTTTGCATTTTTAGACATGTCTTTCTTGTTTTTTTTCCTGAATTCTTTGACAAAATAATCCACCAATCTCTGGTCGAAATCTGCTCCTCCGAGATGGGTGTCTCCAGAAGTAGATTTCACCTCGAACAAGGAACCTTCGTCAATCGTCAGGATAGAGACATCAAAGGTTCCTCCTCCCAAATCGAAAATCAGAACATTTTTCTCACCAGAAAGATATTTGTCCAGTCCATAAGCCAGGGCAGCGGCTGTTGGTTCGTTGATGATTCTCAGAACGTTTAATCCAGCAATAGTTCCAGCGTCTTTTGTGGCTAATCTTTGAGAATCGTTGAAATAAGCTGGGACTGTGATGACTGCGTTGATAATTGTTTTACCCAAATAGGCTTCAGCTGTTTCCTTCATCTTTGTTAAAACCATGGAGCTGATTTCCTCTGGACGAAAGACCTTTGTTTCATGTTTGTATTTTACCTGAAACTTGGGCTTACCGCCATCGTCGATCACTTTAAACGGCCAATGTTTCATGTCCCTCTGGACTGTATCATCAGCGAATTTTCTTCCAATCAGACGTTTAGCGTCGTAAAGGGTGTAAAGTGGATTCAATGCCGCCTGGTTCTTTGCTGCGTCTCCGATTAATCGCTCGGAACTAGTAAACGCCACATAACTTGGTGTTGTTCTGTTTCCTTGGTCGTTGCCGATGATCTCCACTTTTCCATGTTGGAAGACTCCGACGCAAGAATAGGTTGTGCCCAAATCAATACCGATAGATGTCATATTAAATTGCACTTTAAAATCAAAAGGCCGAACTAAGATTGTACTCTCTAGAGAGATTGTCCGTCCGATTTGCTGTACAGTGCAAAATCAACTTCAGTTTCTATAAACATTTAAGAGATGACGTCATTGTGTATGACGTCAAACTACGGTTCATTAAAATTCTAAAGAGGAAGTAATCTTACCCCAACCCTCAGTTTAATGTGGACTAACCTTTCAGAAAGTCAAAACATTACGAACTTCGTATTGTGAAGATGCCGAGCCCCGGCTATTGCTTTCTTACTTCATGCTTATAGCTTATCATCATAATTATGTTCAAGTAAAAACTATCTCTCCTTCAGAATTTCTTCTGAGTTGCAAAAATATTTGCGGGTGAGATAACTGAGGAGCTGTTTTGAGATTTTACAAGGAAATGAAGCTAAATTGCTCCCCGAAATATTTGTAGCCTAAATTGAACCAGGACCCGTAGACCTTTACCTTATCAAGACCGTTGCAAGTTCTTTGTTTTCAAGTTCTTCCTTCTACAACTACCGTGAGAGTTTTCGCTATAGCTTTTCAGGTTAAGCCCGCCCCTCTAAAACACAGTAGGTAATTGCCGACGTCAACTCTGGAACTCTTTTTAAAAAGTTGTCAGCTTTTAATGTTTTCTGATAGATTTCACTTCAGATGTGCAATTTGCAGTTGGCAAAAGACCTAGTTGGCAGAAGACCTACTCTTGCACAGACACAGGATGAAGCTGACGCGCGTCATCAGAGGAGAACTCATTCTCTAAAACAATAGACAACATGTTGTAAATTCAAAACAAAATAACTATATTTCATAAATTTTATTTATGAATAACAAAAACGAACATTGTTACAAAAATAAATATAAATTTCCTGATGTACATAAATATAAATATTTACGCTTAATCTCGGTCGGATTTCTTTTGTCTCCAATCTTTAAAGGGTTTAAATCACATATTTCCCATTTTTTCATGTTTGCATTAAATTATATCATTCGCACTATCAAATCACTCCATTTGTTTGAATCATTCTCCCATCATCAAAATTTAATCAACTTCTTCTACGGTCGGTCCAGATCCACCACTTCTGGCTGATGGTTGTCCGCCAGCTTGCGGTTGTCCACTACCAGCTTGATGCATTTTGGTCATAATAGGTGAACAGACCTTCTGAATTTCTTGCATCTTGTACTCGTATTCATCCTTGTCGGCCAAAGCATTTCCCTCTAACCAATTTAGTCCTTCGTCACAGGCTTTCTTCGCCGTTTCTTTGTCTTCAGAGGCCAACTTTTCACCTACACCATCGATAGTCTGTTTAACACTATAAATGTACGATTCCAGCTGGTTTCTAGCAGACATCTTTTCTTTCTGTTTGTTGTCCTCATCTTTGAATTTCTCTGCTTCTTGAACCAGACGATCAATTTCAGCCTGACTCAGACGGCCTCTATGATTGGTAATGGTGATTTGATTGGATTTACCAGTGCTCTTGTCTTCAGCAGATACATTCAATATACCATTAGCATCAATGTTGAAGGTGACCTCAATCTGGGGAACTCCTCTTGGTGCAGGGGGAATTCCCATCAGTTCAAATCGACCCATTAGATTATTGTCCTTGGTCATCGCACGCTCACCTTCATATACTTGAATAGAAACTGCTGGCTGGTTGTCGGAATAGGTGGTAAATGTATTCGACGCTTTGGCAGGGATTCTGCTGTTACGTTCAATTAATTTGGTCATAACTCCGCCGGCTGTTTCTATACCAAGAGACAATGGTGCTACATCTACCAATAGTACATCTTTGATGGTTTCACTCTTGTCTCCACTCAAGATAGCGGCTTGAACAGCTGCTCCATAAGCAACAGCTTCATCCGGGTTGATGGATTTATTCAGCTCTCTACCATTCATGAACTCCTGCAGCAGTTTCTGGATCTTTGGAATTCTTGTTGATCCTCCGACTAAAACGATTTCATTGATCTGTTTCTTGTCCATTTTGGCATCTTTCAGAGCTTTTTCTACAGGATCCATAGTACTTCTGAACAAATCTGAACACAAGTCTTCGAATCTGGCTCTGGATATTTTGGTGTAGAAATCAGTTCCTTCAAATAACGAGTCGATCTCAATACTGGCTTCGGCACTGCTGGATAGAGTTCTCTTGGCGCGTTCACAGCTACTTCTTAATCTTCTAATAGCTCTGGCATTTTTAGACATGTCTTTCTTGAACTTTCTCTTGAATTCTTGAATGAAATGTTCCACCATTCTTTGATCGAAATCTTCTCCTCCGAGATGGGTGTCTCCAGCAGTAGATTTCACCTCGAACAAGGAACCTTCGTCAATCGTCAGGATAGAGACATCAAAGGTTCCTCCTCCCAAATCGAAAATCAAAACGTTTTTCTCACCAGAAAGATTTTTGTCCAATCCATAAGCCAGGGCAGCGGCTGTTGGTTCATTGATGATTCTCAGAACGTTTAATCCAGCAATAGTCCCAGCGTCTTTTGTGGCCAATCTTTGTGAATCGTTGAAATAAGCTGGGACTGTGATGACTGCGTCCTTTACCTTCTGACCTAAATACGCTTCAGCTGTCTCCTTCATTTTCGTTAAAACCATGGAGCTAATTTCTTCCGGTGGAAATACTTTCTTTTCATTTTTGTAGTCCACTTGGAATTTCGGTTTGCCGCCATCATTGATCACTGTAAACGGCCAGTGTTTCATGTCCTTCTGGACCGTATCATCGGTGTATTTTCTTCCAATCAGACGTTTTGCATCGAATATGGTGTTTTCTGGATTCAATGCTACTTGGTTCTTCGCTGCGTCTCCGATCAATCGCTCAGAATCTGTAAACGCCACATAACTTGGTGTCGTTCTGTTTCCTTGGTCGTTGGCAATGATCTCAACTTTGCCATGTTGGAAAACTCCGACACAGGAATAAGTTGTTCCCAAATCGATGCCAATAGCTTTTGATGTCATATTTCTTGTTTAATTCTTCTATGCGGTAATCTTTGTTAAAGTGTAGTTTCTTATTAACTTCTTCTTGATTATAAGCGTAATAAAATAATTCGTCTGCTAAATATTAGCGTTTAGCCTATTTGTTTCTTTTAACTCGTACTCTAAGTATTTGCAATGTATTCTGTCTAACATTCGATTTCAGCGAGTATTTATACTTAAAATCTTAATTCATGAATGAAGTAGAATGTTTCAGAAAGCGCAAGTAGATTCGCTGCAATTTGATTGGCTGAATTATGGTAACCCTGTGACGTCACAAGGTGTTTCACATCCAAGGGGCGGAACTCGTACATTCTAGAAAGTTCGCGAAAGATGGAGTAAATCGACCTTTCTGCACTTAGTTTAACTACACTAGACTATACGCAGTAGGCCTATCGATTTATATATTAGTTGAGAACTTTCTGAGCCGAAGAAATTTAGTAAGTTGACCATCAAAACCAATATAGAACATTGACATTTTTCTACTAAAGATTCGTGAACGCTGAAGCAATCGTAACAAACTGTCACACTTAAGTTATTGAAATTTTGACACAGTTAGCCTACAACCATATCGAGGGGTGGGGACCTACAAACTACAGCTCTAGATTTAATACTTTAGGGATGTGCAAAGTGTTGTGTAACATTTCGCTTTAATTTTACTTCATTGGTGGGGTCATAATTAAAACGCATTCAATCTGAACATTTTAAAAGAAGTACATGTATTTTTGGTGTTAGCACCACTTGCAACAAATAGGCTACATTCATTTGATGACAATTATATTTGGTCGAAACTTTAAATGTAACAGAATAATGCCTGTATAATATTATTTTTCTTACTATGTTATTTGTAAAAACATCACGTATTTATTATTGTTAACTAGAAGATATAGGCCTAATGGATCTCAAAGGTAAAGGAAAATACACTTTGTATACAAAAATACCGTACAATAAATAGACACTTGAAAAGCTTATGAGATATTATAAATAATATTTATATGACCCACTTGTCATTATTAACTGTGTTACTATAAACTTCAAGTTCTACCGGTACTAATAAATCACTGTAGCCTAGCTCTTTAATAACCAGAGGAGGGGTGGGGTCATTTGTAATTTTTCAAGCATTTATATTTTGAGCAACTCATGAGGGAGAAGGTCGTTTATTAAGTGGGATGTCGTGGCTATTACCCTGTATGTAATATTTTGAGGAAGTTGAGGAAGATGAAGCGGGGTCGGGGATCTTCTGGGAAAATTTTACGCACACTTTTTGTTAAAATAATTTAATTGCAGCAAAGTTTAAAATAATAAGTAAGCCACCTTCTTTACGTAAATCTTTCTTGCATTAAAGTGATAAAGTTTATTCTTATATAATATGCACTGGTGTGACACAAAAACTAACATATTACAAACAGGGTAATAGCCATAGTTATTTTGATATAACAATGTAAGTATAATGATATTCATTCAGTGTCCACAAGGTTCATCGTAACCCGTTCGCTCATATAGCACGATAATGATTAAAGTTTAAAATAGGCTACACCAAAATATGACTTTAAAATGTCTGCTTAAAATTCAAATATTACAAAAGTTACATGAATATTTAGAAAGATTTATGTGTTTGGCTCTAATCCAGGCATTCCGGCCTTAGTCAACAGGTTTTCTAGAACATTCTACAAACTTCATGACGACATGAGTTCATTCCCATTATTGGAATATCCCATGAATCGTCACTGAGATTCACCATCTCAGCCAATCAAATGGCTAAATTTCTCACGATTTCTATTTACAGCTTCTCAATGGTTCGACATTACACAGGAATGATAAGCTAAGTATAAATACCTGCCGACAATTTGAAATGGCTAGTTAGAATACAAACGTATACGAGAAACTACGAAGAAAACAAGTTTACTATACTAAAGCGAACTACTGTTAAAGTTTGTGATATTGCGATAATATATAATTTTAAGAGACATTTATTTGTGTATCAAAACAAGTGAAAAGAAGAGAAATTACAACATGGCAAAAGCTATTGGCATCGATTTGGGAACAACTTATTCCTGTGTCGGAGTTTTCCAACATGGTAAAGTAGAGATCATCGCCAACGACCAAGGAAACAGAACGACACCAAGTTATGTGGCGTTTACAGATTCTGAGCGATTGATCGGAGACGCAGCGAAGAACCAAGTAGCATTAAATCCACAGAACACCATATTCGATGCAAAACGTCTGATTGGAAGAAAATTCACCGATGATACGGTCCAGAAGGACATGAAACACTGGCCGTTTACAGTGATCAATGATGGCGGCAAACCGAAATTCCAGGTGGACTACAAAAATGAAAAGAAAGTATTTCCACCCGAGGAAATCAGCTCCATGGTTTTAACGAAAATGAAGGAGACAGCTGAAGCCTATTTAGGACATAAAGTAAACGACGCAGTCGTCACAGTCCCAGCTTATTTCAACGATTCACAAAGATTAGCCACCAAAGACGCTGGGACTATTGCTGGATTAAACGTTCTGAGAATCATCAACGAACCAACAGCCGCTGCCCTGGCTTATGGATTGGACAAAAATCTTTCTGGTGAGAAAAACGTTTTGATTTTCGATTTGGGAGGAGGAACCTTTGATGTCTCTATCCTGACGATTGACGAAGGTTCCTTGTTCGAGGTGAAATCTACTGCTGGAGACACCCATCTCGGAGGAGAAGATTTCGATCAAAGAATGGTGGAACATTTCATTCAAGAATTCAAGAGAAAGTTCAAGAAAGACATGTCTAAAAATGCCAGAGCTATTAGAAGATTAAGAAGTAGCTGTGAACGCGCCAAGAGAACTCTATCCAGCAGTGCCGAAGCCAGTATTGAGATCGACTCGTTATTTGAAGGAACTGATTTCTACACCAAAATATCCAGAGCCAGATTCGAAGACTTGTGTTCAGATTTGTTCAGAAGTACTATGGATCCTGTAGAAAAAGCTCTGAAAGATGCCAAAATGGACAAGAAACAGATCAATGAAATCGTTTTAGTCGGAGGATCAACAAGAATTCCAAAGATCCAGAAACTGCTGCAGGAGTTCATGAATGGTAGAGAGCTGAATAAATCCATCAACCCGGATGAAGCTGTTGCTTATGGAGCAGCTGTTCAAGCCGCTATCTTGAGTGGAGACAAGAGTGAAACCATCAAAGATGTACTATTGGTAGATGTAGCACCATTGTCTCTTGGTATAGAAACAGCCGGCGGAGTTATGACCAAATTAATTGAACGTAACAGCAGAATCCCTGCCAAAGCGTCGAATACATTTACCACCTATTCCGACAACCAGCCAGCAGTTTCTATTCAAGTATATGAAGGTGAGCGTGCGATGACCAAGGACAATAATCTAATGGGTCGATTTGAACTGATGGGAATTCCCCCTGCACCAAGAGGAGTTCCCCAGATTGAGGTCACCTTCAACATTGATGCTAATGGTATATTGAATGTATCTGCTGAAGACAAGAGCACTGGTAAATCCAATCAAATCACCATTACCAATCATAGAGGTCGTCTGAGTCAGGCTGAAATTGATCGTCTGGTTCAAGAAGCAGAGAAATTCAAAGATGAAGACAACAAACAGAAAGAAAAAATGGCGGCTAGAAACCAACTGGAATCGTACATTTACAGTGTTAAACAGACTGTTGACGCTGCTGGTGACAAGTTAGCTGCTGAAGACAAAGAAACGGCGAAGAAAGCCTGCGAAAATGGACTTAATTGGTTAGAGGGAAATGCTTTAGCCGACAAGGATGAATACGAGTACAAGATGCAAGAAATTCAGAAGGTCTGTTCACCTATTATGACCAAAATGCATCAAGGTGGCGGTGGACAACAGCAAGCTGGTGGACAACAATCAGCCGGAAGTGATGGATCTGGGCCAACCGTAGAAGAGGTTGATTAAGGATGTATTTATGCGAGATATATTATTATGTGTTGTTGAAATTCTAGTTCTGCGTCAATCCTATATTGGTTTAAATCGAGAACTCTGTGATACAGATAATTAGTTATATTTTTCTGTGTAATATGAACACTAAATAAGTGCTACTGATCAATATGTTATGTTTTCAGTAAATGATTATTTGTGAATGAACAAAATCGAGTGAATGTTATTTTACGTTGTGCAAGGAACGATCAGAAACCTTTAACGCAATATGATCTGTATGAAAGAAAAAGCTATAAACACTGTGATTTTTGTAATATTATGCAGTCGTATCGCTTGCCTGATCCCCTAATACAGGAAAACAATTTTGTTTTTGTTATATGCTCAAACCAAAACTACCACGACCCTGTTGTTAGAAATATATTCTATTTTGTTGTTAAATGAATAAAATTTGAAATAATTAATATTGTTTCTTTTTCAAGAACCATAATCCGAATCTTGCAGTATCTACTACATAGCCACTTACATGATCCAACATGACTGAATATTCAGATTTATGAATCTAAGACTTTCGGACTAAAAATAAATTAACCTGCCCTTTAAACTCGACGGAGCTGTCCTTTATTTTCACATAACTTGTTGATTCGTTTAGTGTATCAGCAAAAATCATCATCGTAAGGGGGTCCCACTCCAAGAAAAAATATTAACAGGCATTAAATTGTCTAGTTGGGTCATTCATTATCTTCTACATCACCAATGTCTATTTCCCCGCTATTGGAAACTTCGGTTCGGTTGGGTAGCGGGAACTCGAAACATCCCTATAAAACCACACTAGTTGTTGATTTTACAACAGGAATGATAAATTTTAAATAGATCCCAACTACCCCATCCGGTAATTTGGTGATGCAACATTTTATATATTAATCCTTAAAATCGAATTTGAGCCCAATACTTGAGAAAATAGTATTATGCTAGCCTTGCTGATGGTATAACCTGGAATTGCAGAAACCCCAGGGGTCAGACAGGAGATTGAAATGGTAAAAATAGAATCTTTAGGCATACACACATACACAGACTATGTAGCATGTCTGTAATCCCTTTTTTAGTTGAAATCCTTTTCTTGATCTGGATCATTTTACCTCCTCATATCAATTGTATTTTATCCCCAATGTCCATTTACTATAAAGTCTTACAGCATTCTGACCAAACTGTCAGTGTTCCCAACTCAACCTGTTAGGCTAATAGAATTGTATGAGCTATGCCAGTCAGCATTAGTTAATGTTAAACACATAATATAATTATCTTAGCAGATGTTGATCCAATCTGATACACTTTCTAACTTTCTAATAAACCCATGATTAAATCTACCTAGCCTATTCGAATTACTTACACAAGAATTATCAGTATAGGTTGTAAAGTACTAACGCCCACATTGCTGCACAAAATTACTCGAAATTCGGTTGAAGACACCAAGAGGGTACAACTTTGTTAAAGCACCCAATTTCGAAAATCAGCTCAAATTGCCACAAACTGTATATGTTTCAACAAGAACTTCTCTTTGGAATTTGTATATACATGTCGATGTTTAGATTTCTGAAAATTGATTGAAAACTGAAAGGACACAGAATTGTCAGTATTTGAATTCAAGGGCTTTATTTTTTTTTCTTAACCAATTTAGAAGAAGCAAAGAATTTTTTGCAAACTTTTTAAATTTGAATTTGAACTTAATTCGATCAAAAATAAGAAGACTTTTTAACATTTTCTCATTTATTGAAGGATATAAGTGGTCGTAAAATCATCAGATTATAGTCCTGACGTACGCTTACTTTCCAAATTCCAATCAGAACTTTTGGTCTCTATACATGCATCAATAGGACATCAATACGTACATGAAAACAGTTGTAAAAACTGTTAAGTTGTTAAGCTTGACTATTGTGACTTTCATTTTTTTTTTAAAATCCTGCATAAGATTCAGTGGATGGTCTTTTCTATTGTATTGCAGTATAAAGAATTGATTATTATAAAGAATTCAATTAACTTGTATGTTGTTTATCATACCGAATTATTCAAGTGTCACCATCTAAAATATATAAAAGACTTGAAAAAATCGAGATTGTCAGAAAGGCTGAAATATTGCCTTCAAAGTCGCACCTTGTAGTGGAAGAATACAGTAAAACCTTTACTGGTATTAAAGTTGCTTGGTGGACATAAAAAATCACCATGACTAAAGTTACATTGGTCCTTCTGGTTTTAGGACTGATTGTCGTAGTCTCTATTCTTCAAGGTAATATCTTTTTAGAATGTTGGTTTTATTAATGTGTTTTGGCGATTGTTTCTTGTTGTTGTTTTAAGTCATTCGGTCGAGAATATTTTATTATATGAAAGGATTCACGGGAGCAAGACGACAGTTTACAATGTAGTCTACCTAGTTACAGGCTTTCAACCTTCGTTTAGATTCAACTGGAACTTAATTGGAAGTTTCAATCATTTGGTTTGATCATACTCGAGAAAAGTCACGGAAAGAAATACTAAATTTTGCCACGACAGGTATTTTCATTCGAATTCGTCTTCAAAATGTACGAATAAGGATACTCTTGAAGTATCAAAATGGTGTTTGTATTTCCTGTACGCTTCTATCCTTTTTAATCTCAATCAATCACACATGTGTTTTCCAGCTGAGGCTCAGAAGAAGACTACAAAAGTTGAAAAATCAGGTAATGTTCAAACTAGCATCGTTGGTTACACAAATCAATATAATAGTCAGTGACTTGATTTGCAAAAAATATGTGAGAGTTTTTTAATTATGATAAAAATAACACATAGTTGGTCAAAATTTACTTTTCGTGTGCAAACTAGGTTAGCTATTTTGATAATTGTTTATGTGCGCAGCTGCTGAAAGTTTCAGGGACAATGTAACATTCTTTCAAATCTTCACCGGAAACACCGAATACCTTTAAATCTTGGTGGTTTTCACTTTACATTTGTTCGTATTCGGCCACTTTGATGCGATTGTCATGTGGTTTTCTGCGTGTGATAAACAAATTTTCCCCTTCCATTACAGGATGGCAGTCGACTGGTGACGGACGAAGAAGGAGACGAGTGAAAAAAACCACCACAACAACATCAAGTGGTAGAAGGTCTGGCGGTAGAAGGTCCGGTGGTGGAAGTAGACAGTCAACTAAGACAACTAAGTCAGGTAGATATTCTCCTCGTTATTCGGATTCAGTACTTTCATAGTTCCATAGTCAACACAGTATCGTGTTGGTCAGATGATGATATAGAGCTGTTTCCTAATTTATAGAAGTATGAGAGTCTGTACTACAATACTAATGATGTAAATAACTAGATTTCCGGCGAAAAGTTGTGTTTACCTTCTTGTTCAGTTGGGTTGTTCTTTTGCTTCTTCTGGATATCATCATCAAGACAGCTGGCATTCTGATTAAATCTTAAAAATGTTTTTATTATTTTATACCATTTACCTAATAATACTCTTTTCTCTTTTTTACATTCAGAATGGCAGTCTACCGGTGATGGTCGAAGGAGACGACGAGTTAAAAAAGTTACAACCACAAGAAATTCTGGTAGCTCCAGATCTGGTGGTCGGCGTAAGGGTAGAAAAGGCCGAAAGGGCCGAAAAGGTCGAAAAGGCAGAAAGGGCCGAAAGGGTCGAAAAGGAAGAAAAGCAAGGAAAGGCAGAAAAGGTAGAAAGGCTGGAAGATCTGGAAGACGATCCTCCAGGAACAGTTCTGGTAAGATTTTATTACATTGAGGATCAAATGAGTTATCTCCCTTATAACAGTCTCCTTTCCATAGACTTTTCAGTTGGTCTTTAAATGATTTCGAAGTATAAGATATAGCTGTATCCAATTTAATGAGAATTTTGAATGTTCTTGTTTCTTTTATTTATTTGTTTTTCTAGTTGAGTATGAATACGAATGGGAAACTTCAGGTCGAAGATCAGGAGGAAGAAAGGGAAGGAAAGGTCGAAAAGGCAGAAAAGGCAGGAAAGGCCGAAAGGGTCGAAAAGGCAAAAAGGGACGAAAGGGTCGAAAAGGCAGAAAGGTTAGAAAAGGAAGAAAAGGTAGAAAGGCAGGAAGGTCTGGAAGACGATCATCAAGGAATAGTTCTGGTAAGAGTTCATTGATTCGAAATATACTGACCTCTTTTGATCATAAACCGACCACTATTATATTATACTGCTGCATGCACCTAGGTTAATTGGAATTCCCAAAACTGTTCGATAGAATAAGTCCAAACCATAAAAATGTCATCCAAAAAGCGTCCGTAAAAAAGTGGGTCAAATGGACAGTGGGGCAACACCTCACGTTCCCATCTCTTAGATATTAGTTAGAAAATACAAATAAACTTAACGATCAAATGTGTTTTTTCCCTTTAAAAATCTCCTTTCCATAGGCTTTTCAGTTTGTCTTCAATTGATTTCGACGGATATAAATACATATCGTTGTACCAATTTTGTCTAGGATTTTAAAATTTATCTTTTACTGTATTTTTTTCTAGTTGAGTATGAATACGAGTGGGAAACTTCAGGTCGAAGATCAGGAGGTAGAAAGGCACGAAAAGGGCGGAAGGGTCGAAAAGGCCGAAAGGGAAGAAAGGGAGAAAGGTCGAAAAGGAAGAAAGGGCAGGAAAGGCAGGAAAGTTTCAAGGAAGAATCGAAACTGTAAGTACATTTTTTCTCCTTTAATTTCCTAATTGTTAAATTATTTTGATATAATGTTTGTCTATTGATAGCTGTGATTCTATATAATTTGTCCTCATTTGACGTGAAAAGAACGTCTGGAACGTCTTAACCCCATGTGGAAGTAAAATGTAACTCTACTCTTCTACAAATAAAAATTGGATAATGGAGACGGTAAAAGGCCCCATGTCAATGTATAACAGATCGAAAAACAGTAGGCTTAATTTTGCCTATATTTGCCATCACTATCAGGAGATGTAAGACTTAAAACGTAAATCTATTTATCTATTGGTTCCAAAGGTATATTTTCTTAAGATTACCTACGTGCTTCAAGTTTAAACACTATTTTCCAGCCGGAGCTCGTCGAAATGGAAGAAATTCAAGTCAATCTACATCAGGTACAAGTTTATGATATTTGTTAGTCGTATTAAAGTTTGAATAGATGACGTGCAATAATTATCCGGATACCGTGTCGTTTCTTCTTGTTACTGTTTTTTTTTTTACTGTATCGATAATCCTTGGCCGCACATCGTATCTCGTTGCCTGTAGGCTATATCTGACCCTCAATATGCCTGTCAAGTCATAGCTTACATCTGTATATTTGTATATTTGTATATTTGTTTCGATTTTTAGTAGTGGTCATATATTAGGTTAGTGGGATCTGAATATGGTATAATTTAATTTTGAAATCATGGATGATTTATATTTTAAGTTGAATATGAGTGGGAATATGTAGATGGTAAAAGAAGGAGAAACCGAAAGGGCCGTAAAGGACGAAAAGGAAGAAAGGGACGAAAAGGCAGAAAGGCTCGAAAAGGCAGAAAGGGACGAAAAGGCAGAAAAGGCAGAAAGGGAAGAAAGGCAAGGAAAGGTCGAAAAGGCAGAAAGGGTCGAAAGGGTCGAAAAGGTCGAAAAGGCAGAAAGGGACGAAAAGGCAGAAAGGGTCGAAAAGGCAGAAAAGGCAGAAAGGGGAGAAAAGTTTCCAGGAAAAATAGAAGATGTTAGTTACAATAATACATTACATTAACATAGTAGAATTATTTGTTTGGAGCAATTATTTAAAAGATCGCACACGATATATACTTTGCAACAATGTCTTTTTGAGTTCGACTCGTGTTAAAAGATTAGACCACTAATGAGATGCAAAATACAAAAATACAAAATGGCATCTGTTTGTCTACAAATGATATATTAAAATGTTGGACTTGGAACTCACCTCTTAAGTTGTGTCATCTTTTGATTTCAGCTGGAGCTAGCCGAAGTGGAAGAAATTCCAGCAAATCCACAACAGGTACCAATATCTTCTAGTCTTATCTCGACTCGTCTGAGGCATTTCGTCATCTTAAAGATTTTATTTAAAGTTATTGTAATAAAAATGAATAATGAACTATACTAATAACCGCAATTTTGCTCCTGGAAAAATCTATTTTATGGGAAAATATTCAAAAGCCTAGTCCATGTATATCATTTGACGTAAAATATTTCAAAATCTTTTTTAAATACTGATTATGTATATTTCTAGTTGAATATGAGTGGGAATATGTAGATGGTAAAAGAAGGAGAAACCGAAAAGGCAGAAAGGGCCGAAAGGCTCGAAAAGGCAGAAAGGGCCGAAAAGGCAGAAAGAGCCGAAAAGGCAGGAAGGCTCGAAAAGGCAGAAAAGGACGAAAAGGCAGGAAAGGCAGAAAGGGCCGAAAGATAAGAAAAGGACGAAAAGGCAGGAAAGGACGAAAAGCCAGAAAGGGACGAAAGGGCAGGAAAGGACGTAAAGGTAGAAAGGGACGAAAAGGTAGAAAAGGACGACGAGTTTCAAGGAAAAATAGAAGATGTAAGTGTTATTTAATTACGTATTTTTTATGAAATGAAATTAAAGGATACTTATACCGATTTATTTTAATATGGACATTGATATTATTACGGGTAAGTGACGTTACAAACCCATTACCATAAAAGAGCAATCCAATGAAGCGCATCTGACCAATATATTATATACGACAATAATTAGCTTATAATGAATGTAATGGTAACTTTATTGGAAATCTAGGCATTTTTCTTTGAAATTATGATATACCAGCAAATCAAAACAGTACTGCAGTCGAGGTTATTCCACGGCATCTATGTTGTTCTTTTTGGTAATAGCATTAAGGCAGGTTTACATATATCACATTGTTTCCTTGAGATTTTATCGAAGATAAATAAAGGTTTGTCTATCAGAGCCAATAACGTTTAAATATCTATATTTTGTTACAGCTGGAGCCAGCCGACGAAATGGAAGAAATTCATCTACAACTGGTAGGTTTGGTATAACATTTTGACTGTTTATCACATGAATCTTTTTTACGCGGTCGCTGCCTGGCTTGTAGACTTTTGTTTGAATTCCCCCTTTACATGTCTCTTAAAGCAAAACTGTCATTTGTTGTATTGAAAGTTGATCTCCATAGTGACTGAAATCTCTTATTAACATTAACTATTGGCCTTTAAGCTCTGATGATTTCTATTTCTAGTTGAATATGAATGGGAATATGTAGATGATTCTGGTAGAAGAAGAGGAAAAGGTAAAGGCAGGAAAGGCCGAAAAGTTCGAAGAGGTCGAAAAGGCAGGAAAGGACGAAAAGGCAGAAAAGGACGAAAAGGCAGAAAAGGACGAAAAGCAAGAAAGGGACGAAAAGGCAGGAAAGGACGAAAAGGTCGAAAGGGACGAAAAGGTAGAAAAGGACGAAAAGGCAGAAAAGGCAGGAAAGGAAGACGAGTTTCAAGGAAAAATAGAAGATGTAAGTGTTATTTAATTACATATTTTTTATGAAATGAGATTAAAGGATACCTCAAAAGGGTCGAAAGGGCAGGAAAGGTGTCTCAAGGAAAAATAGAAAATGTAAGCGATATTTGTTAGTTTTAAGTTAACTTTACTTTTCATAAATGAAATGTATTGTTCTAACAAGTAGCCCGAATTTTCATATATACTGAAAATATGTGATTATATTTTAGCCGGAGCTGGCAGACGTAATGGTAGAAATTCAAGTTCTACAACCTCAGGTAGGCCGACATTATAAATATCAACTGTTACTGTTTGCTTCATCAATGTCAGTTATTCTATTTTATAGCTGGGATAATTCAATTCCAAATTAATTTATATCTTACCTAATTAAATTCGATTTAGATGCCTGATGTAAAATATTAATGATGCTTCTTTACAATATATTTAATGATTGTAAATGTTTTCTATAAACTGAGCGTTTTATGACGTCACTATCGCAAAAGCTGCTGTAAGGACCTCCTGATTAGTGACGTCAGTAAACGCATAGTTCTATTACTTTCGAGCATCTTAGCTTATACGTAAACTTGTATATAATGGCTATCTTTTTTGGATAAGTCCAGTATCTCTGAAACAGAGTGAACCCTATGTTTACCTGGCTGTGTTATCCGCAATCTAAGGTGATAATTGCTCTTGCTCCAGGAATGTCACATTGACTTTTTTCAACGTTTAGACATTGTTTATGTTGATATTTCGACAAGTGCTTATAAAACACCGTTATGACTTTATGTTGTAAACTCACAGCAGCCATATGTGTATGTTAGGCCTACTGTGTTTGGTAAGCCATCTTTTATTTTCTGATTATTTATCATTTCTAGTTGAATATGAGTGGGAATATGTAGATGATAACAGAAAAGGCAGAAAGGGTCGAAAGGGCCGAAAAGGCAGAAAGATTAGGAAGGGAAGAAAGGGTCGAAAAGGTAGAAAAGGACGAAAACCTAGAAAGGGGAGAAAAGGCAGAAAGGGTAGAAAAGGACGAAAGCCAAGAAGGGGAAGAAAAGGAAGAAAAGGCAGAAAAGGACGAAAACCTAGAAGAGGAAGAAAAGGCAGGAAAGGCCGAAAAGGACGAAAGCCAAGAAGAGGAAGAAAAGGAAGAAAAGGACGAAAACTTAGAAAGGGCAGAAAGGGAAGAAAAGGACGAAAACCAAGAAGGGGAAGAAAAGGCAGAAAAGGACGAAAACCAAGAAAGGGAAGAAAAGGCAGAAAAGGACGAAAAGGACGAAAGGGACGAAAACCTAGAAGAGGAAGAAAAGGCAGAAAAGGACGAAAACCAAGAAAGGGTAGAAAAGGACGAAAAGGTCGAAAACCTAGAAGGGGAAGAAAAGGCAGAAAAGGACGAAAAGAACGAAAAGGTCGAAAGCCAAGAAGGGGGAGAAAAGGACGAAAAGGTAGAAAACCAAGAAGGGGCAGAAAAGGCAGAAAAGGACGAAAGCCTAGAAGAGGCAGAAAAGGACGAAAGCCAAGAAGGGGAAGAAAAGGAAGAAAAGGTCGAAAACCAAGAAGGGGCAGAAAAGGCAGAAAAGGGCGAAAGCCTAGAAGGGGAAGAAAAGGCAGAAAAGGCAGAAAAGGACGAAAGCCTAGAAGGGGAAGAAAAGGCAGAAAAGGACGAAAACCGAGAAGGGGACGAAAAGGACGAAAAGGTCGAAAGCCAAGAAGGGGGAGAAAAGGACGAAAAGGTCGAAAGCCAAGAAGGGGAAGAAAAGGAAGAAAAGGTCGAAAACCAAGAAGGGGCATAAAAGGACGAAAGCCTAGAAGGGGAAGAAAAGGCAGAAAAGGACGAAAAGGACGAAAGCCTAGAAGGGGAAGAAAAGGCAGAAAAGGACGAAAAGGACGAAAGCCAAGAAAAGGAAGAAAAGGACGAAAAGGACGAAAGCCAAGAAGGGGAAGAAAAGGCAGAAAAGGACGAAAAGGTCGAAAGCCAAGAAGAGGAAGAAAAGGCAGAAGAGGACGAAAACCAAGAAAGGGAAGAAAAGGACGAAAAGGACGAAAAGGGCGAAAGCCACGAAGAGGAAGAAAAGGCAGAAGAGGACGAAAACCAAGAAAGGGAAGAAAAGGAAGAAAAGGACGAAAAGGACGAAAGCCAAGAAGGGGACGAAAAGGCAGAAAAGGACGAAAGCCAAGAAGAGGAAGAAAAGGCAGAAGAGGACGAAAACCAAGAAAGGGAAGAAAAGGAAGAAAAGGACGAAAAGGACGAAAGCCAAGAAGGGGAAGAAAAGGCAGAAAAGGACGAAAAGGACGAAAACCTAGAAGAGGTAGAAAAGGCAGAAAAGGACGAAAACCTAGAAGAGGAAGAAAAGGTCGAAAACCAAGAAGGGGAAGAAAAGGACGAAAACCAAGAAGGGGAAGAAAAGGCAGAAAAGGACGAAAACCTAGAAGAGGTAGAAAAGGCAGAAAAGGACGAAAACCTAGAAGAGGAAGGAAAGGTCGAAAACCAAGAAGGGGAAGAAAAGGACGAAAAGGACGAAAGCCTAGAAGGGGGCGAAAAGGACGAAAAGGAAGAAAAGGTCGTAAACCTAGAAGGGGAAGAAAGGGAAGAAAGGGGCGAAAAGGACGAAAGCCTAGAAGGGGAAGGAAAGGACGAAAAGGACGAAAGCCAAGAAGGGGAAGAAAAGGACGAAAAGGAAGAAAAGGTCGTAAACCTAGAAGGGGCAGAAAGGGACGAAAAGGTCGTAAACCTAAAAGGGGAAGAAAGGGACGAAAAGGACGAAAACCTAGAAGGGGAAGAAAGGGAAGTAAAGGACGAAAGCCCAGAAGGGGGAGAAACGGACGAAGAAACAAAAAAGCTAAGAAGGCTGTTAAAAAGGCTGCTCGTAAAGGAAAAGAAGCACGAAAGGCTATTAGAAAGGCAAAGAAAGCCAGAAGAGAAGCACGAAAAGCTGCAAAGAAAGCTAAAAAACTTAAAGATACCAAACGGGGTTCAAGGAAGGAACGAAAGGCAACAAGGAAAGCTGCAAGAAAAGCTAAGAAGGCAAGGAAAGCTGTCCGAAAAGCTAAAGAGGCCATTAGAAAAGCAAGAAAGGCTGACAAAAAAGCTAAAAGAAAGATTACCCAAGTTGTTATTCAGGAAGCTAAGAAAGGTAAGTGGTATCTGGTTTTAAGGTTTTAATCATTATATCTTTTGCTTAGCAACAACCACGGCAATTAACGGAAATCTGTTTCACACGAAAGGGTTATTTGGAATTAAAGGGTATACAAATATGTATCTATTGGGTCATGTAAATGTTAATATTTGTAGCTGAAAGATCATCTAACGAAAAAGCACCAACTGTGGTTGTCTCGAAACCATCACCACCTGCTGTTAAAGTCATTGAATCCAAGCCTGAAGTACAGCCAGTTGTGATTTCTCAACCCTATGATTCTGATTATGATATTGCTGGTAAATATATGGATTTAGTACACAATATCTAGACATAAGACTGAAGAGATATTTGGACACATCTGGGGAAAGTCATTAACAGGAGCTGTACACTATTTTTTGATATAGTTTGAGTATTATTTGCAAAAGACGTTCACCAAGTTGCCTCCTTTCATGTCTGATAACATGCCCAAAAATGTCATGACAATAATAATAATGAATATTAAATTTACAGAACACAGACAGTTGTACTCACTACTGAGCAAGATGCATTCTAAAGAGATCAGTAAACTGAGAAAGATGAGAAGAATGAGAAGAATCAGGAAGAAGATTCTCAGCAGAATTCTTCACAAGGATGGTGAGAAAATCTGAATTGGGCCTTCGAAGACGTGTTCACCGATCCCTTAAATCAAAACCTTCATTTTTTCTCGTGATTATGACTTTTTAGCCATAGCTGACTCTGCGATAAGTTTATAAACGAACTTTTCCCCATCCCCTATTCCCTACCAGGCACCTCTCTTTTTTCTCTGTTATTTATTTACTATGATGTGGTTAGCAAAATTGTGCATAGCATTGTTAAGCTGATAAATCACTTCATAGTTATACACTGTACTAGCATAACCTATGCTGCAACTAGGCATGTCAGTTAGTTAAATATTTCAGTATTTTTATTTTTATACTCATTAATCATTCATGTAGTGAATACCTTTGCTAGAGCAATGTGTACAGTTTACAGTGTTTACTGCTGTCGCTTATCGCATCTCTCGTATTTTTCAGCCGACTATGATCACTATTTTGGACACAGAGGATATGATAGCAGAGGATATGGTAGTAGATATGGTAGTAGAGGATACAGACATAGTTATCATCACGATGGAGCAGATGAACCCGTTGTCTTTGATCTCAAGAATAACCTGAATCTCTGTGCCTAAACTTGGACATTCCGTATACCCCAATTATAAACACAGAATAAATTATAACTTATACCCAATTATAGATCCTTATGTTGGTTTGCTAATCTAATGTTAATTAAAATGTAAGAATTTGATGAAATTGGAATAAATATATTGCATACAATTTAGTTGTTTATCTATTGGTTGAATCTTTTTTGAAGCGCATTCTAATGGACATTGTACTATGATATGCAGTCTTGGTGGGTATTAGTGAGACAGAGCCAGAGAGACATAGCATACGAGCAATGGACAGACATGTCCAATGAATATCAAGTCATGGATTTGAAGGCTCAAATTCTGTAGGATACCATTACTAATTCTGCTACGCCTAAAAAAAATCCCGTTTCTGAGACTAAGGTAGGATTGGTCAAACGGATAGTGAACTTGTCCCTATAAATTTGAAGAATAAGAGAACTGAAGAATTAGGGGAAGCCTGACAATAAACATTTACCAAAATATACATACACACATGAATCATTGGCACAATCCATTTATATATTTGAATCATTCACTGATGACCTTCATGGATATTGAACTAAAGGAGATGAGAAATAATTAGTACTGGCTTCTCCGGTGGTCCTTGATATGTATGAATTTTGGACTGGTATATTTTGGTTTCCCCTCGGGACACTCAAACCGTTGATTTTAGAAACATTCTGGCTATACAGCCCTGTTCAGATAACATTACACTCACCCGAATCCTGTGATGATCTAGCAGGGTGGAGTTTTCTTTTTAGTTTCTGCTGTAACTTTTCATTTATCAATGTGACAGTTCGACCTGAGTAACTAAAATGCCATTTATAGTCTGACTTTTACCTTTTGAAGAAAGTTTTTCTTCCCTTGAAATGTATCATTGTTCATGATCAAACTATAGTATAAAGAACCCAATTGAATCAAGCAATAGATGATCGTCTAATATGGACACAAAAGGTTATTGTGTTAAGCAATGGCGTTTCTCGGAAATACCAGGTGAAGTGAGGGGGTCGAGCCGGGGCCACAAGATTTTCTAAAGGGGAACGGGGTTGGGATATCAAATGATCTTATACTACTGTAATGGTGGAGATTTATATCCCAGAAAATACTCTGTACTTTAATCCCGTGAGTAAAATCCAATCATCTCTAGTTGCCCTCAACATTTGAAGATCTAGACAAATTCTAGCTCACTGTTCGCCGGTTGAATTGACCACGTGTGTAGGCACGAGTTGCGCCCCTTTGACTTAAACACATCTGACTTTGGTTAACAATGATCACATGCACGTGCAATTTGTGTTGTGTTCATGTTGTGTGCAATTCATCTTACCTTTTGTATTGTAATTAAGATTGGGGATATTTGGAATTTCCCCATGGAGAAGCAAGTAAACCATTATCGAATACCTAAGTTTCAATATCATAAAAATTAGAGAGTCTAACTAACAGGTCGCCACTGGCTGAACTGATCGAGTATTGTAGGCACGCCATGCACCTCTTATTTACACAACTCGGTCAACGGCGACCAGCAAGCTACACTCTCTATTTGTTTTCATATTGCTTTTTACGTAGAAGTTTTGTTGTCTCCCCATTGTCCGAGAAGATGTTTCAAACGATATCCGTAGGGAGAAAGAATTCAATTGTTCTATAAGCAACTATTGACACTCCTAATAACACCAAGTTTAAAAAAGGTATATTATATATACAGATTGCTCGAACACAAGTTATACGTGACAGTGAACTAACATTGTATAGCACAGGCATTTTCCGTCAAAGGGGTGCAACTCGTGTCCATAAACTTGGTCAATGGCGCCACATTGAACATCGTTGCTCAAATATTACACACAAAATAAAAAGTATCGTGTCAAATTATAAAAACATATTGTCTGTTGGGAACTCGGCATGCTATTTGTAAACGTGTAAGTTTACAATCCTTTTTGAACGTGGTCGTTAAACGAAGGCATCCTGTGATGATATCTGAAACGGACATGGTATATATTTCGATAAGGTCCTAATTTCTTTAAGGACGTATTGGGTCTGTAGATGTAGTTTTGATGTCCAATGTCAAAGGGTCTACTGTGGAAGTTTCAGTAGCGATCTGTAACATAACACGGTAATGAATGACAGGTATTTTTTACTGGAACTGTATCCCCTTGTCACATTGGTGGCTGGTCGTTCAGGACAAAGTAAATAAAAACAAAAAAAATCGTAGATATGTATCCATACTCTCTTATTGGTAAACTGATATTCCCAATATATAGCATAAAATATATAAAAGAATAAGTAAGTGTCAGAATAATCCCTTTAAGGCAATAAAGCTTTGATAAATCATTGTAAAATGCTGGAAGGAGTGTCTCGCCCAAAAAACATCATTCATTACCGAGACGGTAACAACGGAAACAACCGAAGATTGCCGAATGGTCCAATGCCTCGATCTGGTTAATAGATCAGCAAAGAAAGTGCAAGCTCTGGCGTACCGAGAGTTTCTATAGCATAATTAATCAAAAAGCTCAGATGCCAAACCAGATCGTTTTAAGCGGACATTTCAGCAGTTTATCACTTCTCTAATACGACCATCTTAGGCTACTACAAAAAGGCACCAATAAAACATTGGTGTCGATCATCCACATTAGAATTGGTTTAAAGATAACTAAGAAATCGAAATATTTTTTTATCAAGCGTTTTTTTTCGAGCTTACCTAGCAATGATTGATGGTTTTCATTTCTGACCCATTATATTTGTTTTTTTACCAGATGAGACGATAGGCAATAGGCATAATAAGCCATGATGTTTATACTTAGAAATATCAATGTCGTATTACAAAATACATATGTCAATGTGGCAAAGTGTAAATGTCGATGAGTAAAAATGCCAAATGTGTAATTTAACTAAAAAATCCAATGTAAACAACAGAATGCAGCTTGTATTTAACAATTTGTATAAGACAATGTGCATTAGACACTTTGTATTACGCATTCTGTACTAGACACTTTGTATTACCCATTCTGTACTAGACACTTTGTATTACACATTCTGTACTAAACACTTTGTATTACACATTTTGTGCTAGACATTTTGTATAACACATTCTGTACTAGACACTTTGGATTACACATTCTGTACTAGACACTTTGTATTACGCATTCTGTACTAGACATTTTGTATAACACATTCTGTACTAGAGACTTTGTATTACACATTCTGTACTAGACACTTTGTATTACACATTCTGTACTAGATACTTTGTATAACACATTCTGTACTAGACACTTTGTATTACACATTCTGTACTAGACACTTTGTATTACACATTCTGTACTAGACACTTTGAATAACACATTCTGTATTAGACACTTTGTATAACACATTCTGTACTAGACACTTTGTATTACACATTCTGTACTTGACATTTTGTATTACACATTCGGTACTTGACATTTTGAATTACTTCTTGTTTATAAGCCTTCTAATACATACTTTGCAATTACAAACATATACCTTAATGAAATATGACGTATTCTTTAGCATATTTAAAAAGACGACAGAAACACACGGAAATTTATAAAGCTTCGACACACTGAATAATCTTGGCAACGTTATACCTCTATAATTCTTTGTTTATCGTGAAGTTTTTATCCTGAACACTTTGACTTTAATGTCCTGGTAACTTTTTGAATATTCCAATATCAGCATTTTTAATAAGAAACATGCAATAAGGTTCAGTGGATGTCCATTTCTATTGTATTGCAGTATAAAGAATTGATTATTATAAAGAATTCAATTAACTTGTATGTTGTTTATCATACCGAATTATTCAAGTGTCACCATCTAAAATATATAAAAGACTTGAAAAAATCGAGATTGTCAGAAAGGCTGAAATATTGCCTTCAAAGTCGCACCTTGTAGTTTAAGAATACAGTAAAACCTTTACTGGTATTAGAGTTGGTTGGTGGACATAAAAAATCACCATGACTAAAGTTACATTGGTCCTTCTGGTTATAGGACTGATTGTCGTAGTCTCTATACTTCAAGGTAACTTAATGATTTATTTTCTGTGTTTGGTTGAAAATAAAATATTATGCTTTCTTCGGAAGAACTGAAGTCAATGTGGTTTGGTCTAACAAATAGTCTTCAAATGGTTTGTAGAAAATAATGTAGATTATTAAGTCTTAGGATCGTAGCAATGTTGTCAAGTGGCATGGTTTATACCTAAAATCTGCGGAACTATGACAGTGAAACACTGATACAAAAGTTTACAAACTCCTGACTCCTGTATAAGATTATTTCCACAAATGTCAAGAAAAGCGACATAGCATGGCATCTGTATGTGGTGCAAAACTCCAAAAACCCACAACTACGTACGTGAAACCGAAAGACACTATGATTCAGTACAATCAATTAATAATTGTTCGTGAAGAATTCAAATGATGTACATGAAATCTATTTATTTTAGCTGATGCCCAGAAGAAGACTACAAAGGTTGAAAAATCAGGTAATATTAAAATGAATGGGTTTCAATGAATATTTCCATACTTCCTCTGCGAGACTCTTAACAGCATCAATATTCAAAGCTACGGAAATATATCTATCTAATGATTTGCCAAGTGTTTACATCTCTTCGTTCTATTGCAGGATGGCAATCGACTGGTGACGGACGAAGAAGGAGACGAGTGAAAAAAACCACCACAACAACATCAAGTGGTAGAAGGTCTGGCGGTAGAAGGTCCGGTGGTGGAAGTAGACAGTCAACTAAGACGACTAAGTCAGGTAGATAATATAGTGATTAGTAATTCTATTTATAGTATTGAAGCTCCTATGATGCTATAACAGTAAGAATTTAGAAACAGATTTAATAGATAGTTTAGTAGCCAGAGACATATCTGAAAGCCAGTCTTATAGCCGGTCTGAATGTAAACTAGTCTTGTAGTCGGTCTGAATGTAAGCCAGTCATGTAGCTGCTCTGAAAGTAAACTAGTCTTGTAGTCGATCTGAAAGTAAACCAGTCTGTCTTATAGCCGGTATATTAGCCAGTCTTGTAGCCGGTCTAAAAGTGCATTCGGTCTCATAGCGCCGATCTGAAAGACAGCCTTCTAGCCCAGGTTTGTAGCCAAGAAGGCCAGTGGAACCGATCCTTGTTTGGTAACCGGTGCATATCAAAACAGTTTAGATTTTAAATAACGTTTATATTTTTAAAATATAGAATGGCAGTCTACTGGTGATGGTCGAAGGAGGCGACGAGTTAAAAAAGTTACAACCACAAGAAATTCTGGTAGCTCCAGATCTGGTGGTCGGCGTAAGGGTAGAAAAGGCCGAAAGGGTCGAAAAGGCAGAAAGGGCCGAAAGGGCCGAAAGGGTCGAAAAGGTCGAAAGGGTCGAAAAGGTCGAAAGGCTAGGAAAGGCAGAAAAGGTAGAAATGCAGGACGATCTGGAAGACGATCCTCCAGAAACAGTTCTGGTAAGATTGTATTTATTTAACGATAAAATGAATCATCTCCAGTTAGTCATGAAATGATATCGAAGTATAAAATATCGCTGTATCCAATTTAATGAAAATATTAAATTTGTATTTCTAGTTGAGTATGAATACGAATGGGAAACTTCAGGTCGAAAATCAGGAGGAAGAAAGGGAAGGAAAGGTCTAAAGGGACGAAAAGGAAGAAAGGCAAGGAAAGGTCGAAAAGGCAGAAAGGGCAGAAAAGGCAGAAAAGGCAGAAAAGGCAGAAAGGCTCGAAAAGGCCGAAAGGGACGAAAAGGAAGGAGGGCAAGGAAAGGTCGAAAGGGACGAAAAGGCAGAAAGGGAAGGAAAGGCAGAAAAGGCCGAAAGGGTCGAAAAGCCAGGAAAGGCAGAAAAGGCAGAAAAGCAGGGAGATCTGGAAGACAATCTTCCAGAAGCAGTTCTGGTAAGATTAATGACGACAATGTTATATTTTTTACGCCGTTCCATTTCAGATCCCATACTATTAGCTACTTGAATTGATTTCAAATTTCCAGTAGAAATGAAAGTTGCTTCCCTTTATAATCAGTTTTGTTTTGTTTTTGAGACACTCAAAGGATTGACTCCCGATCAAACCAGTAATGTCTAACAATATTGTTTTTTCTGTTCTAGTTGAGTATGAATACGAATGGGAAACTTCAGGTCGAAGATCAGGAGGAAGAAAGGGAAGGAAAGGTCGAAAAGGACGAAAAGGAAGGAAGGCAAGGAAAGGTCGAAAAGGCAGAAAGGGTAGAAAAGGCAGAAAAGCTAGAAAAGGCAGAAAGGGGAGAAAGGCAAGGAAATCTGGAGGACGATCTTCAAGAAGCAGTTCTGGTAAGATTTTGGTTAGACCCTATTGTTATAATGGGAATATCCTTCATTTATATGAGATAACGTTATTTGTTTATTTCACGGCTTGCTTTATCCTTGTTAGGAACAAAACAGAACAGAATGTATTTTTACATTTACATTTCACATGCTGAACAATTTGACCTTTACTTTATTTTCTTTTAGTTGAGTATGAATATGAATGGGAATATGCAGGTGGTAGATCAAGAGGCAGAAAGGCTCGAAAAGGCCGAAAGGGACGAAAAGGTCGAAAAGGCAGAAAGGCTCGAAAAGGACGAAAAGGCAGAAAGGGACGAAAAGGTCGAAAAGGCAGAAAGGCTCGAAAAGGACGAAAAGGCAGAAAGGGACGAAAAGGTCGAAAAGGCAGAAAGGCGCGAAAAGGACGAAAAGGCAGAAAGGGAAGGAAAGGAAGAAAGGCAAGGAAAGGCAGAAAAGGACGAAAAGGCAGAAAGGCAAGGAAAGGCAGAAAGGCAAGGAAAGGAAGGAAAGGCAGGAAAGGTCGAAAGGGAAGAAAAGGTCGAAAAGGCAGAAAAGTTTCTAGAAAAAATCGAAATTGTAAGTAATTTTGCCATCTTAAATTTCCAGCAATGGCAGTTGGATTGATATCTGAACATGAAATTTATTATTTAAATATTGTGAAAAGTTCACAGTCAAGCGTTCATAGACACACTTAGATTTCTGTCCAGTTATTTATATAGATTTTCAACTTCTTCATCCAAGTAAATTTAGTCAATAATACAAGAACTCTATATTTTTAGCCGGAGCCCGCCGAAGTGGAAGAAATTCAAATCGATCTACAACAGGTACATGTATTTGATATCAGTAAATTTGTTTCTCTAAATTCATTGAACTTGATTGTTCCTGTGACATTTCTATCATATTGATTTTTAAGTAAAAATTTTGTAAATCTAATTGATATACTCCCATTTTCGTAGCTCCGTTTATGAAATAATCGGGGAAAACAAATCTCAATTTAAAATAGTGGCCTAATTGCAGGGCGATATGGAGATTGAAATATTTTGTTTCTCAGTGTTATTGGGTCACTAATGAACTTCGAGTCTTATCGTAATATTTCATGACAGCCTTTACAGATTGATTTATTATTAATGGCGGAAATATTGGGTTGAAAAAGCACTGGTCAAACATTGATATACAACTCGTATACGATTAATTTAAGGAACAAGAATGATTTCTATTTTTAGTTGAATATGAGTGGGAATATGTAGATGATTCTGGTAGAAGAAGGAGAAACCGAAAAGGCAGAAAGGGTCGAAAAGGCAGGAAGGCTCGAAAAGGAAGAAAGGGTCGAAAAGGCAGGAAGGCTCGAAAAGGAAGAAAGGGTCGAAAAGGCAGAAAGGCCCGAAAAGGCAGAAAGGGTCGAAAAGGCAGAAAAGGCAGAAAAGGCAGAAAAGGCAGAAAGGGTCGAAAGGGTCGCAAAGGCAGAAAGGGCCGAAAGGTTTCCAGGAAAAATCGAAGATGTGAGTCATAGATATTGATTATAGCAACTGTAGGAAAATCTGTATATATGTGCCACTGGGATTAGGCTGTGCATATTTCTAATGTAGAACACCCTTACTATTCAAATAGTTCATATTCTTTCAGTTTTATTTCACTTATTTTTAATTAAAGTATAAATATCTGTATTTTGTTTCAGCTGGAGCCAGCCGACGTAATGGAAGAAACTCAAGAACAACTGGTAAGTTTCACATTTTAACTGTTTGTCGCATTGGTTTTTTAATATCCTAAAGGGATTGTTTTTTAAAATTTATATGTGTATAGGGGACACTGATAAGCATAAATTTGCACCATTCCTATTGTCAAAAATTCCACAAAAACTAAGCGTTTTGTATCGTCACTGATAGTCCTCATGTGATACAGCATATACAGCAGACGTCTGATTGAAAATAGGAATGGTACAAATTGATGGTATCGGTGTCTCCGATACACATAAAAAAAGTAGGCCTACGCTACACAAGTAGCTTGGGAAGGTATATAATCCAACAAATTGTTTACCTTTGATATGAGGATAGATTCTTATTTTAGTTGAATATGAATGGGAATATGTAGATGATTCTGGAAGAAGGAGAAACAGAAAGGGCCTAAAAGGCAGAAAGGGAAGAAAAGGTAGAAAAGAACGAAAAGCAAGAAAAGGGCGAAAAGGACGAAAACCTAGAAAGGGAAGAAAAGGCAGGAAAGGACGAAAACCTAGAAGGGGAAGAAAAGGCAGTAAAGGACGAAAACCTACAAGGGGAAGAAAAGGACGAAAAGGCAGAAAAGGACGAAAACCTAGAAAGGGAAGAAAAGGCAGAAAGGGCAGAAAAGGACGAAAACCTAGAAGGGGAAGAAAAGGCAGAAAAGGACGAAAGCCAAGAAGGGGAAGAAAAGGAAGAAAGGGAAGAAAGGGAAGAAAAGGCAGAAAAGGACGAAAGCCTAGAAGGGGAAGAAAGGGCAGAAAAGGACGAAAGCCTAGAAGAGGAAGAAAAGGCAGAAAAGGCAGAAAAGGACGCAAACCTAGAAATGGAAGAAAAGGCAGAAAAGGACGTAAGGGCAGAAAAGGACGAAAACCTAGAAGGGGAAGAAAAGGAAGAAAGGGAAGAAAAGGCAGAAAAGGACGAAAGCCTAGAAGGGGAAGAAAGGGCAGAAAAGGACGAAAACCTAGAAGGGGAAGAAAAGGCAGAAAAGGAAGAAAAGGACGAAAGCCAAGAAAGGGAAGAAAAGGACGAAAACCTAGAAAGGGAAGAAAAGGCAGAAAAGGTCGAAAAGGCAGAAAGGGCAGAAAAGGCAGAAAAGGACGAAAACCCAGAAGAGGAAGAAAAGGCAGAAAAGGACGAAAGCCAAGAAGGGGAAGAAAAGGAAGAAAAGGCAGAAAAGGACGAAAACCTAGAAGGGGAAGAAAAAGCAGAAAAGGCCGAAAACCTAGAAAGGGAAGACAAGGCAGAAAGGGCAGAAAAGGACGAAAGCCAAGAAGGGGAAGAAAAGGAAGAAAACCTAGAAGAGGAAGAAAACCTAGAAAGGGGAGAAAAGGCAGAAAAGGACGAAAACCTAGAAAGGGAAGAAAAGGACGAAAAGGCAGAAAAGGACGAAAGCCTAGAAGGGGAAGAAAAGGCAGGAAAGGACGAAAACCTAGAAGGGGCAGAAAAGGCAGGAAAGGACGAAAATCTAGAAAGGGAAGAAAAGGCAGGAAAGGACGAAAACCTAGGAGAGGAAGAAAAGGCAGAAGAGGACGAAAGCCTAGACGGGGAAGAAAAGGAAGAAAACCTAGAAGGGGAAGAAAAGGCAGAAAAGGACGAAAACCTAGAAAGGGGAGAAAAGGAAGAAAAGGACGAAAACCTAGAAGGGGAAGAAAAGGCAGAAAAGGACGAAAACCTAGAAGGGGAAGAAAAGGAAGAAAACCTAGAAGGGGAAGAAAAGGCAGAAAAGGACGAAAACCTAGAAAGGGAAGAAAAGGCAGAAAAGGACGAAAACCTAGAAGGGGAAGAAAAGGAAGAAAAGGACGAAAACCTAGAAGGGGAAGAAAAGGCAGAAAAGGACGAAAACCTAGAAAAGGAAGAAAAGGCAGAAAAGGACGAATACCTAGAAAGGGAAGAAAAGGACGAAAACCTAGAAGGGGCAGAAAAAGCAGAAAAGGACGAAAGCCTAGAAGGGGAAGAAAGGGCCGGAAAGGACGAAAACCTAGAAAAGGCAGAAAAGGAGAAAACGAAAACCTAGAAAAGGAAGAAAAGGTAGAAAAGGGCGAAAGCCTAGAAGGGGCAGAAAAGGCAGAAAAGGACGAAAGCCTAGAGGGGGAAGAAAGGGCAGGAAAGGACGAAAACCTAGAAAGGGAAGAAAAGGCAGGAAAGGACGAAAACCTAGGAGAGGAAGAAAAGGTAGAAAAGGAAGAAAAGGACGAAAACCTAGAAAGGGCAGAAAAGGACGAAAACCTAGAAAGGGAAGAAAAGACAGGAAAGGACGAAAACCTAGAAAAGGGAGAAAAGGACGAAAGCTTAGAAAGGGCAGAAAAGGCAGAAAAGGGCGAAAACCTAGAAAGGGCAGAAAAGGCAGAAAAGGGCGAAAACCTAAAAAGGGCAGAAAAGGAAGAAAAGGAAGAAAACCTAGAAAAGGCAGAAAAGGGCGAAAGCCTAGGAAAGGAAGAAAAGGCCGAAAAGGTAGAAAGGGCAGAAAAGGACGGAAACCTAGAAAGGGACGAAAAGGTAGAAAAGAACGCAAAGGCAGAAAAGGACGCAAAGGAAGAAAGGCCAGGAAATCTCCAAAGAAGGTTGCGGGTGAGTAGATAAATTGTGTATTGATTTCACGTTTCAAAGAATTAAAACTGTTCCGAGCTACAAATAAGGGACAAGAGAAAATATGGTATTGACAGCTAAAGTGGTATTATAACTACAGAATAAACAATCTTCACTAATATATTCAGTGTGGATATGTTTAAAACGTATGTAATCTTTATCTTGCAGCAAAGAGCCCAAGAAAACGAAGCGGCAATGCCAAAGTCGAACGTGTTGTTCCCAAACCAGGTAAGTTATTTTTTTTTGTTGAAATCACGTTTCTTGCTTTTTTTTGTAAGTTTTTTTTTATGTTTTTTAAACTGGTGGACAACATGATAATACTATTTCTGAGAATATATTTTGAATATTTTTCAACAGTTGTTATTGTGGAGAAGCCATCCAAACCTGTTGTTAAAGTTATCAAAGCTCAACCACAAGTACAACCAGTTATTATTTCTAAACCAGCTGAAAAACCGGTTGCTGTTTCTAAACCAGCTCCTAAACCAAAAGAGGAAGCTACACCGGCTGTCGTATCTAAACCTGAAGTATCATCTGTAGTCATTCCTGAACCTTCTGACATTGATGACATGGCAGGTAAATAGTTTTCTCCGCACTTGAATGTTTCAAAGGGACAAATAAGGAGCTGTGCGCTAAACGATCCCTTGACAGATTGAAACTGAAGTTCCAAAAAATACTGACAAATTGGCACCCGTTTAAATCCTAATCATTTAGGTTTAAAGTCAATGTAGCTAATATATAATCTCGACAATAATCAACTTCAAAATAGTATACTAATAGTTATCTGGTAAGATAAAAAAAAACTATCCACGATTACTCCACATCAGAATCATCATCCTCGTTAAACTTTCAACATGTTACTGATATTCTAATTAAATTAACAGAGCACAGACAGTTGTACTCACTACTGAAGAAGATGCATTCTAAAGAGATCAGTAAACTGAGAAAGATGAGAAGAATGAGAAGAATCAGGAAGAAGATTCTCAGCAGAATTCTTCACAAGGATGGTAATGTAACATTAAATCTGATCTGATACGATAGGATCTAGAAGGGGATGTTTCACACAACACTATTGGGCTACTATCTGTTTTGACAATATCGTCCGCTCCCAATATTAGATTCTTTGGGCAATATCAGGCTTTATGCAGCCTATACTACTATGCCCCCCCCCCCTCCCCCCTAGTAATGTTTCCTGAAGCGACCTTCATCGAGTTCTCTTTATTGAGCTTTAACACGAATGTTCTGAGCATCTGTATACCAATTATATGCTATCACAAGAACAAATAGTACTCTAGTAAATATACAGATTAGTGTGGCACAAAGGAAACGGCATCTGCGAAATACGTAACATGATGTCTTTGTTATTGTCAACCACGACTGAAGCACAACAGCTACAGCAGAAGAGAACCACCTTGAAAAATGACAGAAGGGGTGCTATGGCTCTCCAATTTTAGCCCAGTTGGTGACCCTATTTTTGCACAAATTGATTATTTTTTCAGCCGACTATGATCACTATTTTGGAAACAGGAGATATGATAGCAGAGGATATGGTAGTAGATATGGTAGTAGAGGATACAGACATAGTTATCATCACGATGGAGAAGATGAACCCGTTGTCTTTGATCTCAAGAATAACCTGAATCTCTGTGCCTAAACTTGGACATTCCGTATACCTCAATTATAAAGACAGAATAAATTATAACTTGTATCCAATTATAGATCCTTATGTTGGTTTGCTAATCTAATGTTAATTAAAATGTAAGGATTTGATGAAATTGGAATAAATATATTGCATACAAATAACTTGTGTTACCTTGACTATTCTTATTGACTTGAATACCTAGCATGTAGCACATGTATGTACAGTGGCGGCGCCAGCCTCCCAAAACTGGGGGTACTGATAAGGGGCAAACTGTCTAGACTGATTCCAGAATGCGGTAACTGTGGAGGTTTCATAGTCACAAGTCTCCCATTTTTCCAAAGAAAATTTTCAACAATATTGAATTGATTGGGTGTATTCTGACACATATTTAGGGATAATTGGGGTGTAAATTATTTTTCTAAGGGAGCAAATGCCTCAATATGTACCCAAACTGCAACCGCGGTGACAATGATAGCACGCAAGCATCTTTGATCTGATGCTATTGCTCATGTTACATTAGCACCCTGTGTAGACTGCTTGGTGAATTTTGCAGCGAAGTTTTAACCTCAATGGTTTTTGCTAATTTATGAATTGACAATAATGGTATACCAAACAATTACCTTAAAACTACTACATAGCTATGTGGACTCTCTCCGAAAATGAAATTGGAAAGCGAAGTCTCAATCTCATCATGTTTTGGAAGAGTGAACAGACCCTGCCTCGCTACCGACAACAGCCACAATACTTATCATAGTACCGCTCAAATTTCAGAACGATTTTGAACTTGGAACCTAGGTTGAAGAATGATCTCGAGGACAACCTTATACACAAGCAGTATCATATACCCATTGATAACAAATTCATCAAACAAAACAATTTTTTTTTATGTGGACCCTTCAATGTCCTTGATCAAGCCAATAACAAAGTGGAATTATAGACCTCGCTTTATTTTATTTCTTAAACTAGCAGTCCTGATGAAACAGGAGCATTTTATTAAATCTCACGAAAAGGACCTCAAAAGTAAAGAAACAGATTGACAAAAGCAATGATAACACACGAGTCCGATAATAAGTGCGGTCCCTGCGAAAATATCACAAAAACCATTGACCCGTTTTTATCTCTTACATAAAATCCCATTTGTAAATTATCGAAGGATCAATATGTATATATATTAGTAATGATACGATTTACTTAACCTACTTTACAGACAAATAGAAAGTCAACTGGTCGCCGAAGGCTGAACTGATAGAGAAGGACGAGTTGTACATGTTGGTCAACTCAGATCACTGGCACGTGCAAGTTGTGTTCGAGCGATGAGTTTTGTCTTGCCAAGTGTATTAGGATTTTAGTTGGAGATATTGGGGATTTCACTCGCTGTCTGTAGAATCACATCATTGTTAGTCCCCACAGAAAACTAACTATTTTCTATATAAATGGGGAGAGACCAATCTTTCCAAGCACAATCGCTAAGTTTCAACATAATTCACTAGCTCACTAGTCACTCTATTTCTCTTATAGATCAGTGGCGGTTCTATGAATCCGTAGGTGAAAGGGCCTGGCAGGGGCAACGGAATTGTTGAAAGAGCGAAGAGGGCAGCATTCGGCATGTTGGGTAAGAAACGAACTGCTCTCAAGAGACATGTCCCATGTTTTGGGTAGGTTGTAGGTCTAATGTATATATTTATTAGTAAGACTTGTCATGACTAAAGAATGGGTAATAAATATAATTGAAAAACGCTTTTAAGCGTTCTACTTTCCCGTTCATACTTGAGAATATATGCTGGAATGGGGATAAAGGGTACATGGCATGAAGATACATCAGTATTCTATGGAATACCTCATTGTTTATAGGGGGGGGGGGCACATTTAAGATTGACAGAATGTATGTCCTTGGGACGTTTAGACCAAATCCAACAATAGCCATGAAGTATTAATTTTCCGTTTCTCTGACATTTGTCGCTCGAATCCGAATGGGACAGAGGGACCATTTTTTTTTACCAATCATACTTTAGTCTCAGAAACGGGAAATTTTTAGCTAAGCCAATCAGTACTAGACTTCACAGCTCACAGTCCAAATTTGAGCATTCAAAGCTATGTGTGTCCAGAATTGTCCGCGATTGAATGTTAAAATGACGACTCGTCAATTTAAGATACTCTGTGATATACAGAAAAGACATATATAGAAATAGTGATATAGTGTGAAGTATTTTTTAAAGAATCTTGCGATTTTCGTACATTTCTAGTACTTCTGAAGACTATTTACATATATTTAAGACTAAAATCAACCCCCAAAAATGGCCCATCTATCTCTTTAGAAACAGAAATTTTACTATAGAATTTTTCTTAAACACTCTTCCAGAAAGGTAAAACAAACAAAAAAAGAAAGAAATTAAATAATTGAAATTTAAATCTGTTTAAAACATTTTTCTATCTTCAAGTTAAGACTAGAGTATGGTCAATCATCTTTCAATTTCGACATCCAGTTAGCCATCTGTTTCGATCATTTTGATACGAAGACTTGTTCTGAATGAAAGGTTAATTATTTCAAGAAAATCACTCGAAACATAATAGATCTAAGTTATTGTGTCGTATATAAAAATAATAAGCAGCCAGTGTAGTGTAACCTACTAATATAAACCAGGATGGAAGAACTTTCTTGTTTTTCTGAATATGCGTCATATCAACATCAGCGGACATCAGAGTAGGAGTAGACTACGTCAAAAATAATGTGTTATAAGATCAAACGAGTAAATGAAGTTATTGAAGTCTGAATGAAGTGAAAGTTTTGTGGAAGCAGCATGAAGGTCGCGCTAGCCATTCTACTTACAGTGTTAATAACAGTTTTTACATCCACCAAAGGTAATCATCAATTTGAACACAGGTTTATCAATTTTTGTTTATATTGTACAGTCCTTTTTTTATTCATCAGAGGCAGTAATTCTGGTTTTAGGAATTTCATTTGCAAGTAACTTTATTGACCGTAACATTTACAAAAATATTTTAGACTATGATATAAAGATTTAGAAATAATGCAAACTAATTCGGCGCGTACTGCTACTTTAAACGCCTTTTTCAATGTTATGATAAGAAGTTAATTAAGGCCAACCATGATTCATCATCTTGTCTTGTAGTGCTTTATGAAATGGTAATTCTGTAATATTTTAAAGATAGCGCATGATACACTTCTTTAGACAAATATGCACATGTTTTTCAGCAAGATCTTTAGAAAATGGTGGACATCCTAGAAAATCAACAGAAGTAACTAAATCACGTAAGGATTTGATTTCATTCAAATATATTTTCTTACATTTTTGTAAGGGGACGAAGGTATTATTAGAAGCTGGGCGAGACAGATAAGAACAAATGACTCATCTTAAAACTGATCCTCACATCTTTCTCAAAGAGATGGGTTTTGGTGTTGTGCGGGTAAGACGAAGGAAAGGGGAGATAAGTTCCCCGACAAGAAATTATCAGTAATGAGAGTCAAATGAGTAATGTTGGTATTTTATTTATAAAATATTTAATTGTCTGTCCTACAGTAAACTGATTATTATTTTGTTGATTAGTGGTATTGACCTGACCTATAATGTTAAGCTGATTTAATTAGATTTCACTCCTATTCAATAGCTGATCCTACTCACCATTATGTTCAGATTAGTTCACCTCTTTCTTAACACTGGGCCTATAATATCTTCACTTTGCATTTTAATTTGAGCGAGTAAAGTCATTCAAGTATTTTACCATGAGTAATATTTTACAGATTTGGAATCACTGGAAGATGACCACCAACGGCGCATTCCAGAAACAAGTCATAAGATGCCAAGAACGAGAAAAACTTATATTAGATCTTTAAGAAACAGAAGAAAATCTGGTAAGTCGCTTTTTATCCAGAATTCGAAGGATATTTGTCCAATTTACAGGGTGTATTTCAAAATGAAGGGTTGAGAATAAAGCTAATGAATGTAAAAGGATTGTCCAAATGAGGTTCATAAAACAGAGACTACCTGAAGAGGCTATTTTTTCGGGTGTATTCCCAGTTTGCACGCCAATATATGTACGTAATGTCTCTTTGTGAAATGTATCAACATTTGATTCATGGTTCAGTTTCGATGATTGTCTATTTTAGTTTTTGGACGAAGACGTAAAGTCAATCGAAGGGAAAAGAAAATTGGTGTACCAGACGTATCAGGGAGGCTGAGAAAAAATCGGAAGGGTAGAAGGTACAAAAAAATAAAGGCGCGGAAGATAGTTTATCCTAAAAGGTTAGGAAGAAAACGAAACAATCGTTTCTGGCCAAAACGTAGACGAAAAAAACAGAAAAGGAAACGGAGGCGAAGAAGGCTGAAAAATAAATTCAGGAAAAGAAAACGAAAATTAAGGACATTTCGGAAACAAAAAGCAGATTTAAAACCGCGATATAGACTAAAACGGAAGCCAAGTAGACGAAAGACCGATAGAAAGCGTTTAAACAAAAGAAGAATTCGAAACTTTGGGAATCGCAAAGATCGACAACCAAGAAAGAAACTGATAGAAAGGGGCGAACATAAATTTCAAAATCGAAGGAGAAAAAAGAGCAATATGAGAAAGGGACGAAGTAAAAATTTGAAAAATGAGCGACGAGGCAGAAAACGGCGACGACTCTCAGGAAGAAGGAAACCGAGACTATCTACACGCAGAAAACCTCGACGATACGCGCGAAGAGAGCCCATTGTAAAAGTAAACAGAGTAGATGCTCCTCAAGGTATGTTTTATGTTTGATACTACTCCGCCGAATACGAACAGGATATGTGTCCTCGGATACTTATCCAGAAATATCCTGGGCTATGATCTATATAGCATATATAGTGAATTACAGTTTTAAGGTTAATGTTCATGAATACAAAGATGCAAGTAACAAATTAGACAAGATTTATGAATATTTTTGATGCCTCCATGAAAGATTCATCTACTTCTGGTCGATGTGTGGTATTTCTTGTATTTCTTGTTCTTCTTGTATCATAATATGTTTTTCATGAAGATTGACGATCTTATTTCTTTAATTTCGTTATAGAGTCCAAGCCAACTGTAGAACCATCAACAGTTGTCATAAAAACAACTACAACACAACCAACAGCGGTTGTCATGAAAACAACAACCGAGGAACCAACTACTGTTGCCATGAAAACAACTGAAGAACTTACTACAGTAACTATGAGAACAACCACTGAGGAAGCAACCACAGTAACCATGAAAACAACCACTGAAGAACCTACTACAGTCGCCATGAAAACACTGACAGAAGAACATACTATAACAGAACCAACTACAATAACCATGAAAACAGCAACAATGGAACCAACTACACTTGCCATGAAAACAACTACAACAGAACCACCTACACTTGCCATGAAAACAACTACAACAGAACCACCTACACTTGCCATGAAAACAACTACAACAGAACCAACTACAGTTGCCATGAAAACAACCACTGAAGAACCTACTACAGTTTCCATGAAAACAACCACTGAAGAACCTACTACAGTTGCCATGAAAACAACCACTGAAGAATCTACTACAACAGAACCAACTACAGTTTCCACGAAAACAACCAATGAAGAGCCTACTACAGTTTCCATGAAAACAACAACAGAAGAACCTTCAACAGTTACCATGAAAACAACCACCGAGGAACCTATTACAACAGAACCAACTACAGTTGCCATGAAAACAACAACTGAACAGCCTATAACAGTTACCATGAAAACAACCACTGAGGAACCTATTACAACAGAACCAACTACAGATGCCACGAAAACAACAACTGAAGAGCCTACAACAGTTACCATGAAAACAACCACTGAGGAACCTATTACAACAGAACCAACTACAGTTGCCATGAAAACAACCACTGAAGAGCCTACGACAGTTACCATGAAAACAATCACTGAAGAACCGTCTACAGTAATATGGAAAACAACCAATGAGAAACCTTCTACAGTCGCCTTGAAAACAACCACTGAAGAAACTACTACAACAGAACTTACTACAACAGAACCAACTACAGTTGCCATTGAAACAACCACTGAAGAACCTACTACAGTTGCTATGAAAACAACCACTGAAGAACCCATTACAGTAACCATGAAAACAACCACGGAAGAACCCATTACAGTAACCATGGTTACAACCACTGAAGAACCTACTACAACAGAACCAACTACAGTCGCCTTGAAAACAACTACTGAAGAACCCATTACATTTGTCATGGAAACAACTACTGAGAAACCAGCTGGAACTGTCATGGAAACATCCAGAACACCGGCATCTACAGTTGCTGTAAAAACAACTAACAAAGAACCAACCACAGTTTCCATGAATACAATTACAACAGAACCTACTACAGTTGTCATGGCAACTGCAATTACACCTATCAAACCAACATCAGCACCAGTGACCATGATACCATCTACCCGTAAACCTACTTTAACTACGAAGGAAGCAACAAATAACATGACCACATTTTCTGCGGCATCAATTTCTCAACAAAAAATGGAAAGCTCTGATATCATTAAAGGTAAATAGAACTTGACGTTTGGTGTTCAATGGAACCACAAAACTCAATTATAGGTTTTAAGGCATGTTGCCGCTGATTTTTAAAACTCCTCTTTTTTGGCAACCTCTATTTCAGAACTCCTAGAGAAAGTCGCTACAGCGAAGAAGATGTATGGGAAAGAATACCACGATACTTTAGCGGAAGATATGAAAATCAGAAAATTACAGAAGAGAATTCGACGAAAGAATGATCTGAATACAGATGGTGAGTGAAGCAGTGATATTCATTACTATGAAATAACGGTTGTTTCTGACTCTAATGTTACAATGCGTTGCCACATTATGACATTAACTTTTGAATCTGTCTTAAAGCGTCCACAGCTGTTAATAATGTTTATTTTGGTATTATTTTCAGAACTGTTGAAGAAACATGATTTATTAGAGAAATTGTATCACACGGAATATGATAATGCTATGATGGATGCTACAAAATTTATGGACGGAAAAATCATGGCACTCGAAGGTTTGTACAAATGTATTTCAGTCATATTTGAATACTTCGCAGAAACTGAATAGTCTGCATAGTCATTCTATAAGATCTTAATCTAAAAAAAAACAGTTGACAGATTCCAATGAGTGTTTTCGTATACTATTTCCGTAAAATCCTTGATTACATTTCTACTGCATTTTACAGGGTTTAATTTTAAGAAGTTTCGGTTTAATGAGCATTTATAACAATTTGTAACCTTTTCAGAAGAATCTGAAGATGTCGACCAGCGTTATAGAGGCGACCAAGAGTTAGCAGTAGAAGATACCGCTTCTGGTGACACTTTAGGGCAAGGTTTAGGAGAACACCAAAATGATGTTGCTGAACATGTGGAAATCAAACTAGAAAATAACCTCAACATGTGTTCTTAATGTAACATGTCAAAATCATCCCTATTAAGTGTTACCAGTAACTACTGTCATTATTTGTTTTTAGTCCATTTGTTTCTAATGTATCTGTTAAAGATGTGTCCCTAAGCTGAGCAGAGTCAAACGAAGCATATTGTTTGATAAATTGGATTATTTGAAACTTAAAAGTGGTTTTTCACATTTTAAAGAGTGAAATCAATCAAACTATTGAATTATTCACGTATTCTTAATCTAAAGAAATGAATGTGGGTGTGGAGAATTCAATAGACTCAAATTCACTTGGTGTAGCTAAATTCAGATTCCATGTCATCAGATGACGTGAAGCTATATTTGAATTTACTAGCCAAATTTTCAGATATATGCTTTAATTATGAATCTCCGACTCGACTTCATCTGTCGATTGTTCAGTCTCACTTGTGTAAATGGAAAGAATGTCATAAAAGAAGACAAACTTAATGATTATGAAAAGTGATCCTGGTGGATTTCCACGGGTAGCAATTATGGCGTTATATTAATTGGAAAAATAAGAGCATTCCCTTTGTCATAACTTGTGACGATGAAGTAAACTTTGTTAGAAATAAAGTTCTTATTTCATAACATGTTTTTTGTATTTTACTGTAAAACCTTTACGTTCAACGTTTTAATTTTATGCCATTTGCATGTTAATTAGCCAATAAGCAATCATTCGACATATGGAATAGATGATATTCAAACTTATGGCCTCGAACAGCATTTTGTTTCAATGAATTCAAATACAGAATCAAATTTATTGAAAGTTAAATAATCAAGGGTTGTATGCCCTTAATAGATCAGAACTGGTATTTGTTCTGGCGAGACAGTCCTGTCAGTCTTAGAGCTAAGGAAATATAAATATATAAAAACCCAGTGGCATGGCACACTGCATTATTTGTTGGTTTTCAATTGATATCTCTATACAGTCCTACATGATTATCTCGAAATGGATTCCATCTTTAGTCTGAATATTATCTTGTCTGAGACCGAATTTCGATTCAGAACAAATGGTGTTACTGAACAATAAATTACCATATCGTCAACTTCGTCAACGATCAGGCAAAACAAGATGAGCTGCATCCATTTTACTTTACCGTTCGTTTGAGAATGTCTGGTGTCGAGAGCATGAGACACGCTTACTAAAAAGACGCTCGCCAGAAAAGCCGCTACTTTTTCTTCTAAATGAGAATGATAAATGAACATGGACAGGTTGTACTAATGGTCTTGAACAAACGGTTTACCGTGAAAGTTCTGCTTGCGCTCTGTAACATATCACGGGAATGAATGACAATCATTATTTACCAGAACTATTGTCACATGATCATAGTAGTTCTCATATCAATGGCTGGTCTTTCATAATTACAAGCGTTTGTAGACAAAGTCATTAAAAAGAAAATATGGGTTCAATATGATAAAAAAAATGGTAAACAATATAATAGTCAAGATAGAACAATTAATATAGAAGTAAGTGTCACCCAAGAAGACACAACGAAATCTACAGTTTTTACCGACACATATTCTTTACTTTACAGAAACTGCTCTCTGCCGAGGATTGCCAATTAGCCTGGAAGTGACGACAGTCTAAAGTTACATATCCAAATTATTTTAATGCTGAAAAGTGATACGTTTCGCTGAAACTGAATTGAATATTTAGGCGACCACCATACGAAATATAGTGTTCAGCGAACAAGCAGATCATCTACTGCTTGATTTAATTTACTTAAGACGGTCACTTTTCATAAAAAACATTATCAAAATTACATAGGTCCTCTAGAAGACCTGACTTCCTCTCAACATTTGTTCTGATATGCAACAATTTGAATGCTCATAACTTTTGATATAGTCCTTTTGCTTTTTCATGTGATTCCTAGATACATGTAATTACTTTTGGTCTGACGCGTTAAAATTCTTCTATTCTTTTATGGTGGAATAAGGGATACAAGGAAATAGTGGTAAAAAGATGCCAAGTACAAGGAGATCAATGAGTTGAAATTTATGGTACATGATCATCCTTGAACTAGCCTATCCATTACTTTGATCGTATGCTGTGTTCCCCTGACTCTAATAAATACCCCCAAATGCTTCAAATATTCAACTAATAGATAAACAACTAAATTGTATGCAATATATTTATTCCAATTTCATCAAATTCTTACATTTTAATTAACATTAGATTAGCAAACCAACATAAGGATCTATAATTGGGTATAAGTTATAATTTATTCTGTGTTTATAATTGAGGTATACGGAATGTCCAAGTTTAGGCACAGAGATTCAGGTTATTCTTGAGATCAAAGACAACGGGTTCATCTTCTCCATCGTGATGATAACTATGTCTGTATCCTCTACTACCATATCTACTACCATATCCTCTGCTATCATATCCTCTGTGTCCAAAATAGTGATCATAGTCGGCTGAAATAATAATTAAGATTGTTAGACAGAATTAGGTAACTAACTATGCTGGAAAGGAGAGTCAATAAAAATATCTTTTGTCATGATATCTCTGCTCTGGTGGTGCTCCTCTGCTGCCACTTGAGAAGGTGTAATCTATTGTTCATCCATCGTGGTTAACTGTAACCAAAATGTATGGCTGTGTGGCTGTGACTAAGGGTCTAAAATTTAAAACTGGAATGAAAGATTTTATATCCTAAAAATTTGTTCACGGAGCAAAGAGTAGGCCCATATTGATATGAGCAAAATCTTTTTAGATGGCCTAGATCTGTGTAGTAAATCCTAGCTTCTATCAGGTCAGATTCAATGTTATATCAACAGTTACTTACCATCCTTGTGAAGAATTCTGCTGAGAATCTTCTTCCTGATTCTTCTCATTCTTCTCATCTTTCTCAGTTTACTGATCTCTTTAGAATGCATCTTCTTCAGAAGTGAATACAACTGTCTGTGTTCTGTAAATCCAATGGGGATATCAATAACATAACATGTTGAAAGTTTCAGATGGACTGAACATAAGATGATTTTGATGTTGGTGTAATCTTGGATAGTTTTATATCCAATCAGATAACTATTTATATAATACTTTGAAGTTGATTATGGTTGACATTATATATTAGCTATCTTGACTTTCAAACCTAAATGATTAAGATTTGCTCCGTATTTGTCCCTTTGAAACATTCAAGTACAGAGATAACTATTTACCTGCCATGTCATCAATGTCAGAAGGTTCAGGAATGACTACAGATGATGCTTCAGGTTTAGATACGACAGCCGGTTTAGCTTCTTCTTTTGGTTTGGAAGCTGGTTTAGAAACAGCAACCGGTTTTTCAGCTGGTTTAGAAATAATAACTGGTTGTACTTGTGGTTGAGCTTTGATAACTTTAACAACAGGTTTTGATGGCTTCTCGACAATAACAACTGTTGGTTTTTCTTTGGGTGCTAAAAATATTCAAAATATATTCTCAGAAATAGTATTATCATGTTATCAACTAGTGTTTCTGATATAAATTAAAATTTTAACATTTGTTACTCAGAATGTATTAAAACAAAAAAGAGGCTTTTCATATTTTTGTTGTTGCTAAGAAAATAACATTAGGAATCAAGTCATAAAATGAAATAAAGCACAATAAACCAAAATTAGACAAACTAACTGACTTACCTGGTTTAGGAACAACACGTTCGACTTTGGCATTGCCACTTCGCTTTCGTGGTCTCTTTGCTGCAAAAAAATAAAGATTTCATTCGGTCTTAACATAACAATCATAGCAAGCTAACCTCTGATCGAAATAGAAGAAAAATACTCAACAGATCCGGACCGTTCATTTCATTTTCTCTATGAAATATTTGTTCCATCCTAGGCCTGTACATGAGGGAGAACCAAGCCTTTCCTCCTCCGACATATAGTCGATTGTTTATTCTGTAGTTATAATACCACTTTAGCTGTCAATACCATATTTTCTCTTGTCCCTTATTTGTAGCTCGGAACAGTTTAAATTCTTTGAAACGTGAAATCAATACACAATTTATCTACTCACCTGCAACCTTCTTTGGAGATTTCCTGGCCTTTCTTCCTTTGCGCCCTTTTCTACCTTTTCTGGGCTTTCGTCCTTTTCGCCCCTTTCTTCCCTTTCTAGGTTTTCGTCCTTTTCGGCCTTTTCTTCCCCTTCTAGGCTTTCGTCCTTTTCTTCCCTTTCTTCCTTTTCTTGGCTTTCGTCCTTTTCTTCCCTTTCTTCCTTTTCTAGGTTTTCGTCCTTTTCTGCCTTTTCTTCCCCTTCTAGGCTTTCGTCCTTTTCTTCCCTTTCTTCCTTTTCTTGGCTTTCGTCCTTTTCGTCCCTTTCTTCCCTTTCTAGGTTTTCGTCCTTTTCTGCCTTTTCTTCCCCTTCTAGGCTTTCGTCCTTTTCTTCCCTTTCTTCCTTTTCGTGCCTTTTCGTCCTTTTCGTCCTTTTCTTCCCTTTCTAGGTTTTCGTCCTTTTCTGCCTTTTCTTCCCCTTCTCGGTTTTCGTCCTTTTCGTCCTTTTCTTCCCTTTCTTGGCTTTCGACCTTTTCGTGCCTTTTCTTCCTTTTCTTCCTTTTCTTCCCCTTCTTGGCTTTCGTCCTTTTCTGCCTTTTCTTGGCTTTCTTCCTTTTCTGCCTTTTCTGCCCCTTCTTGGCTTTCGTCCTTTTCTTCCTTTTCTTCCTCTTCTAGGTTTTCGTCCTTTTCGACCTTTTCTTGGCTTTCTTCCTTTTCTGCCTTTTCTTCCTCTTCTAGGCTTTCGTCCTTTTCTTCCTTTTCTTCCTCTTCTTGGCTTTCGTCCTTTTCTGCCTTTTCTTCCCCTTCTTGGCTTTCGTCCTTTTCTTCCTTTTCTTCCTTTTCTTCCTCTTCTTGGCTTTCGTCCTTTTCTTCCTCTTCTTGGCTTTCGTCCTTTTCTGCCTTTTCTTCCCCTTCTTGGCTTTCGCCCTTTTCTGCCTTTTCTGCCTTTTCTTCCTTTTCTTCCTTTTCTTCCTTTTCTTGGTTTTCGTCCTTTTCGTCCTTTTCTTCCTCTTCTAGGTTTTCTGCCTTTTCGTCCTTTTCTGCCTTTTCTTCCTCTTCTTGGCTTTCGTCCTTTTCGTCCCTTTCTTGGCTTTCGTCCTTTTCTGCCTTTTCTGCCTTTTCTCCCCTTTCTTGGCTTTCTGCCTTTTTTTCCCCTTCTAGGTTTTCGTCCTCTTCGTCCTTTCCTTCTTGCTAATAAATTGAAAGAAGTCAATTTGAATCTTAGACATCATTTACAATTTTGATTTCTAAATTATTATTTAGAAAAGTATAAGACATTGACAAATATTAACGTGATCTACGTGGTCAAATATTGTATGTAAATTACTTACGTTTTCTGCTCTTCCTCTTTTTCCTTATTTTTCTACCCTTTCGGCCCTTTCTGCCTTTACCTTTTCCCCTTCTTCTACCAGAATCATCTACATATTCCCATTCATATTCAACTAGAAATAGAAATCATCCATGTTCTTTATATTACTCATATTCAACTACTAAACATAGGCTATTGTTAATTATCTACAATTCATATAGCGGTCACTGCGACAAACAGTTAAAATGTGAAACTTACCAGTTGTTCTTGAGTTTCTTCCATTACGTCGGCTGGCTCCAGCTGAAACAAAATACAGATATTTATACTTTAATTAAAAATAAGTGAAATAAAACTGAAAGAATATGAACTATTTGAATAGTAAGAGTGCTATACATTAGAAATATGCACAGCCTAATCCCAGTGGCACATATAAAAAATCAATTACAGTGCATATATAAAAATATTGGTCTGACTCGAGTTGAAACTTTGTTTATGTATGTTTCAGTTATAAATATAAAACTATACATTTCACTGAATGTCTGACAGACTTTTCTACAGTTGCTATAATCAATATCTATAACTCACATCTTCGATTTTTCCTGGAAACCTTCCTTCCGCTTCGACCCCTCCTGCCTTTTCGACCCTTTCTACCTTTTCGGCCCTTTCTACCCTTTCTTCCTTTTCGGGCCTTTCTGCCTTTTCGACCCTTTCTGCCTTTTCGGCCCTTTCTGCCTCTTCGAGCTTTTCTTCCTTTTCTACCCTTTCGGCCCTTTCTGCCTTTTCGAGCCTTCCTGCCTTTTCGGCCCTTTCTGCCTTTTCGAGCCTTTCTTCCTTTTCTACCCTTTCTGCCTTTTCGAGCCTTCCTGCCTTTTCTACCCTTTCTGCCTTTTCGACCCTTTCTGCCTTTTCGAGCCTTTCTGCCTTTTCGGCCCTTTCTGCCTTTTCGAGCCTTTCTTCCTTTTCTACCCTTTCTGCCTTTTCGAGCCTTCCTGCCTTTTCGACCCTTTCTTCCTTTTCGAGCCTTCCTGCCTTTTCGACCCTTTCTGCCTTTTCGGTTTCTCCTTCTTCTACCAGAATCATCTACATATTCCCACTCATATTCAACTAAAAATAGAAATCATTCTTGTTCCTTACATTAATCGTATACGAGTTGTATATCAATGTTTGACCAATGCTTTCTCAACCCAATATTTCCGCCATTAATAATAAATCGATCTGTAAAGGCTGTCATGAAATATTACGATAAGACATCGAAGTTCATGTATAATACATTGATAATTAGTGACCCAATAACACTGAGAAACAAGATATTTCAATGTCTATCTCCATATCATCGCCCTGCAATTATTGCGAAACATGTGAGTATATAAATTAGATATATGATAGAAATGTCACAGGAACAATCAAGTTCAATGAATTTAGAAAAACAAATTTACTGATATCAAATACATGTACCTGTTGTAGATCGACTTGAATTTCTTCCACTTCGGCGGGCTCCGGCTAAAAATATAGAGTTCTTATATTATTGACTAAATTTACTTGGATGAAGAAGATGAAAATCTATATAAATAACTGAAAAAAAACTCTAAGTGTGTCTATGAACGCTTGACTGTGAACTTTTCACAATATTTAAACAATAAATTCTATATTCAGATATCAATCCAGCTGCCATCGCAGGCAATTAAGACGGTACACTATACTTACAATTTCGATTTTTCCTGGAAACTTTTCGGCCCTTCCTGCCTTTTCTGCCTTTTCTTCCCTTTCGGCCTTTTCTTCCTTTTCGACCCTTTCGACCTTTCCTTGCCTTTCTTTCTTTTCTATTCTTTCTGCCCTTTCGTCCTTTTCGAGCCTTTCTGCCTTTTCGACCTTTTCGTCCCTTTCGGCCTTTTCGAGCCTTTCTGCCTCCTGATCTACCACCTGCATATTCCCATTCATATTCATACTCAACTAAAAGAAAATTAATTTAATGGTCAAAATTATGTTCAGCATGTGAAATCTAAATGTAAAAGTTCAGCACTGAATTCAGCAATAAGATAGCTATACATATGCGTCGAAAGGGATATAGGTCAATTGAAAAATTCCATTTTCCAATTAAAGGAATCATTAGAATCTTACCAGAACTACTGCTAGAAGATCGTCCTCCTGATTTCCTTGCCTTTCTACCTTTTCTGCCTTTCCTTGCCTTTCTTCCTTTTCGACCCTTTCGGCCTCTTCGGCCTTTTCTACCTTTCCTTCCTTTTCGGCCTTTTCGTCCCTTCCTAATCTTTCTACCTTTTCGGCCTTTTCTGGCCTTTCTGCCTTTTCGACCTTTCCTTGCCTTTCTTCCCTTTCGGCCCTTTCTGCCTTTTCTAGCTTTTCGTCCCTTTCGACCTTTCCTTGCCTTTCTTCCCTTTCGGCCCTTTCTGCCTTTTCTAGCTTTTCGTCCCTTTCGACCTTTCCTTGCCTTCCTTCCTTTTCGTCCTTTTCGACCTTTCCTTCCCTTTCTTCCTCCTGATCTTCGACCTGAAGTTTCCCATTCGTATTCATACTCAACTAGAACAGAAAAAACAATATTGTTAGACATTACTGGTTTGATCGGGAGTCAATCCTTTGAGTGTCTCAAAAACAAAACAAAACTGATTATAAAGGGAAGCAACTTTCATTTCTACTGGCAATTTGAAATCCATTCAAATAGCTAATAGTATGGGATCCGAAATGGAACGGCGTAAAAAATATAACATTGTCGTCATTAATCTTACCAGAACTGCTTCTGGAAGATTGTCTTCCAGATCTCCCTGCTTTTCTGCCTTTTCTGCCTTTCCTAGCCTTTCGACCTTTTCGACCCTTTCTGCCTTTTCTGCCTTTTCGTCCCTTTCTGCCTTTTCGACCTTTCCTTGCCTTTCTTCCTTTTCGTCCCTTTCGACCTTTCCTTCCCTTTCTTCCTCCTGAGCTTCGACCTGAAGTTTCCCATTCGTATTCATACTCAACTAGAAAAACAAATAAATAAAAGAAACAAGAAAATTTAAAATTCTCATTAAATTGGATACAGCGATATCTATTTTCAATACTTCGAAATCATCTGAAGACCAACTGAAAAGCCTATGGAAAGGAGACAGTTAAAATTTTATCATTTTATCTTAAAATAAATACAACCTTACCAGAACTGTTTCTGGAGGATCGTCTTCCAGATCTTTCTGCCTTTCTACCTTTTCTTCCTTTTCTTCCTTTCCTGGCTTTTCTTCCTTTTCGACCCTTTCGGCCCTTTCGGCCCTTTCTACCCTTTCGGCCTTTTCTTCCCTTACGCCAACCACCAGATCTGGAGCTACCAGAATTTCTTGTGGTTGTAACTTTTTTAACTCGTCGCCTCCTTCGACCATCACCAGTAGACTGCCATTCTATATTTTAAAAATATAAACATTATTTAAAATCTAAACTATGTTTTGATATGCACCAGTTACCAAACTAGGATCGGTTCCCACTGACACTAAAAGCTACAAGACTGGGCTACAAGACTGACTTTCAGATCAGCTACATATCTGGTTTTTATTTTCAGACCGGCTACAAGACCGTCTTTTAGACCGACAAGCTACCAGGCTAGCTTTCAGATCGTCTACGAGACTGGCCACGTATTCTCGAAACGATCTTAGCACTAGGATGTCCTAGGTTCTTATCTTCTAACATTGATTCTAGGACATCCTATCATTAAGATCGTTTCGAGAATACGTGGACTGGTTTACATTCAGACCGACTACAAGATTGGTTTATTTTCAGACCGGCTATAAGACTGACTTTCAGACCGGCTACATGACTGGTTTACTTTCAGGCAAGTTACAAGACTAGTTTACATTCAGACCGGCTATAAGACTGGCTTTCAGATATGTCTCTGGCTACTAAACTATCTATTAAAACTGTTTCTAAATTCTTACTGTTATAGCATCATAGGAGCTTCAATACTATAAATAGAATTACTAATCACTATATTATCTACCTGACTTAGTCGTCTTAGTTGACTGTCTACTTCCACCACCGGACCTTCTACCGCCAGACCTTCTACCACTTGATGTTGTTGTGGTGGTTTTTTTCACTCGTCTCCTTCTTCGTCCGTCACCAGTCGATTGCCATCCTGCAAAAAATTATTTTATAGCATACTGTAGGAAGGTGGCGTCGAGGACGAAACCAATCACCGTGTTGCTACTTGTGATAGCATCCAATTAAGCAATGGACTATCCTTTATTAGATATCGAGTGATTCTGTTGCAACAAGGGTTGAATATCGTCTATCTGACTAGTAAACACTTGGCAAATCATTAGATAGATATATTTCCGTAGCTTTGAATATTGATGCTGTTAAGAGTCTCGCAGAAGATTTATGGTAATATTCATTGAAAACCATTCATTTTTATATTACCTGATTTTTCAACCTTTGTAGTCTTCTTCTGGGCATCAGCTGAAATAAATAAAATGCACATCGGTGTTTCATTGTCATGCTTCACATTTTAAAAAATGAAGCATCCTTTGATCATTTCATCATTTGAATTCTCCAGAACAATTTTTAATTGACTGTACTGAATCATAATGGCTTTCGGTTTCAGGGGCGTAGTCTAGGGGTTCTAGGAGTGTTTCACTTTCATAGTTCCGCAGAATTTAGGTATAAACCATGCCACTTGACAACATTGCTACGATCCTAAGACTTAATAATCTACATTATTCTCTACAAACTATATGAAGTCTATATTAGACCAAACCACATGGACATGATTATTACGAAGAAAACATAATAATTTACCTGCACCCAAACACAGAAAATAAATCATTAAGTTACCTTTAAGAATAGAGACTACGACAATCAGTCCTATAACCAGAAGGACCAATGTAACTTTAGTCATGGTGATTTTTTATGTCCACCAACCAACTCTAATACCAGTAAAGGTTTTACTGTATTCTTCCACTACAAGATGCGACTTTGAAGGCAATATTTCAGCCTTTCTGACAATCTCGATTTTTTCAAGTCTTTTATATATTTTAGATGGTGACACTTGAATAATTCGGTATGATAAACAACATACAAGTTAATTGAATTCTTTATAATAATCAATTCTTTATACTGCAATACAATAGAAATGACCATCCACTGAATCTTATTGCATGTTTCTTATTAAAAATTGCTGATATTGGAATGTTTATGAAGTGGCCAGGACATTAAAGTCACAATGCTTTTGAACTTTACAGTGGAAAAAAGGCGCACGATACAATATAATATTTTTTATCCTTTAGCGACATTTAGGGGTAGAGATCACATTAAATAACGGACACAATTTTATGGTATACTATTCCTTAGTTTTATTACACACTACGTTTCAACAATCTACATTGTCATCTTGCGAAGATGATGTAATAAAACTAAGGAGTAGTATTTCAATAAATTGTGTCCGTTACTTAATATAATATATTGGTAATATGTTGGAACCCACGTCACAACATTTACAATCTTACATATATTTGTTTCTGTAAACTTTAAACCCATGATATATAGTGTCCTCTGAGAAAGATAAATCTAATGTTTTCTTAATATGAAATGGTATGGTACAGATAATCCTGAAAATGACGTTTATCCTTGTAAATTTTTTTTTCTTCTTTTCTCGAGTTGTATTTAATACTGATAGTACGTTTCTCATTCTGAAGTACTACAATTAGCTGGAAATACCAGTCTAAGAGAACAGATCATGTCCCTTCAAAAGCTAAATATGTGGCTGTGGTTAGAGATTAGCACCAGAAATTCAGTAAGGCAAAATATTGGTCACTATATGGAAATGTTATTTAATCATAATATAACATTGAAAGACAGTGTATCAAATTAGATAAACATCTGCTATGAAAATGATGCATTTTCCTTACGATCTTTACTTCAGAAATACTGTAAGATCTTTCATCAATTTACTTACACTATTAAATCTGCAGGTAATAAATTGAAATAGCGAAAATGCCCTGCTGTAATCTTCATTTTTAAACGGTTCGCTTGCGTTTCAGCTTTACAGAAACTGCAGATAGTTGCCGAATAAAATAGTACACCTGTGTTTCGATATGGAAGTTTCCTGGTTAAAAACTTTTTCATTCGCTGCACCTACAGTCGATATTTTTTTGAAAAGTACTGTCGGAGAGTATATGCAGCATTTCCATATTTAAAGTAAAAAAAACCCCAAAAAAAAAACAAAAAAACAAGAAATCTGTAATTTAAATGGGAAGTAACCCGTGTGATACTACGACATGCGAAATCACAATTTACTGTCCGTGGAAGAAGATGGACTCACTCCTCTAAAACATTGATATTTTATGTATACGAATGTATTCCAGGTTATTTTTAGAAAACTTCTTTCTCTCTCCCTTTTGGGGTTTTTGCATGCCTATTTTTGGGTAATATTTGGTCTAGATTTGGATTTTGATGTCTGAAATAGCATTATCTTTAAGATTTGGTGAGATGATGAGAGACCTAATGGCGAAGGGCTAATTCTAAAATAGTCGTTTTGTGAACTGACAAACTCTAGCGGATGAGTATAACCGGTAGTAGTACTCTCAATTTTAGTAGCTCAAAATTTTCATGGCCATCATATATTGAATTTTTTAGGAGACATTGGTCAGGCTCTCATTCGACATATTGGAAAGCTTTCAAAGAGATTTCGGGAAAAGTTGTAGAAGGTGGAATTTCGTTTTTTAACATGGGAAGAGATGGCAAATGAATTAGTGGAGTGAGTCCAGATAGATCATAAGGGGAAATAACTCTGTCCATCTTAAGTCTAATATTCTCATATCGGATACTTATACAGCTGGTTAACGACAGTGCTTCAACTCGAACTCATAGCCATTTGAAAATCTGTATCCCTCCCCAAACGAGATTTCATTAAGAGTTCATGTTTTTTTTTAAGTAATATATTTCAAATGCTAAAAATTGAATAGAGTTTCACTTAAAGTGTACAAAACTGAGTATACTTTCTTAAACCTTTTTCCAACGTCTATTTTGTTTTTATTTCGGTTGCTATACAATCATTTTTCAGAGAAAAAGTTTACGGTGGTTAGAGTGCAATTCCAGTCCAACCAAAATTAATGGAAACAATTTGACCCTGGAGTGCTCTAACAACAACACCATGCACCAAACCAAACTACATATACTTGTAATTTTGAAACAATATGTTCAGTCAGGTAAACAAATAAGCCTTCAGCATAAAAGGATCCTAAAAATGTTGTTTGTGTTCATTGTCCGTTTCAGTAGAACCAGACTGGTAACTGTATGTTATGGTCAAACCCCAGATATACGCATTATTCGAGTACATTTACTTGTATGTTTCATACCCTATAATGTTTATCTACTTGTCAAACGCACTATTACTATTGTTATCGTCTTATCAACTTTTCTCTATCAGCGCTGGATAACAAATCATTGGTATCGATTGGATATAACCGTCACTGAAATTAACAGTTCTTGATAAGAAATAGAAAATTCATTCTGTTATGAAATTGGGCATCTAACTGATAAGTTATCTGAATTATTTATGTTTTGATTTGCCATAACAGAGACGTACTAGATATGATAACCATTGATAATGACAGAGTATCTTGCCAGTGATATGCTCAGCTACCCTCTCAAAATAAAGAGATTAAATGAATTTAAAATTTCACATCCAACTATTTTCGATTAAAGAGTCCATAGCCTGTGACATGCAAAAGACCAACCTTGTCCAAAAGGCTTAACCAAGTTCAAAATTCAAAAGAAACTCAAATGGTATTTCTCAGAAATCTTTTCGTTGCTAGCCTTCCACTGACTTACTTCAATTTCATATCTGAGAACAAAACATGATGTTGTTTCAGAGAATTTCAAATCAGCACTAGCACTGATCTGAAACGACAGATAAAATGTAATAAATTTTATTAATTGGCTGCATCAATTTACAGAAGCAACATCTCGTAATGGATGAGGTTTTTTGGCAAAATCGGCGTACTTCTGTCGAGAATGTCCATACACAGTCAAAGCAGATCCTGGCAATATACAAAAAAAAGGAGCAAACCAAGGTTTGTGCAAAAATGTAAAAACGAGCTGATATTAGCGCTGTCAATATAATCGACTTAGATTATGATTTACATAATGTTATCATTGTTAAATTCGAAGAATTCGATGTGGTGAATAAGATAAATACAATATACGTGAAAATTAAATAAAAGTTGATTAAAATTGTTATCTTTTCTTATATCTGATAAAAGCAAAGAATCTATCGCTCGACTTTGTTCGTACCTTGTCGTACTATCTTAGATGCTGGTAGATAAGACCAAATATACAATAAAATATATTGGTCTCATCCTCCCCCAAACAGAACTGTCGGTATATCTGAGCTATCCAGTAGTATAATACCGTCAGTTCATGGTATACGTATAAAATAACATAGGAATTTTAGAGATGATTCGGAATAAAGGGGGGACATTCCTCGCCTTTTGTGCCTTCTTGGCACTTATATCAGGTATGGCATTGCAATTCGACATGACAAGGGCTCGATTCATAGTTTGATACAAAATGCATCATCAAGATAACTGTTTTTGGAAATGGCGATTAACTTCCACAGTTTTAAAGACGACGGGCTTAACAACTGATCTCCTTTGCCAATTTTCTGTGCTGATTCTGGTGTCTACTGCATTGATTTATGTCAAGTCACATTAATTTTGTCTGTAATGATTGAAAAGCATCCTGCATTCTGCTAAATTCAGATTAGAATAATGCAATAATGCACGTAACATTTTTCTTTATCTTTGCAGGATCTCTCTCGGAAATTGACTGCAATTTTGAAAATGGATTTTGTGGCTATACTCAAGGTTCAACAGACAACTCTGATTGGCAAATACAATCTGGACCTACATCAACATCCAATACTGGACCTTCTTTTGACCATACAACTGGAAGTAAGTTTTCGTTTTCACATCACACATGTTGTGATTATATACGCAGATTTAACAATATTGATAGATGTAGATATATCGTAAAGATTTTTCTCGGTTTTGTTTGTTTTCTGAAGTGTGCAGCATGATGCTGTCAGAACTGTAACCGGGCGTACACCACACACCTCTAAAACACCCTTATCCTGCTACAAATTACATAAAAAAAAGATGTCTATGTTCTTCATGTCTGTACATTTAATAAAGGTATTTGTAAAATATTATTCCAGAGGGAAAGTATGCTTACTTTGAAAGCTCTCTAGGCTCAAAGGGATTTTCGGCACAGTTGATCAGTCCTGCAATAAGTGTGGCTGCCAAAACAACAAAATGTTTGGTATTTTGGTACCATATGTATGGTCAGCATGTCTACCAGTTCAACCTCAACACCCAACCAGCAGGTGGTGGCAAGGCTGCACCAATCTGGACTAGGACAGGTGACCAGGGTAACAACTGGACGGAAGCAAGGATTGAGCTCAAACCTAAAAGCAACTTCAAGGTAAGCGTAAGCAAGTTATACTACTACTATATGGCGTAATAAGAATTTCATGGTATTTTGATTTATTCTAGATATTAAGTATGCCATCTTACAACACAATGATGTGGTAATAGGAATGCGGTAATGTATGTGGTACCAAACATGATTGAAATAAGCCAGATTTTTAATACACATAAGAATATAGATACATCTGGTTCGTTTCAGTTGATATTTGAAGCTGTTCGTGGTAGTGGTTATAAAGGGGATATTGGTCTAGATGATATCTCAGTCCGCAATGGTGCTTGTCCACCCGAAGGTAATATTTCAGTTTATTTTCATTTGGGAATATTTATGTAAAATCTGCCCTTCAGGACATCTGATTGTTCGATCTATCTAAGGAAGTTTTTATATATTGCCAATTCTTTTATCATATGTCTTTGGTGAACCATTTTCAAACGATGATGAATTTGTCAATGGCTTTCTTAAATTGGTTGATCGTAAAAAGAATATGGACTATCTTTCAGGAACTGTAATACCGTCTGTAGCACCAGGTCAAACCAAGAAACCACCAGTAGCTCTGGCTTGTGACTTTGAGACAGATGATATATGTAGCTATTCCCAGTCAACAAAAGATGACTTCGATTGGAGAAGATCAAAGGGAACTACTGGATCTGTTCAGACTGGTCCAACGAATGATCACACTTATGGAACACCAGCTGGTGAGATTTTGTACTTCAGTGAAAATGTTTGCATTGTGAATAGCTTCATTTTGTATATGGTACAAATATAAATCAAAAGAACATCCTCAGAGTGAAAATGACAGGAAAACAACTAACTTGTATTTCACGATTGTGTTAAAGCCAGTAAGTGTATACCAATGGGTTTTATTTCTCAAGAATTCTCAACTCTTAGTAAACTTGCATCAGTTTATATGTTTTTATAATCCAGGTCATTACATGTTCATAGAAGCATCTGATGCTAAGCCAACACAGAAAGCTCAACTGATAACTCCGACATTTCCTGGGAAAATTACTCGCTGTTTACGATTCTGGTACAATATGTATGGACGAGATGTCGATACGCTCAATGTCTACGCTAAATATGGCAAGGCACTGGGAAATGCCCTCTGGACACTAACAGGAGATCAAGGCCAAGGTTGGCAGATTGCTGAAGTAACTATCAAGAGAGGGCGTAACTTTAATGTAAGTCAGTACTTTTCAAAAATTACTAGAGCACTATCGTCGACTGTACTACTCTCTCTTCTCTGTAATCAAGATCTGTGCGACGCCCTGATCTTCTCTGTATCAACCAAGTTAAAATAGCGTGGCAGATCGTTTTCCAGATTTTTTTGTAATGCCGAGCAGTCATTTTCTGATTTGAATTTCAGCTTGTATTTGAAGCTGTAAGAGGAAATGATTTTAAAGGTGATATAGCTATCGATGATGTAAAGTTGTCTAGAGGAGCTTGTCCGGCACCAGGTAATTCTTCTATCAGTCTATCAACTCATAGACCTACATCAATTTCTATGATGCGGTTAATATCATCGAAACTACAATTTGGTCCATAAAGATATGTATGTTTCGTGGATGTCTGGTCGTCAAGAAAATAAGTCGCATTTAATGAAAAAAAATATAGCCCCAAAAAATACATAGCCTAACTGCATTTTAATTGCCTCACCATCTCTTTTGGAGGCTCCACAGAGGTAATAACGTTGTCTTTTTGTTATCATTTCAGGATCATGTAATTTTGAGAGAAATCTGTGCGCATGGAGTAATACTATAGTCAATGATGATTTTGATTGGGTACGAAAGAAAGGAGCCACAACTTCTAAAAACACTGGACCTGGAAATGATCACACTAGAGGCGGTGGTGAGTTGTTTTAGATCTTGCCATTTTTAAATTCCAGTGGTTAGTCATAAAGGTCACAGCCGGTAATAAGCATAAGGTATTTTCAAACCGTAACTATTTTATTTGTTCACATGGGTCGAAATTATTTTAAATCATAATAAATCTGTTGACTGACCTTCTTTACAATCCTCTTAACTATTCATTTACAGACATAATACTTGGTTGTTTTCTCCTTACAGCTGGGTATTATCTATACATTGAAGCCAGTAAACCAAGGAGAAAAGGTGATCGGGCAAGATTTGTCAGTCAAACCTTCCGACCCTCAACTCGGCAGCAATGTTTTGCATTCTGGTATCATATGTATGGAGCACAACTCGGTACTCTGAACGTCTATGTGGCGTCTGGCTCTCAAGAGACATTGATTTGGCAACTATTTGGTGATCGTGGTAATAAATGGCAGTATGGACGATTCTCAATACCGAATCCTAAACAGAACTTCAAGGTTAGTCTTGGTGTTTATTGGGCTTGACGCTATTGCATGATATTATCAAGCCTAACAATTGGCGCAAGCATAATGACTACTGTACTATATCAAAACCATCCCGATATATGTTTACATCATCGCCCATGCCTTTAGAATGTCTAGACTTCTGGTGAAATATATAATTATGAAGCAAAAACCAATAATGATAATGATGCTTATTCTAGGTCATATTTGAAGGTGTTGTCGGAAATAGTGTAACAGGAGATATAGCTCTTGATGATTTACGATTATTGACCTCTTCATGTACTGGTATGATTCCATTTGAATTTATTTTCTTGTTCAAGATATTCACGTGCATAGAGAGTTCACCTACTTTACTCGTAAGCTTAGCTATATAATGGAAATGTTGCCCGTATTTCAGAATCAGTTGCTCCGATCTAACAGCAAGTAGGACATAAAACTCCATTCATTTCATTTCATTTCCGAAACAGCGTCGTTATTGAACGAAAGTACGAGAAGCATTAAGATCTATGTAAATGCTCTTTAGTGGACAAAGGCATGGCACAAAGAACGCATTAATAATCTAGAAAGAAACCAGACAGATGAGCTTGCTTTCTAACAACACACAAAACAGAAATTCTAGTAGTTTCACTTTATTGCATTTTAGTGTATCCAAAGAATGCAGCATACAACCCAATAACTACCACGACACCAAAACCAACGACACCCACGCGTAAAGCTACACTGCCACCAGGCGTCACCACTGTCAAACCCAAGGGACCCAACACAGTCACATGTAATTTTGAAATTGATCTGTGTGCCTGGAAACAATCTACTGATGATGATTTTGATTGGACGAGGCACAAAGGTTCAACCCAAACTTCTAGCACTGGACCTTCGAAAGACCACACATCTGGACGTAAGATTTACATTTTATCAGTATGTACCTAGTCATCGTGCTATATACTCTTATAATATGTGAATGCGTCCTTTGGCCTTTTGAAGAATTAAAAAGGCTGTTGCAAGAAATATACCACGCTATAGTGCAATGTATTCATATTTAATTTATACCAAGTTACATTATGTACATGTATGTTGCCTCTCTTAAAACGGTTGCTGTGTTGAAGTGGCACCCGGTGCTGCTCAGTGGATGGAAGAGCATACTCTACTTCATAGTGACATCACCCACGGTACTTATTTATATTATTTGAGCTCTAAATTGGACTTGAGCTTCAAGTATATAATTTTTATTTTTAATCTTCAGATGGATTCTACTTGTACACGGAAGTTTCGATAGTTAAAGCCAATGAATCTTCTCGTATTCAAAGCAAGCAGATAACACCCAGAGCTTCTACTCAATGTCTTTCATTTTGGTATCACATGTATGGTCCCCATATTGGTAGGTTTTATTCGACTATTCAGACTGGGTTGGGAATTCTTTCCCTGATAATCGGTTAATATAATATACACTCATATTATTGATAAGTACTCGCTACACCATGTCTTTACCAATAGCTCTATATCAGTCAATTCAATTTCTCTTTTTATTTATTTATTTTTTCTTGGTAATTTTCATACATCCCCATTTTTTTAACTGTAAAGTAAATAACATCTTAATGATTTGATAATTCAAGGAAAACTCAACGTGTATGTTAAATCATCAGCTGATCTTGGCGACCCTGTCTGGACTAAACAAGATTCACAAGGTAACTTGTGGAAGAAAGGACAAATCACTATTTCTCAAGGAAGCAAACCATACTCTGTGAGTAACATCTGTTCCATCATCTCTCTTTCAGTGAACTCTACAGAGAGCATCACCCTTTATTGATTCAAAATAGCTCTTAACTAATATTTCCACGTTTTATAGAAGTAGGACACATTTTGTGACTAAGTAATTTGTGCAAACTGTACCTCGATTATCACGTCAACAACCAATTTAGATTGAAACTTTGAATTTATGGTATCCTTGGCGTTCCGATTACTTTTTTCGTAGAGTGAAAAGTTCCTTAAGATATACCTCTTTTGTTTTTTTCTTATTTACTTCATACTGCGCTCAAAAAATTTAAATAATTCCAAACAATTGTTTTATTATTATTCATAGGTTGTTATTGAAGGTACAGGTGGAAATGGTTATAAAGGCGATATTGGAATAGATGATATAGCTTTATCTGATGGTGCTTGTACAGGTCTGTCATACCTCAACCTTTATGATTTATTACCAGTAGAAAATGAACTATCGATATTCGTTACATTGTTAATACGAATGTCATATTTTGGTGTCGTGATTATTTCAAGTTTTGAATGTACGATTGGTTAACGTAACATTTGTAGTAACATCATGGTGAGTTTTGTTGATACGGCACTTATTACAGAACGCTCATTTCCACCTTATGAACCCTAAACTGATAATTCATGTGTAATATTTGGTACGTTTCAGGTGTAACATTGGTTCCTCCGACCGGATCTACCATTAAACCAACAGTTGGTAGTGTGGTTCGGGGAATGAGCTGTGATTTCGAAGGAAGCAAGATATGTGGATACACCCAAGATAAGACAGAACAGTTTGATTGGAAGCGGAACTCTAGGAGTACCGGAACGACTGGAACTGGACCGCAGAATGACCATACTTATGGAACCAACAAAGGTTTGTCATACATTATATCTTTCTGATGAACTTTTCAAATTTGGCGATTAAATTTTATGATTTCCTCAAACTTGAATTACTGGATATTTGAACCCATGAGTACACCGGGTGATCCGACAATGGATTTTGTATCCGTTACACGTTTTGACATCATAAAAACTTCCATCACATGAAAGCCTCATTTAATGCAGATACAGTTGTCGTCAGTTTTGTTATCGTAAGTAATAATTTTCTTGCAGGTCATTATATGTATACTGAAGCGTCACTTCGCAAACTTGGAGATAAGGCAAGGATAATGTCACCGACGTATAAGAACAACCAAGATCTTTGTTTAAATTTTTATTATCACATGTATGGAAGCGGAATGGGAACGTTGAATGTCTATACACAGGTATGATTTCATTTCATGTTAATTCTATTGATACCAATATTATGGCATTGCATCTATGTATTGGAGATCCATAAAATAACAGATGCAAAATCCAAATGACGCAGAAAATACAATTTCATGGCACTCCAAGTAGCCAAAGTTCCATGTAACAAACTGAAGGGACATACTTATATCATAGATGCCATATAGCAAGTTGAAACTAATAAGATTTATTTGCATGATATTGCAAGAATGATCAAAGGTTTATTTTATCAAATTTCAGACTGGCAAGACTCTAGGACGTCCAGTATTTACCAGAACTGGTGATCAGGGTAATCAATGGGCAGTTGGTCAGGCCACCATACCTAAATCATCTGCTGTTAAAGGTTTCAAGGTATGGAATTTAATTTTTTTTATGTAAGGTATGTAAGTTTACCATATCAACATAATTCATACAGTACTGGAGACGACACAGATGACGAGGGCAATGTGAAGGTGTTTATCCAGCAGTTAAGGAAATAGTCAGATTACAATTTGTTAAAGAACTACGGTCTTGTTGTTTTTTCAGATTGTATTTGAAGGTGTCCGAGGCAATAACTACAAAGCTGACATTGCTGTCGATGACGTAAGAGTAATACTAGGAGCTTGTAATTCACCAGGTAGATCAATATGTTTATTATGAAATTTGGCTTGGCGATACTGTTGAGATGTTGTTATTGAGCAGTTCGTTTATATTTCAATACACATCTTGTACATGTATATATAATACACACCTGTATATGATGACTGCATGTCTATCTTTACTTATTGCACCTAATAACCCTTAAAACATTTTCAGGAATGTGCGACTTTGAGAAAGGATTATGTACATGGAAGAACGTACCAAAGGGAGATGATTTTGATTGGATAACAGGATCAGGAAACACCAAATCTAGAGGAACTGGACCTTCATCTGATCATACCCGAGGTGATAGTAAAGGTATGCTTAGTTTAGTGTAATAAAGACCTTCTTTGCCCTTCCAACGCTCTCTTGGGTCTTCTCTCTGGGTTAAAGGTATCAATTTGACTGGAGATATAAGAACTGATTTGAAAACTATTATGCCAGTTCACGGTGTATTTCTTCAATTTTAATTATAGGTCATTATATGTATATTGAAACATCAAATCCACGTCATCCTGGTGATAAAGCTTGGATGTTGAGTCAGATCTTCCCTCCCAATCCTACTACTGGTCGGTGTTTACAATTCTGGTATGTAATGAATGGGCAAACTGTGGACACCCTCAATATATTACTCAGAGTTTCAGGTGAGTTCAATATTTAGTTTCTTCATGTTTTCAGCTTTTGAAATATAAGATTCATATTGCTGTGGTGAGCAATTTAACGTCCAAAAGACCACCAAATATACTGAACATACTGGCTCTCTTATTGAAGTGTACACCAGAAAATACCTTGTGTTTGAACAAACATGCAATCAATATATTTTTTTCTTTACAGGTCTGCCAGATTATACTTTATGGACACTCTCGGGCTCTCAAGGAACAACGTGGATGAGTGCTCAAGCTCCTATACCAACAAATAAACATAGTTATCAGCTGGTATTTGAGGGTATTCGAGGCAAAAGTTATACTGGAGATATAGCTATTGATGACGTGATAATAAGCGAATATACATGCGGCAGTAAGTTTTCTTCAGTATTTAAATCAACATCATTGAAACATCGTAAAACTCTATAATGAAGCTAAAAGCAAATATTTATGATTTTTTATGGCATCTGTATCGAGTTGTTGTTGAAATTCGGTACTAAATTTTGATCAACGACTTCTGTATTCTAAAATCCCTACATCATTTGATGTAGTTAATCTAATCGGAGTCTCAAAACCTTCTTCTCATTGTCCATTTGCAGTTCAACCATCCAAGGCTATGCCACCAACTCAAACGACAATGGTGCTCACCACTCCAGGACCTACAGCTGCTCCTGGTGCCTTCAATTGTACCTTTGATCAAGATTTATGTGGGTGGAGCCAAGACAAGAAGGATCAATTTGATTGGAAGAGAAATCGAGGACAGACCGGAAGTACTGGTACTGGACCAAAGTCTGATCACACTTCTGGAGGTACTTATTCCTTTCCCACTTTGTTCCCATATTGTTTTCAAGATACTCGCTAGGAAATGCATTATCCGTAGTTGGATGGATATGATTGACATATCTTTATAACTATTACTACGATGTCATCGATATTTACTGCGCTTGTGGATGTTCTTGAATGTTTTCAGAGATTTTACAATGTTCCCACTGTTTTCTAGGTGGATATTATGTGTATATCGAAACATCAACACCAACAGGCAATGGAAACAAAGCAAGATTAGTCAGTCCACCAGTAGTACCAGGTTCCCATTGTCTTACATTCTGGTACAATATGTACGGTAGACATGTCTACTATCTGAAAGTCTACCTTCAAACTGGTGTAGCATTGCCTGCTCCAATCTGGGCCAAGAAAGGAACTCAAGGTCTTCAGTGGAAGAAGGCTCAAATCAACATTAAGGATATCAAGAACACTTTTAATGTTAGTAGACGAACTGTCCGATTATAAAGACATTAAGTACTCGAATTTGCCATAAATCCTGCCCAAACGAAATTACTTCCACACAACCAATTTAAATTTAATTATATCAAAACAGTCAAAGTTTAGAAAGACGAGATATCCTCATATATAATGGAGTTTCCAAAGCGGCATTGCAAATCTGGATTTTCTCATGTTGTTGCAGCATTGTTAAAAGCTATATGTATCTCTGAAACACTTAAGAAAAGAAAACATCGTTACTATCGCTTTATTTCCCAGTTATATATTTTGTTCTCTTCCATTCCAGGTTGTATTTGAAGGAATAAAAGGAACTGGTTATTTAGGTGACATATCTGTTGATGATGTATCGATGGCTGACGGAGAATGTCCTGAAAGTATGTCAAGCATATATATATTTGCTACTGGTCCTTTCAATCTTGAGATCCTCCAAGACAGTGAGAACGGGCAAATTGTGTCATGTACAATAATATAATAACAAAATGACCGAAGAATTTATATAACATAACCTTGTGGACTCTCCGCAAAGGATGACAATACAGATGATTCCAATTATTCGAATATTTTAGTACATTTTGGTTTCGTTTTGTAGGTACGAACAATAAACCACTTCAAAGTTGTGACTTCGAACGAAATGACATCTGTGGCTTTACTCAAGTTCGTGGTGATAAATTTGATTGGACAAGAGGATCTAGAAATACTGGTACTCGTGCTACAGGTCCTTCTAATGATCATACTTATGGCACCAAAGCAGGTATGTAATTTCGAAGTCTCTATGATACGACATTGAAGTAAATGGTCTTTCTAGGTCATCCTGGCACTAGAGTGTAGGGTAACGTGTCAAAGAGTTTTTTTTACTATAAAATGAATCAGGGTTATCTGTTTTGCAATCACGAGTATTGATGTTGATTTATTTATGCCATAAGCCACAAAAAATAAAATCATCAAAGACATGTTTTCACTTTAAACACGGCTTTATAAAATCTGAGCGGGGATCTAGGTAACATTGATATTTTTCAGGACACTACATGTACACGGAATCCTCTTTCCCACGAAAAGTTGGAGATGTGGCAAAGTTGTCATCCTTCCAGATCAAACCATCTGCTACAACTAGTACATGTGTGACGTTCTGGTATCATATGTTTGGGCGAAGTATTGGTACACTCAATGTATATATTGTTAAAGGTCGAAACACTGGAAAGCCTGTCTGGACCAAACAAGGTGAATGAGTTTTATTATTTCAGTGTTGTATGATGCTAGGACATAAGAGTTGTCTCCCGTACTTTTAAGCCTTGAAACCAACTTAAGTATTAATTTCATTAGTTATGTTTGCTCTCCGTAAGGCATACTGATTTAGGCGCAGTGGCTTTGCCCTTCTCCCCACTTTCAATTTTGTTTTATCATTTTACATTGTGAAATAATGGCATGTGGCCCCCCTGAAAAAAATTGTGGCCCGCTCTGTCCGTCATCAAAGTTTCATAGAAACGCCACAAATTGTGTGACGTCGGGTGGTGCTTGACAGAAGTGAGTATTACTGATATAAGTATTCTTGAAAACAATCATTTGGTATTTTAACAGGTGATCAAGGCAATCAATGGAATCTAGCATCCATATCAATTCCTAAATCAACCCAGCCCTACCAGATCATGTTTGAAGGTATCACTGGTAAAGGTTTTTATGGAGATATTGCTGTTGATGATTTTAGTGTCACAACGTCTTGCCCAATAGAAGGTAAGATTGGAAATATGTGGAATACACTGATTAAGGGGTAAACTTCTTCTTTGGTATGGAGGACAATATATAATCAAAAAAGCAGCAATTAAAAGGATTTTAAACTGAAAACAGTGCACCATCACTCTGACATCCATCAGAGATAGATACTGATACCCATACACAGAATACAGAATTGCTGTTAGCCACACTTCACTATAAAGTGGTCCCAATTAACTTAGATTCTTAGAAACATCACTGAGCATTCCCAAGCGTCACACAAACATGTGATGTATTACAGGGAACTGCGATTTTGAGAAAGGTTTATGTACGTGGAGAAATGACCAGAAATACGACCAGTTTGATTGGAGAATAACACATGGTACTGGAAAGGGACAATCGTATTATGATCATACTACTAATACTGCAAATGGTAAGTTGGGGAAATTTAATATTGTGATACCTAAATGTGTGATATTGAGCATATAGACACGATAAAGCAATTAATATGCTCCATGAACTCAAAAGGTGCAGTATGAGCGCATTCTATTTCCTAAGATGAAAACATGTAAAAAGTAACAGTTTCGGTCAACATCGTACGCGAGGGATAGAAATTCGCCAATATTGTTTACTTCGAATTTGATATTTTTTCAGGCCAATATATGTTTATTGCTGGATCAACCGTCAACAAAAAGAAAACAGCAAGATTACTCAGTGAAGATCTAGCCCCATCAAAAACAACCTGTTTACATTTCTGGTATTTTATTGGTCAGAATGGTGGTATGTTAAGAGTCTGGGTTGGTTTGAAAGCCTCAAACAATCCTTTACCAGTATGGGAAGTCAATGGAGCAGTTTCTAATCAGTGGCATCAAGGACAGATTAAGATTCCGCCACAAACAGCCTCTTATCAAGTAATGTCATTTATGAATCTGTTGATTATTACTTTTTCCTGATGAGTCCATACATCAGTTGCTTATATCATTCTCTATTCTTCATATATAGGAAATCTTTATTAGTGCCGAACTTGATAAAAGATCGTCGAAAGTTGTTGAAAGGATTTCAAATTGGTGAATCCAACAAGCTAGAGCAAATTGAAAGTAACATGATGGCGGTTTTCAATTGTCAGAATACTGTCGACACTTGTTTAGGATATTAGATACATTATCACAAAAGGGTTTAAGGAATATGAGTAACAATTTCAAAATTATCTTTTTCTTGATGTTAGGTAATATTTGAAGGAGCACTAGGATCTAATATTGGTATTGATGATATTGTCTTTGATACCAGTTCAAGCTGTAAAAGTAAGTTACGCCATTTTCCTTATAAGTTACAACGATTCTTTCATAATAGATATAAAGGGACAACGGCAACGGAATACTACACTTTGACTCCATGTGTGGATGGGCCGAGTAGGGGCCACACAATTCTCATGAGGGTGTGTGTGTTGGGGGCAAGCAATATTTCAAAGTCAGATGATAAAAAATTGAAACTAAGATGTGGATTTAAACGCCGGACAAGACTAATTTTTTGGGAACATGCAATGCATATATTCCCGGTACACTAAAACTGTTTTTTTCTGACAATGTTTCTGTAGAAAGATTTGTTTTCTGTAGATTTGCCAAGTAACTCCCATCCATCTGTGACACAGAAACCCACAACTCAATCCACAACACAGAAAGTAACAACCCCAAGACCAGTCACTCAAACAACCTTTAAACCCACAGGTACGTTCAATTCCAGGTCAAATCTAGAATTTACCATAGAGTTGCAGCAGATGAAGCTTCAGAGACAAAACAGAACATTATCAGAATTTGCATAATTTTCTAGGATAGCACTTTGATTATGTCTATTTGTCTAATTTTTAGTGATTTTAAATAGTGTGCAAGTAATAACTAGTCAAACATCTTCATATTGGCTAAACTCTGTTCTCAATACTTTATAGTGTCCGTCAACTGCAATTTCGACCACGATCTATGTGGATGGAGTCAAGATAAAACGGATCAATTTGATTGGGTGCGGCATTCTGGAAAAACAGGAACATTTGGTACAGGACCCAGTGGTGATCACACTAACGGAAGTAAGTCATTTTTTTTTGTTATTAGGTGGTGCTTAAATTAGGTGATATGTTCATAATATTTAGTGCCGCAGATTATACTCAGTTAGGAATATATATAGTTAGGATTTCTATATATATTGGAAAATATTAATCTCATTTATAGTTTAGTTGTATTGATTGATAAACGCAATGAGTACGCTTAAATTTTAGGTCCCTGAAATTAATTGTACTTCACTAAAAAAGAGTAACATTCTGTGTAATATATACTTATGCTTTATAGCAATTCCAGGTGTTAATCACCCAGTTTAATCAGCTTTTAAACATTTTCAGAGGGCTATTACGTGTATATTGAAACATCAGCTCAAGCTAAAGGTAGTGCAGCCAGATTGATCAGTCCTCATTACAAAGTTACCAAAGGACAAGCTAGTTGCTTCAGCTTCTGGTACAACATGTATGGTGACCATGTCAGTGCATTGAGTGTCTACCGCAGACAGAATGGTAAAAATGGTGGCGCTATCTGGGTAAAGAAAGGAACCCAGGGTCCAACGTGGAAGAAAGCTTTTATTGATTTAGATGGCTCTGCGACAGATTTCCAGGTGAGAGAATTATTGACCATCTAAGGGTTTGTAACCTCTTAAAGTTAATGGTCTATTTCATATCAATCTCCATTAATGTATGTCGGTTTTCTCACTTTGATAACTAAGCAGCAGGTATGAGGGTAGGTATGCCGCAATCCTCACAGTGCCAAAGCTATTACGAACTGTGTCTAATGGTGCTTTTCGATCCTCCACCAATTATGGACCTGCCTATTTAGTTTGTTTATTTCAGTTGGTAATTGAGGCATTGAAAGGGCCAAGTATACGTGGTGATATAGCTGTTGATGATACTAGTATTAATCCAGGCGCCTGCTCCTCTGGTAGGTGGGATTTTCTAATTGTGGTCCAAGAAATCTACATTGCGTTTACTACAGCTTGGCCGTAAATTAGTTTTAGTTAAGGAGGAGGCAGTATTTCAGGGAGAAGTTGCTTTAAATGCAGTATAATTGTTTGGGGGTCATATTGTTGGAGTCCTTTATGTAATTTACGGCCCTACAGTGTAATAAAACAAGTACCAACTGACATTAAAAGTTAAAGGGAATACAGATTTGTGGGTATTTATTTCCAATAGCGACAGTGTGTTGGTGTTCTTGAATGGGTAATTGCCATTGAAAACAAAATGAAATGTTTTCGTTGCAGGTAAAAATGGAGATCTCTCATGTTCGTTTGAAACCTCTGATAATTGTGGATATACTCAAGTGACTGGTACTGATCAATTTGATTGGACAAGAAATTCTGGAAGCACCAATAGTAGAAATACTGGACCTTCTTCCGATCATACTTTTGGAACAGGAAAAGGTTTGTGCCTTATTTATATTTTCTGAGATTTTAAAGGATTTAAAGTCTGGAAGTTAATGGACAATTCACTTTACCAATAATACAGAATAAGTTGTGGCTAACAGAACTTTGGATTTCATTAGGATAATTCGCTTATTCAAATTAAATCCATTTAGCTTAAAAGAAAATCTTAATTTTTTTGTTTCAGGACACTATATGTATATTGAATCATCACCACCAAGAAAACGAGGCGACAAAGCTCAATTTATATCTCCAGCTACACACACTGGAGGAACATACTGCTTACGATTCTGGTATCATATGAGCGGTACGCAAATTGGAAGCTTGAATGTCTACAGAAAATCAGGTAATACCATGGGAAGACCAATATGGAGCAGGAAGTCAAACCAAGGTAACAGCTGGAATGTTGCTGAGATCGACGTCAAATCTCCAAAATCTTATCAGGTAAAGAAAATTCCTTCAATTTGAATCACTGTAGTCTTATCCTATCCTATCCTATAATATCATATCCAGCAGAACTGGTCTTGGAGATATTTAATGTGAATCTCTGTAAGCAATCCTTATTGTATTAAAGCTCAAGTGATGTTTTGAGAAACAGTTGTGCTTGAGTTTCAGTTATTTTTTTAACAAAGAAGATAGCTACCCAAACTGCTGGCTCTTCTTTGTATATTAGTTTTTGTTGACACAGCATAAGAAACTTAACCTTATAACTATATTTTCAGTTGGTATTTGAAGGAGTAGTTGGAGACGGATATCGCAGTGATATTGCCATTGATGATTTAAATGTTACAACCGGAAGTTGTCAAAACCCAGGTATGTTTTTGTTCATACTGGTTCAATTACTGTAGCATTATTGATTACTTCATTCCAAGAAAATTTCTCTCTACTGTTGCTTTTGAACTGCATGGTATCTCCTCTGATTAATAATAAATTTACTTCAATGAAATTCATTTCGTTTACAGAATTTTTCGATTTAATTGACCTTTTCTTGGATTCCTTGCAATTTTTATCCGAAATGTATAAAGTTTAGACAGCAGTGCTACCGTATTAACCATTTTATTGAATAAATGAACTATCAAAATGTTTTTATTAAAATGAATATCTAATGTAATGAATCTCAAACTATACTTAAGGTGAATGCAGTTTTGACAAGGGTCTATGTTCCTGGACAAACATCGTTGATGGAACAGATGATTTTGATTGGACCAGAAGTAGAGCTGGAACTTTAACTGGGGGTACTGGACCTAGTGCAGATCATACTTTTGGCAACATGAAAGGTATGTATTTTTGTTCTACAAGTATTAATCAACTTCTTGGGGAAGAATATGAGTTCAGCTTGAACCCTAGTGAAATTTTTCTGTTTTGAAGTATTTAAAGAATTAAGCTTGGAGTACACTCAGGGGCTCAACTGTCACAGAGACTGATTGAACCAAGTCCATGGGCCCCCACCGCTAAGGGGTCCCCACCACAGGAGAACATATGTTAAAAACAAATTACCGGGAGAGGTATACTTCTGTTTATCTGATTATGAGTTCTCAATGGGTAAACTTAACATATCAAAATAGATATATCGACTGAAATGAATCTGAACTACTTTCATTTACAGTTTTATAAGGTAAAGAAAAGATAGGTTCAGATTTCACAATATTTCGATAATACTGAATATCAACCATATCGCTTCGTATTGCAGGGCAATATCTCTTCATCGAATCCAGCAGACCACGGAAAGTGAACGAAAAGGCTAGACTGCTGAGTGAAACATTTGCTCCAACTGGTTCATCTTCAATGTGTATGAGATTTTGGTATCACATGTACGGTCGAACTGTTGGAACATTACGAATCTCCTATGTTGTCAACAATATCTATCCTGGATTCACTTTATGGCAGCTATCTGGTAATAAAAATAGTAAATGGCTGTCTGGACAACTGAGTATCAAATCTAGGACTGAATATAGGGTAAAATATGTTCCTCTTAAATATTAAATATCATATATAATTTATGAAGGCCTGCCAAATAAGCTTTGCTGTGTGAATAGGAAGGTTGGGTTGACAAGCCCGATACACAGTGAAATAGATAGAGATGGAATTCATTACTTTGAACTCTGATATGCTAGAAATGCCGTGACGTGCAAAAGAAAGGCATACGGTGGCTATTCTGTTATCTAGAATGTGGTATGCTTTGCTATTAAAGGACAATATTTAGTCGCTGAGAAAATTGACATATATCATAAACTAAAAACTAAGTCCAAAAAATAACAAAATCATTTACTTCACAGATCCTAATCGAGGGAGTTGTAGGAAATGGTATATTTGGCGACATAGCTTTAGATGACATTACGTTTAAATTTGGTCCATGTGGCATCAGTCCAAGATCTGCTATGCCACCCGATGCCACCACTACAGCGGAAACTACTACTGCTTCTACTCCGGTACCAAACTTTACTTCATGTAAGTGAGGAATATATATACGTTAATCACTGAAACAATAACATCTCAACGCGAAAACGCTTCCCAAAATCTGCGTCAGAAACACCCATCGCTTGTCAGTCCAGATTTCTTTCGCACAGTGCAACATCTCATATGTTAGTACTCCATTACCGACTTTGAAGTTATGTTTCAAAATGCATACTTATTCGTCATCCTTTTCCATGTAGTACCTGGAACCGTATCCTGTAATTTTGAGAATAACTGGTGTGGATGGACCCAAGCTAAAGATGATAATTTTGATTGGGGAAGACAAAAAGGACCTACTTCATCTCGAGGAACAGGAGCTTCTAAAGATCATACATTTGGAGGTGGGTAGCTTTTCACTAGACGAAGAACAATGCCAAATAGATATTATTAACTGATAAATTATACTCGATAGTGATATCGAGATGAATTATGACGAGCACAAATTTTATATAACCAGGATGAGCAATGTGGATTCTCCGAAAGAATACCAAAATTACTAGCTAAGTATCTGGACTTCTCTGAAGGTGATTTTCAGGATGAGAGAAATCATTTAATATGTTAGTTGCTGAATCTGAAACATATGCTCCCAAAACTAGAGAGGTCGATCAGTCAGAGACACAAAGGCGGTTTATTTTCTTTGCAAGCAAAGTTTATGTTTCCTTACTTATACATCTATTTCTATTTCCAGGTGGATACTACGTGTATATTGAAACATCAAACCCTAGAAAACCCAATGATAAATCCAGAATTATGAGTCCTACAATTACACCCAAAGGTGTCCAATGTGTGACGTTCTGGTATCATATGTATGGTCGCAGTGTCAACAGGCTAAACATGTATGCACAAGCTGGTTCGAACCTCGGTACACCAGTCTGGACTAAGAAGGGAACCCAAGGAAATAAATGGATACAGGCCAAGGTTGATATGACATATACCAAACAGTATAAGGTAAACACAACTTTTTTGTTGAGATCCTCATTTTTTAGCAACATTCATATTCAAATATTCTTATATATGAGGCATGTGCACTCTGGAGAGAATGTCAGTGTCAATGTTGAATGCTTTGCGATACACAAGAAACTCTATCATACAACAAAATAATATGATGTTTAAGACAATTCATCCTACCTTTGATGAGTTTAATATATTTTCCAACATTGTCGAATTGGGTGTTGTAGATTGTATTTGAAGGGGTACGAGGCAATAGTTATAATGGTGATATATGTCTGGATGATATTTCTATAATTGATGGATATTGTGACGGTATGTATTATTTCATTCCATTGTCAATGTCAACAATTAATAACATACAGATCTCAAAAACCAATGGTAATGTGTTGGGCATTAATATTGATGACATGCTTTTGCTTGATTATCAAATAGAAATGTACAAATCCAAAGCTCAACTTCGGTGTTAAAGTTACCTCTGCTGTTGTCGATGGCAAGACGGACCTGCTTGCACAGCCAGTTGCCAAGCTACTCTCATTACTCTGGTCTTATTCTACGCAACTAATCGTCTGCTTTAATCCAACAGGATCAACTGGAGTAACAGTACTACCAACTGGTAGCACTCCAAGATATGTGTGTGATTTTGAAAATCCTAAGATCTGCAACTACCAACAAGACATTCAAGATAATTTTGATTGGAAACGACAGTCCAGAAATACAGGAACTACAGGAACTGGTCCTAGCTCTGATCATACTTATGGCACTAGAAAAGGTAAGCTGAAAGCTGAACTATGATTTTGTGGTACTGTATTTTGGATCATGGTTTTATTGATTTGTAATTCTTTAATTTGTTTTTCATGAAAGTTGCATTGTATTTGTGATCTCATGCCAAAGCTTTCATATGCGTGTGGTTTCATATGCTGATGGTAAGAAGGATCGCACTATTGGTCAGCTTATAACTGGTTATATGTATTAATGAATTCCAACTTTGAACCATTACCGTTTATAGGTAACTACATGTATATTGAGACCTCAAGTCCCAGACGAAACGGTGATGTTGCTAGACTGTACACTTCTCAGTTACCAGTACTCAAAACTACCAGCTGTTTTAGATTTTACTACCATATGTACGGTAGAAATATAGGAGCTCTAAACATCAAGGTAAATTGAATTTTTAATTTATACATGCTGAAATGTTCAATTATATCGTCTGTCTACAGGAATTCCAACCTAATTTAATAGTTTGGAGCCTTTTCTGTCAGTGGCTCACCTCCCATGGCTGAACCAAGTTCACCGGCCCCCACTTTCCAAAAAAAACGACTGTGTCCTTATCTAAGAAAATATCAAAAACCCACGGGCCCCCACTCACTCATCTAGTTGAGCCACTGCTTCCTCTACAATCCAGAACAATATGTCTGATTGTATCTCGACTCATATATCATTGTATTTTCAGATCAGAAATAATAATGTCCTTGGAAATGTTATTTGGACACAGACTGGTAACCATGGCAACATGTGGACGCAAGGAAAGGTTACTCTAGATAGTAGAAAGATTACAAAGTCATTCCAGGTGATGCTTTTATTTATTCCTCATGAAAAACAGCATGGGTACATTGCACGTGCATGGGTACTGGTGTACTTTTTTTCTTGTAATTACCTGATTACACCTTTGGCCTAAGGAATAGCACAGTTTATAAGGTGTGACTTTTTGGTGCCACTTCAGATGGTTTTGTATTGGAGTCCTCCCAATTTCTTGCCGTAATATATTACTAATTCTTCGAAATTACATTTGTTTACAGGTTGTATTTGAGGGTGTTGTTGGAAATGGTATTCAAGGTGATATAGCTATTGATGATGTCAGTATCGTAGATGGTGCTTGCACTAATGCAGGTAAGCCAAATATATCTTCATTCAATTGGTTTAGATTGTACTTAAGAAAAACGGTAAAGTAGAAGATATTATGTTGGCAAAGATTATTCTCGTGAGAATCCTTTCCACCATTCCTTTGGTACTAGGCCAAACAATTGTCCCGATCTGCTAGTCCTCTATAAAGCAAGTCGACTGAAAAATACGAAAGCCATGTGTTAGATTTTCTTGTCTTCTTCGCTTGGATGTTATAATTTGAGATTCAAAGTATCTTTAAAAAAAATTTTCCAGGTCAATGTAGTTTTGAGAACGGACTTTGTTCATGGACCAACCTTCAGACGGGAGATGACTTTGATTGGATTGTTGGAAATGGTGGGACAACTTCTAAATATACTGGCCCTACTACTGATAATACCTTTAAAACAACCAGTGGTAAGCAATGGTTTTCATTGTATTTAGCTTTCGTTATGGAATCCACAGCGCTTGAAACACTCGTTTCAGAATGCTTAACACCAACTACGAGGTTCTCCTGATGCTTATACCTTGCAAACTATTTCAACTGGTGATTTCGTGTTAATAACGACTGTTAAGCAGCAGTGGAATGTGTCCTTTCTTTCGGACCGTGGGTTATGATATTTTTAAACGATAGTTTTTGTAATAACTTACATGTTTATTAAAGGGACAGATTCGCCATCCGTTTGTCCAATCCAACCTTAATTTCAGAAACGGAATTTTTTTTAGCAAAGCTAATCGATAATGAATCCATGTGTATCCAGATTTGTTTATGTTTGAAAGTTAAAATGACGACTCTTTTCTGAAGACATTTTAAACATATTCAAGAACCAAATCAACCCACGAAAATGGCGAATCTACCCTTTAATATGATTGGTTTCATGTCAGCACGACAATTTTCTTTCTTATCTGTAGGTCATTATATCTTCATCGAGGCGTCTGCTCCGAGACAATTGGGCGACCGAGCTGTTATAGAGAGTCCTCAATTCCCACCAACTAAAGGCAGGTGTTTGAACTTCTATTACCATATGAATGGTAGAAACATTGGAACTCTGACAGTCTACATTGTGTCTAACTCTGGTCAAAATGTGTCACTGTGGCAGCTGAAGAGTGACCAGGGCAACAATTGGTTGAATGGGAAAGTTCCTATTAAAGCATCATCAAATTATAAGGTAATTTAATTTTTAACAAGAAACAAGATCAAACCGAGAGAGACGTATAAGGCGAGTTTAAATGAAATAAACCTTTCCACGTGTAGCTGTTCTTGGAAAAGGTAATAAAAATTTGTTAATTTTTGCAGATCCTGTTTCAAGGAACGAGAGGTAATGGTATAGCTGGTGACATTGCTCTGGATGATGTTTCCTTTACTGAGTCTATTTGTGGAGGTAAGAGAAGCCGACCACTGTGCTTTATTCCATGAGAAATGAAAACATGGTTACCTGAAGAAACTTTGAGTTACAGTGACAATTATAAATTAGTCTCCACGCTGCAATTTACCCTTCACCAATGCCCATGGAGTAAAAAAAGATGAGCTACGATAAAATCAACGTCATCTTCATTTGAAGAAGCCATTCACATTTATTAAAACGCGGGAATTAATTTGATCAAAGAGCACCATTTTTAAAATCAAAACACACGAGGTTTTGGTACGAAAATCATACTCCTTGTTTCTCTTCCAGTTGTCCCCAAGAAAGCAGATCTGGGTCATAACGGAACAGTTGCATTCTCAACACAAATAACACCAACTTTAGGTAAGACAGATTTTAACGATTCTACTATATTCCTACTAATATATTCAAAATTGGTGTTCTGAATATTTCATTAGTTAATTGAAGCTAATAAAAATCAACTAAGGCATCTAAGGAAGTTCTTCCATAAATAGTTACTAGCAGACTGTTGCTTAAAAGTGCTCTCTCGCTTTAAGAAATTGACTTGAATATTGTGAATATTACAAGTTGCATAGCTGGTGACAAACGAGAAAGTTATTTTGTAATCGAAACTATTGAAGACTGTATATATAACAAGTTAATAATTCCGTACTGGTTATACCAATACTTATTTCAAGGTCCCGGAAGTCAGATAGACTGTGATTTTGATAGTAATCTATGTGCATGGAAACAAGATAAAACTGACCAGTTTGATTGGCAACGAAACCACGGTTCGACCAAAACAATAGGCACTGGACCTACATCAGATAATTCTGGAAAGAGTAAGATCTTTTAGTTTTTAGTATTGTTATACGTATCGTCACATTTGGAGAAGAAGTGGACATGCGCTTTCAGTAAAACTTGTGCTTTTTATATGACGTATATTGTCTTTAATAATACTCCATTCTTGGTCCGAAATTTACTTGATCTGCAGAAAGATCTGCTCCACGGTGAGAGATTTAGCAACTTGTTACTGTCAATCCGTTCAAACACCGTTCACTTCTCCTTTCGTATTGTTTTCAGATGGTTACTATATGTATATTGAAACGTCCCTACCAAGAAAATACAATCAAAAAGCTAGGTTGATAACTCCTATACTACCAGCAACCTTAGTCACCAGATGTTTCATGTTTTATTACTATATGTACGGTACTCATGTTGCGGACCTTAATGTGTATGTTAAGAGTGGACCTAGTCTAGGTAAACCAACTTTCAATAGACATGGAACTAGAGGCCAGAAATGGCATCAAGCTATGGTGGATGTAACAGTCTCTGCAAATTTCCAGGTACATACTTTTAAAAGATGCTAATGTTCCATTAGAGTAAGGTTATGAAGTTTCCACCATTTGAACAGTGCTGATTTTTTTTTATTGAACCATCCCAAATGCAGAAATAAAGGGAGAGGTGCGCCATTTTTTGGACCAATTATACCTTGTTCTCGTATAGGTATGTTGAAAGCCCTTACTATTCTTCTGAAAGGAACGCAATGAATGTATTTTCACTGGCGAACAACACCCCTATATCCATTGTAGATGGTGATAGAAGCAACAGTAGGAAAAGGTTACAGAGGAGATATTGCTATTGATGATGTTACATTGGCTGATGGTCCCTGTACAAGCGGTGAGTTTATTAATTAAGGCAACGGTGTAATGCAGGCAGGTTATCCTTGGTAGCCAAGCTGCTACCTCGTATTTCGGGTTCTCTATGTGGATTTACCTTTTTAAAAACCTTTTATTTATTTTGCCCCCCTAATGATAAATTCACCAATATTACAGGTAATAATCAAGGGGTAGCACCAGGCATCACTTGTGATTTTGAAGATTCAAAAATCTGTGGATACACTCAAGGCAAGAATGATAAATTTGATTGGACAAGAGATTCGGCTGGTACCACATCCACTGGTACTGGACCACCATCTGATCATACATATGGCACATCTAAAGGTATGGGAATCCACAATTTATATGTTATTCTCATAACCTTCCTATTTATTTAGTTATTTATAGAATTTAAACATATTGTCTGCTGTGGTTAGTGAAGTTTAATTTTGATGAATGAATATTCAATGGTTTAATTTTTTAATTGGGTTAAATATGTTAAAAGGTATCAACGAATTCAACGAAGTCCAACATACATCCATATAACTAAGCCGTAAGCGTAGTACCTGAGTTTACTAAAATTACATTTCAATAATTAAAGCAATGTTTTATAATAATATGGCAGTACAAATCTAGCTTATTCATGTAACATCGACGTAGAATGTGAAATGAGATTTTTTCCTGAAATATTTTTCAGGTCACTATATGTATATAGAATCATCCTCACCCAGAAAACAGAATGACAATGCTTTACTGGTAACCTCAACACATACAGTTGGTGCTTCTCCAGAGTGTGTGGAATTCTGGTATCACATGTATGGTAAACGAACTGGTACTCTCAACGTTTATCTGCAACAAAACGGTGCCAATGGAAATGCTGTGTGGACAAAATCTGGTAAGAATAAACAAACCAAGAACAAACGATCCGAACCGCAAAACGAAACCCGATTCACAAGCTCAATCTACCGAATACAACTGTAAAACTTGTATCTCACTCTTTCGAATGAAAATGTTATAGTAGGAACATCAATTTGGCTGACTTTTTGGATCAAAAATAAACATAAGATACTAAAAGTCAACATTATCCGCTAAGGTGACTCAGTATGTTACAAATGTGTCTTCTGAAGTTTCTAGTTAAAATTTGAGCAGTTCTAAACAATGTCGGGGGACCATTGTCCGTTGGTTGAGGCACCAGCAAGTCAACCAATGTCTTTCTACTCTTTGTCTGCAGGTGATCAAGGCAATCAATGGAATCGAGCAGAGGTACAATTACCTGGTAGCAGTAACGCTGCCAATATAGTTTTTGAAGGTATTGTTGGAGGATCAATATATAGTGATATAGCTATTGATGATGTGTCAGTTAGAACTGGAAAATGTGGTCAAACAGGTTAGTAATGATACATGTATAATTAAGATCTACAGTCAAAGGGGATTTCTACAAATTTGAAGATTGCAGATATCACAGATCTTAAGAAGCTTTAAAGGATATAAATCGAAACCAAATTTTCTGTGGTTTGATTGTTTGTGTTTCTTTATTGATCTTTTTCATATTTCTTTTCTACAAAGATATAATTGTGAAATCCTGAAATCCATTCTTCTTATGAGATGTTCTGATATATTTCATCCCATTTTCAATCTCTATTTAATTCTGTTCTCAGGAAGCTGTGATTTTGAATCTAACACCTGTTCATGGAGTAATTCTAAAGTTGATGATTTTGATTGGGTACAAGGTAAAGGCAAGACAGGATCTTCTGGTACTGGACCTTCCACTGATCATACAACAGGAAATGCTACTGGTAAGACTTTTATTCATCTATAAAATATATTGACAAAGATAACTGGTTGCCAGTCCTGTGGTTAGGTATCTGCTTTTATAAAACTATATCTTGCCTTCAGTAGAAAATCGACTGGACTAGTTCAGTAGAAAAACACGAAACGCGATAAAAACGTTTTGCAAACTGAAAACATATATTCTAATAAGTTTAAAAACCTTGAGAACAACTGAGTTTTTCCATGTTTTCTTTAAATTAACTCCTGAAGAAACCCCAACGGTATGTGGTGTTTTCTGTAACAGAATCAAAGAATTGATATAAATTAACAGATTAGTTCTCTTTTCTGTTTAGGCACGTACATGTTTATAGAAACCTCGAAACCAAGGACCACCGGAGATGTTGCCATCCTACAAAGTCCACAGTTTAAAAGCACCACTCAAAACTGTATGCATTTCTGGTATCATATGAATGGTAGAACAGTCGGATCCCTAGCAGTACAAATTCAATTAATTGGCCAGAACGGTACCTCAATCTGGAGTCAATCAAATAATCAGGGCAATAAGTGGCTTCAAGGTCAAGTATCTGTACCATCTCAAAGTGCCGATTATAGGGTGAGTATACCAGAGCATACTATTTAACGTCCACTGAAGCAAAATTCACGGATATGTGTCAAGTCACATCTAATCTACAATTGTTTCCACGAAAAGAATTCCAGTGTAGTGTCCAAGATTTAAGATGAAATCAAATTTATCTAGTACATCCATTAACGTTATAAAGTCCATCCACGAAAATACCCCTAATCTTTAGTAGTGTCTACATTAATTACATCTTCTTCAGGTGCTCTTTCAAGCTATCCGCGGAACATCTTACACAGGAGATATAGCTATTGACGATATAGTGTTTGATCAGAGTACAAATTGTCAACTGATGCCACCAACTGCTCAAGTACAGGCACCAACCACTCAACAACCAACTACCATATTACCTGGTTCCGTACCAGGTGAGTCTCACCGTTTCACGTTTCCCACATACCTACACAATATAGATATCATTGATATGAGGTGGACTCATGATGAGGTGGACTCATGATAGCTTTTGATAGAGTTACGTTTCCTGTGTCCGTATTGACGAGTTTGTACTGAGTGATTCGTTTCCGATATGCTCTATTTCTCGCAAATCATTCATTTTTGTATTTTTGTACCTTTTATGCTTGTAGAAAGCTTTTAGAAAGCCTTGTTATTTGAAACGTAATTGTCCATTTCAGGCGGTTTCACTTGTGATTTTGAGAAGGATTTCTGTCTGTGGACACAAGATAAAACTGATAAATTTGATTGGTCTAGAAAGCGAGGCAGGACAACGAGCAGTGGTACTGGACCTGTAGGTGATCACACTTCAAAACGTAAGTTGCTTAATGCATTACTGAATAGCTGTATAATAACAAATCAATGGATCTGTAATGCCTAAAATGTGTCAATTGGTTTACCTGCATATAATCTAACATCTTTACAACGTTTCCAAGAAAAAATCTTTACTTTAAACCCGACAAGATACTGAGAGAATCCATTTGATAATTCTGCTTCACGTCTTAAATGATTTGATTTTAAGCGGAATTATTAGATAAAAAGGAATATTTGTCATTATTATCATCACTTTTTACAGAGGGTTACTATATATACATGGAAACATCTGGACATACAAATGGCGATTCAGTCCGGTTGATCAGTCCTCAGATTAACGGTGCTACTCAGTTTTGTTTGAGGTTCTTCTACCACATGTATGGACCAACAATCAATAGGTAAGCTTCCTATAATCTTTTTAATCTATCTGTAATCTTCTTAATCTTCCTGTTTGGAAAATCTTTCAAATAAACTATTTTAACTAACACCCGTAACGCTCATTCCTAAAACAACAATGGAAACGGGTCCTTCACCCTGGGTCCGTTCACCTTGTGTTCGTTCGGGAAATGTACAAGAGTTTAAGCGTTTCAAGGAGACAGGACTAACAACAATTACGTATAAATACAATTTTTTCACTTGCAAATGGTATCTTTAATGGCAAACTATGATTGAAATTAAAATTTTTGAAATGTTTAACTATTATGGTATTATATCTATACATATGCAAAGGAAAGTTCCTTATTTATTAGATTTTCATTTTTTCTTATTTCTATTGCAGATTAAATGTTTACTTTTCTAATGGAAAGACATTAGGCAAATATGTTTGGTCTAAATATAGATCACAGGGTAACGCATGGAAAAGTGCTTCGATTCAGATTGCTGGAGGTTCTGTAACTCAAGGTGTTACAAATGTAAGTTGCTATTCCGTAACGTTTTTATCGTTATCCGTTGGATGGCGATAGGATTTCATTTGGACTCACTCCACTAATTCATTTGCCATCTCTTCCCATGTTAAAACACGAAATTCAACCTTCTATAACTTTTTCCAGAAATCTCGTTGAAAGCTTTCCAATATGTCTATATTCCATTTTTAGAATTAGCCTTCCTCCTTTAGGTCTCTCATCATCTCACCAAATCTGAAAGATAATGCAATTTCAGACATCAAATTCCAAATCTAGACCAAATTTACCCAAAAATAGGCATTCAAAAACCCAAAAAGGGAGAGAGAAAGAAGATTTCTAAAAATAGCCTGGACTATACAATCATTTGCATAAAATGTTTTAGTGAAGTGAGTCCTATTTAAACAGAGAGTTATCTGCCATTCAAAATTGCGTGGAGTTACGTGAATAAAACTCACAAATGATAAATTCAGACAGTTGACAGAAATGATAGGCTCTAACCATGTGACTATTTAGGGATGTGTGAGGCTCATGTTTCAATTTCTGATCAATGGCTTCTTAAATGCCTGTCGGCAACCTAGAAAAATTTGTAGCCACTAACTTACCTCCTCCACTCAATGGCTCCTCGAAACGCCACTGAATATGTACAGAGCATATTAATAATAATACAAAATCTAAGAGACACTTCCAGTTCAAATTCATCGATAGACAAGAAAATATTTGCATTGACTGAACTCTGTTATTTCTTATAGGTTGTGTTTGAAGCTGTACGAGGTAGAAGTTATTCAGGAGATATTGCTTTGGATGATATTTCTCTTACTCCTGGATCATGCTCGGCCACCACAGGTAGCCTAAGTTTTTTATATCTACCGTCAGTGTTTCATAGAGAGTTTCAGACCTAAAAATAGTCCATGTCAATTGTTGAATGCCGTGGAATATATTCTTTGACTATGTCCCCCATAGTCACACTAAATAATACATCATATAAGGTGGAAAACTGGTGAAAAGATTTTAGCTTTAGATTTAGCTATGATTTAGATTACAACATAGAGCTGCATGGCTTGATTTAAACACTATCAGATTCAATTTCATCCCACATTTCCAAGCAAATAATAAATATATCTTTTATAGGAACCACCACAAGCAGTCCAATTGATTGTAGCTTTGAACAGTTTACCAACTGTAAATACATGCAAGATAAACAGGATGTGTTCGATTGGAGTGTCAGAACATTGAGAACTTCGTCATTTGGAACTGGACCTAATGCTGATCATACAATGGGAACTCGAGCAGGTAGGCTTTTGTCTTTTTGTAAAGACACGGATCATATAGTTAAACTGCTTTGCAAGCAAACCATAAAAACAGAACTCGAAATATGAACACTTCGTGAATATCTTCTACGATACATTTACTGATAAAATTCAGTAAAATATATGATTACACAATACAAGTACAACACAGTTCAAATACTCGCTATATGTATTTGTGTTTTGTACAGGGTACTACGCTTTCATCGAAAGCTCAAGTAGAAAACCAAATGATAATGCAAGATTCATCACCCCAGCTTTCAAATCAACTGACGGGAAATGTTTGACATTTTGGTACAATATGAATGGGCGACAGATGGGAAAATTGAATATATATCTGCAAACTTCTTCTAAACCAGCACCTCCTATCTGGAATAAATCTGGTAATCAAGGTCCTCAATGGAAAGTGGAATATGTTCCTTTGCCCGACTTTACCAATGGAACAGTAAGTAGTAATATAACCTGTTTTTTGAGAATCTTTGCCTCTTGAGCAAAAGAAACTACTGGTACAACATCTTAAAAGGTTTGAATGTGTAGGAACAGAGGGCTTAAAACAATATGTTACAACTGAAGCCCATTAATTAACCCAAGTAACATGTTTCTAACCATAGTGCAATAAACTGTTGCCATTACAGATAATATTTGAAGGAGTTGTTGGTACAGGATATCTAAGTGATGTAGCTATTGATGATGTTAAATTACAAACTTCTTGTCCTATACCAGGTAAGCAATGGATTGATTACTTTCCCTCTCTATGGATTTTGAGGTTTTGTAATAGGGCAGTTCTGATATGTGTCAGATTCCCTATGTAATGATGGTGTATTCTAATCAGAACTAATCATTGGTTATACGATCGTTGGTTCAGATTGTTCTCTTATCAAGTCAATATCTCGAGTTCTTACACGAGGGAGACTATCAGCTGTCATGATGCCTTCCTGTTTTGGAAGAGTTTGGGTAGGCATTATGAAGGTTGGTAATTTCCTTTGTTAAAATCAACAACTCCCACAAATCTTAAGATATTACCTGAAACATTTCCTTGGGAGCTTAGATCTTTTCGAAAAAATGATTTCAAATAACAAAATGATAACAAAATGATTAATGATTAATTTTATGAGATGGGTGAAACCGATCACGATGATTACTTTGATTACAATGATCACAGTGATTGTATTGATTACCGTATTAAACGTATAATGCGTAATGCAGAAGCCTCTTCAGAATATGACAATCTATTCTGAACTATTTTAGGGGATTGTGATTTTGAATCTGATACTTGTGGATGGACAGATGCTGTCGATGATAATTTCAATTGGATGAGAATCAACTCTGGTATCACCAAGTTTGGTCTGAAACCCTCGGGTGATCACACACTAGGACCAAAGAAGAATGGTAGGTGTAATGAAGGTTTTTATATATGCTTAATATGAAAATGTCCTATCCACGCACAATCAAACACCTTTTGATGATTTGCTTCTTATGTTCGTTAAACAACCTGTTACTATTATAGGAACATACATGTACGTTGGACAAGGGTCACCGTCCGGAAAGGGTAATGTTGCTCGTCTTGTATCCCCATCATTATCTGCTACTGGTTCAAAAGGAAAATGTTTCAATTTCTGGTACATCAATTCTGGTTCTTCATTTGGTAAAATCATAGTTTCTCTACAACAGGTACTTACTTTGTGATTACTTTGATTACCATATCAATATTATTACTATTATCTTATTTCTTATAATATGTACCTTCTTTTTGATTACTGTTTTACATTACAATATATTTAGAAATGAAAAAGACAATCATTCCATTACATGTCAACGTTTTATAGGGGAATATGACAACACCAATATGGATTTTGACCTCTGATGATAGTGCTGCTAGCAAGAACTGGCAGAATGGACAAGTTCCTTACCAAAGTGCCGTTGATTACTCTATTGTGATTGAAACCAGTAGAACAGGTGGTACTACCGGCTTTATCACTCTGGATGATGTTACAATCAGGAATAGCAAGTGCTCCAGTAAGTTCCTCTTTTATACTTATACCAAGGCCGAATTCCAGGCCTGTTATAGAACAGCTGCTGTTACATTGAAGCTTTCCAACAGTCTTTATTCTAGCTGCAAGTTATCACTATGTAATTTTCTGATATTAATTTCAGTTACCCCTAATTATGCAGACACTGGATCTACTCTTATGCCATTTAGATCAACAACACCTGGACTAGCTATTACTCCCCCTACTAGTGGTAAGATCTTCTATACTTTTGTAACACCTAGCTCTGTGCAGTACATACATGTACACCCCCCCCCCCTCCCAAAAATAAAGTCTGGCTACGAGCCTGTTTGTTCTTCCATATCTGTGTTCTGTCAATTAAGATTTGAATTTTTAAGAGTTGTATTGACTTAATGTCGCCACTGAAACGTAATGTGCTATTCTGTTACGTTGCTTGTGTTAAACAATTAAAATATTTTCAGCACCGTCAATCTATGACTGTAACTTTGAGAAGGGGTTATGCTCGTGGACACAGAATAAAGATGACGATTTTGATTGGACAAGAAAACATGGAGCGACAACAACAAGTGGTACGGGACCCAGAACAGACCATACTCTAGCTACTGGTAATTAGATTATATTCTAGATTGTATCCCTTGGCTTCAATGGGCGCTGAAGATGATAGCCTTTCTTCATCCCATTCGCTTATAGGTTTTGATCAAATATGGGCCCAAAAACTTAACTTCATTAACTTTGGACGCTATCAAACTAATTACTGAGGTGGGTGTAGATATCAAGCTAGCAAGATGCCATTCTGTGATCTTGTTTGTCAACTTAACTAGTTTTGGGTCATATTCCAGTTTTCAGCTCGTTGACAAAACCGTGGTGGGACATTTTAAACATTTAGTTTTAATAGATTCATTAATATATTCTGTTTTTACTTAAGATCAAGGCTACTATGTCTTCATAGAAACATCAAATCCAAGAAAGTTTGGTGATAATGCTAAACTGGCTAGTAAAACCATATCCACATTCTCTACACCCAAATGTCTCAGCTTCTGGTATCACATGTATGGACCCCACGTTAACACCTTGAACGTTTATGTGAAATCTGGTAATGCATATGGTACTCCTGTATGGACAAAGAAAGGAACCCAAGGCTTTAAATGGAAACAATCGTCTATAGACATTGCAGCCAATGCTTCCTATCAGATAGTGTTCGAAGGCGTCCGAGGAACCAGCTTCCAAGGAGACATTGCTTTAGATGATATATCTGTCACTGACGGTCTTTGCGGTAAGAAAAAAAACATGTCGCCCTCATTAAGTTTAAAATACTGCCAAAACGATCATATTTACGAGCATATCTCGAACAAGATGTAAAGATATAACTGCAATCGTTTCATGTTGTCATCAGAAATAGATAGATAGGTGGTTTACAGAACCAAACTACACAAATCCTATTAAGGCATGGCAATTTGAATCAGACCGATTTCTCTCAGAGCTACCCATAATTAAGTTACTTAAATTATTGTGATATTTATGGAAGGTTAACTTACAAAAACTTTCCTTTGCAGGTTCATTGAGCAGTTGTGGATTTGAAGATAAAACGATCTGTGGCTATCAACAAGATGCTAAAGATAATTTTAACTGGTTTCAGAATTTTGGTAGCACAGGTTCATCATTTACTGGTCCTCCTAATGATCATACCTACGGCACACGAAAAGGTAATTAGTCAATACCTTTACCCCCATGCACTCGCTGTTGTAATAATAGCAGTAATATGATTGTGTTGTCCCTTTAAACATTATGACAAATAACCCATGGCCCTCCAGAATTGGATTAGATAAGAATGCATTTCTTTACTCTTTAGGAAAATATATGTATATTGAGTCATCTAGACCAAGAACGGCCGGGCAGAAAGCAAGACTTATCAGTACCTCACAATATGCCACCAACGGTGCCTGTGTGACATTCTGGTACCATATGTATGGAAGAACCACTGGAAGTCTAAATATCTATGTGCGATCTGGAGATACACTCGGTTCTGCTGTATGGACAATGAAGGGTCAGCAGCAGAATAAATGGTTACAAGCACAGATCACTGTAAAGTCGCCTAGCAGTTGGGAGGTAGGCTTATCTAAAATCACTCATTCTGATGTGTACCAAATTTCATGGTTTGATCCTTCGACTATTAATAGAACTTAACTTCTTGGATTTTTTTTCCGAAATATAATTGACTATATTAATACTTGGCGCCACGTGTTCTGATACTGAAACATTGTCCCATTTCCAGTTAACGTAGTCTGTGTCTTAGCACCTTTTCCAGCATGATCTGAGCTCTTTCATTTGATGCGGTAATAGTAATTTGAAAATGTCATCTGGAATAGTAACCATGTTCTGATTCAGGTGGTATTTGAAGGAGTAATAGGTAATGGCTATCAAGGTGATATAGCAATTGATGATGTTTTAATCACTGACGGAGCATGTCAGCTACCAGGAGACTGTAATTTCGAGAAAGATATGTGTAGCTGGAAGAACACTAGGGCTGGAGACGATTTTGATTGGATAATGGGAGCCGGAAGTACACCTAGCAGATATACTGGTCCTACAACAGATCATACCACAAAATCTACAAATGGTAAAATTACTTCTCTGAACACTAAACTGTCTCGTTCCAAACCTTGGGTATTTGTTCCCTCAAAGGTGGCAGCAAACACGATAGACGGCACCTAAAGAAAACTGTATCAAATATACAACGAGTTTGGGTAGGAAATAAATATCTAGAACATGCGTATTATGGATATTTCAAGATGAAAAAGAATGACCGAGCCAGTTTTACACAGATACCATGACGTTCTCACATATTCCAATTACAGGAGGCTACGTATTCATTGAATCATCAGCACCTCGAGCTCCAGGGCACCTGGCTTGGTTAATTAGCGAACAATTCCAACCATTTAATTCTGGTGTTAAGTGTTTCAATTTCTGGTATAACATGAATGGTAATGGCATTGGTAAGTACTATTCCGGTCTATTGGTATCCAATCTGAAGCGCTGTTACAACCTTGGGTCATGTTGTTGACTATAGGACGACATGCTCGGAAGTGTCGAAAGCATGGCTTTGCTCGTTTACTGGTCTGCGTTTTGGAAACCCTCCTGTTCTTGTTCATACATTAAATTAGTCCGAGACACCAAACTGTAATTGTCACTTTCTGAAGATTCCACTACCACACTCAAATTGATCTTCACAATTTGATTGATACACCAAAACATTGGTCTTACTATTTGATCTCTCTAAACGTAATGACAAGTTGAAATCTCTCGAAAAATTCAATAGTTCTTTTTAACTTGGACTTCACTACAGAATAGCTCGGCTACATTGGCTGAATTAGCATTAGTTTCTGAAATATTTGTATTAAAAGCTATTTATCAAGCACCACTTACTTACAGGAACTCTGAATGTCTATATTGATGATGCTGCTAACACTACTCATACCTTACTGTGGTCACAGACTGGTAAGAAGGGAACAGCGTGGTTAAATGGTCAAACACCTATACCAAGACAGAGTAAAGCTTATATGGTAAGGTTCTAAGATGGGTTATTAGATCTACGATACGTGATACTGCTGTTAACTTTCGTGGAATTTGTTCGATTTTCGTCTTTCCATTGATTCGAGTAACACATCTAAATAACTTTTTATTTTTATTGTAGCTAAGGTTTGAAGCTACTCGTGGACCAACGTATTATGGTGATATAGCTCTAGATGATATCTCAATCACACCATTCAAATGTAATGGTAAGTATTTTCCCTCTTTCTAGATGTTTTTGATGCAGTTCACAGCTGATACTTAACCAAGTATTGACATCCAATACGAATCACTAATCAATTAAGTCAGGTATTGAAGTAGCAACAGTAGTTCATCCCCTGAAAACAAGCTGACCAACATTGACTATCTTTATTGAACTGTGCAATCACATTTTGTCCTTAAATGTTTCAAATGTAAAATTTAAAACTTAATAGACATCTTTATTGAAATACATATATATGAAAATTTATGCTTATTTCAGTGCAACCAGCCGCAGCTGACCCCAAGACGATGACACAACCACCTGTTACAATTGGTTCCACAACTCCAGCACCTTTTGGTAAGTTCTTATTTTTTTTCCTCCAGAAGTTTGGCCATCTTTAGCGTATTTTCTTTTTAAATGATTCACTGTAATGACTACTCTTTTGAAATGGATGTTTTGTGTCTTTCGTGCTCATCAGCGTTTTGAACATGAAAAATTCTTTTCTTACAGTAAAACAATCCCAATTTGATTGTGACTTCGAGAAGGACTTGTGTACTTGGACTCAAGCCAAAGATGATATATTTGATTGGACACGAGCTCAAGGACCAACTGGATCTCGACTAACAGGACCCACCAACGATCACACTAAACAAAATAGTAAGCTATCTATTTCTTTTTCAAGTAATTTATTGTGCATTAAAAAAGTGAATAATATTAGTGTATACGCTGCAAATTCTTACAAATCACCATTTTTTAACACACAAGCGGTGTTTTTTTTTTTTAAAAATGACGCATTCAGAGATGACGTTCTTTATTTTGTATTTAGATCGTTTTTAGTTTTGAAAGCTTTAAATATTTATTATTTTCATTATGAAAAGAATGTATGTGTTTTTTATTGTAGACAATGGGTGGTATATGTTTATTGAAACCTCGGCACCACGTAAAGTTAATGATACGGCTAGACTTGTATCGATGACAGCTCAAGCTAAACAAGCTTACTGCTTACAGTTCTGGTATCATATGTACGGTCCTCATGTCAATCAACTGGGTGTTTATCTCAAGGTAATGTAAAGTTTCCTCTCTGTTATTTGGATTTCAGCAGAGCACAAAAAACTCATCTTTTCGTAACATTGACGCCACTCTGCACTTGGGTTTGTACATGAACGAACGTGCCTCTTTTGCATTTGTATAAACCAATATTGCTACAGAGATTTCGTTATGCAAGTCAAATATAGTATGGCAACTACATCATTTAGCCGTCCCACCTTATCGTCATTGTGTTATTTTTAGATCAATGGAAAGATTGGATCACCAGTATGGAAGAAGGGTAAATCACAGGGTAATAAATGGGTCTTTGCTGAATACCAGATAGCTAACCAATCCAACCAGTTTAACATTGTGTTTGAAGGAGTACGAGGCCCATCTTATCGTGGTGATATAGGTCTTGATGATATTAAGGTACTCACTGGTGCCTGTCCAATACCAGGTAACTTATTTAATTCATTTCTGCAACTAAAAAATCCTTTTTCAGGATAAATAAGCTAAGAAATGTATCTTTGATAGTACTATTTTGGTTTCTGGCCACTAGGAGGAATTAAAAATATAACTATCTAATATGATATGGATTGCTTTCTATTTTTAGATCAGATATCCTGTTCATTTGAGGATCCAAAGATTTGTGGTTGGACTCAAGGAAAGAATGATAAATTTGATTGGACAAGACATAGGGGCAGAACAGGATCTTCTTTTACAGGACCGACTGTTGACCATACCGTTGGCACTTCCAAAGGTAGGTCATTTATTTAGAAAGTAAAATATATATTTACTACTCATACTGATAATGATGCTAATGCTGAGGCTGATGAAAATGCTGTTTATGCTGATACTGCTGATGATAATTATCATGATGCTGATGATACTGAGGTCATCAAGATTCCAACACTCTGCCATTCTGATATTTTTCTTTAAGAATGAGTAAACAGTTTACTCATACTTACGCCGTTTTTGTTTTGTGGTATGTATTTTTCTGATGAGAGTTGTGCTACATTTGATTTCCTATTACGCCATGATTCTTTTAATGTAAGAATCTTGGTGATTGTATCTCAACGCTCTTGAATTATTGGGATTATTGCAGGATATTACATGTATATTGAGACCAGTTCTCAAAGAAATGGTGACTCTGCACATCTGATCAGTCCACAAGTTACGTCTACAGATGTCAAATGTCTCCAGTTCTACTACAACATGTATGGTTTACACATTGGTACCCTGAACGTCTATTTACTAACAAGTCAAGGCAATACGACCGTTTGGTCTAAATCCAAAAATCAGGGTACAGCATGGATTGTGGCTCAAGCAACATTAAATCCAACACAAGCCTACCAGGTACGAAATTTCACTTATGTAATAGATAAGCAACGAAATCTATCTAGGAAAAGTAAGATGACAGGGGTTCTTATGTCTACATCTCAGAGCTTAAAGCACAAAACTTGCATTTTTGAAGCATTAGTTTTGTTTTTCATTAAAGAAAGACATTAAGAAAAGGAGTTTAACGTCTTACTAAGGATCACTTTTGAAAGATAATTGACAGATAAATTCTCTTTTAAGGTTGTTTTTGAAGGTGTTCGAGGAGTGGGTTATAAAGGTGATATAGCAATTGATGATGTTACTGTCAGCAATGGACCATGTTCTCTGCCAGGTATTCCTTGATCAATTTCTTTTAATGATGCAGCTGTATTTTTCGTGCTTCGGTATTTTCAATTATACGATTCTTCAACAACAACTTTCACCTTGAAGCATTTTTCGATGGTTTGTTCATTTTAAAGCATTTGTGCAACCAACAATCGGATGTTTCAGTTTATTTCACTTCATTTTGATTTAAACTTTTCATAATGAAATTATAATATTGCAGGGAATTGTGATTTTGAGAAGAGATTCTGTACATGGACAAACCCTACAGCTGGTGACAACTTCAATTGGATCATAGGTCAAGGGCGAACATCTTCAAGATATACTGGACCCAGTGCAGATCATACCGTGTCTACTTCAACAGGTAGTGACTCTTTTGGTCTATCCACCAAGGTGTTCTAAATCATACATGAGTTAAATGGTTTTCTATGATATAATTGGCTATTATTGTCGACATACTAATTCGCAGTGAAATTGATTTATTGTGAATTTCAGGACACTATGCCTTTATTGAATCTTCCTCACCACGAAAACCTGGAGACAGAGCATGGTTGAAGAGTATGCAGTTCTCAGGATCAAAGGCGCCCAAATGCTTGAGTTTCTGGTTCCATATGTATGGTGTAACAGTAGGGACATTAAACGTAGTATACTTACCAACAGATGGTAGTGCAAACAGTACTATCTGGTCTTTGACAACAGATCATGGCAATTTATGGATTCAAGGACGTGTCAGTATTGCTAGCATCAAACCATACTTTGTAAGTGTTTTAAACTTGTTCAAAATTCAGAAGATTTTACGACTGTGTCATGGTTTGGAGTCAACTTTAATGTTTCGTTTCACCTGGTCTCCACAAACAAAATTTGCATACTTTCCTGGAATTATACTTATGTTCTACTATATCTATTATCTCAATTTTGGAGTTAGATACAATGCTACTGAAGTGGTGCTACGAGGTGTTCTCAGGAACACTGACATCTATTATTGCTGTTGTATCGATTTTTTGTTTCATTTCAGATAATATTTGAAGGAGTACGAGGCAGTGGTTTTAAAGGAGATATTGCTCTAGATGACATCACATTTACTAGCTCCTACTGCACAGGTATTATTTATAACCAGTTTAGATCTCCCGTTGACTCATTATTATTTTACTGCAAATGCTTTAATTGGATAGTTGACTTTAAAATATTGATAGTAATATGAGAGATTATTACAACATGCTTTTCGCAATCAGCAACTTAATTATCAATACTTATTATAGTAACAGCAGGAGCTGTAGCAATTATATAACACAAATTTTTCGATTTTAACTCCAATGTCATCTTAAATAACTAATGGGGTGTGTTATTTTTACAGTTTTACCACAAGATGCTACAGCTGGAGTAGTAACTCTAGTACCAACACCTTCACCAACTCCTACTGTTCCCTCTGGTTAGTCGGCCTTTTTCTTAATTTTATTGGATTTTTTTCACACACTTGAGCACCTGTCATTTTTCATTGACAACACAGTTAATGTACGATTAATATTATCATTTATTACAAGGAGTTTTCTCTCTATGTTGGTGGTGGTTTGAACCTTGAACGTTTCTCATAAAACGAGTTTTTCACTTTGCATTGGCACATCAGTCTGGAGCATTGTTTCTATATTCTTACAAGTATTTAGTACTAATAATATTTTGCTTACTTTTGTAACACATTTGATATTAGACTATAAACCTATTATACATAAACCTTCAGTTCATTTACACAATATAGAATATTTGCTGTTTTCAGTTCCAACACCATATGACTGTAATTTCGACACTGACTTCTGTAAATGGAATCAATCAACCCATGACGATTTTGACTGGTCTCGGGGAAATAGATTTACATCATCTGGTGGAACTGGACCTACTGCAGATCATACTCAAGGAAATAGTAAGGAGTTTTAGTGGTTTTGATATATGATATACGAATATGTGTTTTATATATGGATGAATTAACAAAACGAGGGATGTAAATTAGTCAAGCAACTAGGATAGAGTTTATCACTCTAAAATGCCGTTGAAGACATACAATTTGGTTAGATTCAATTAATAACATAACGGATTATATTCATACCATGTTCATTTCAGGCCAAGGATATTATGCCTTTATAGAGGCATCATATCCTCGAAAAGAGAATGATACAGCCAGGCTTTATTCACTACCAATCGGCTTCACACAAGGTTCATGTATATCCTTCTGGTATCATATGTATGGTCCACACATCAAACAATTATCTCTGTACACCATACCAGTCGATTTCTCAAACAATGGCTCCAAGGTATGGACCCTGACTGGATCACAGAGTAATGCATGGAAACAGGCTCAAGTAGATGTCACCAGCCAGAATCATTTCAGAGTAAGTATAACTACATTTTAGACCTTGGTTATTGTTTAAATCATCATGAAATTAGAGGATTCTTCCAAGGTGTAGGTGATTCGATTGTAAGAGCTTGTTGGACTAGACGGAGAGGTAGTTTACTGAGCAATCAGTTTGGGATCTTCTGTTTTACTATCCACTATCCACTATTCCTGACCATTGTGAAAATTGACTTGTTGAGTACATGGACACCGTATACCCGAGCCCATTGCATCCTTTGCATGTTATATTAACATACATTTATGTTATTTAGATTGTTTTTGAAGCTGTTCGAGGTAATGGATATCTAGGAGATATAGCTATAGATGATATTCATTTTACAAGGACACCGTGTAAAAAAACTACAGGTATATTGTAATCTTTTCGTGTTAACATTATCTTTCAATATACACTGTAAAATGATGGGGAAAGTAACTGGTGCTAAATAGACCTGTCAAAAACTGTTATTCCTTTCGTTGATAGGCCTGTCTAAACGACTATTTTAACTGAATACAATTTTTCAATCTTTTAAAATAGTAGATCATTCACCAACGAACTGAAGTTAGGTTGGGTATTGAATCGATTGATTCTGAACGTGGTTTTTTTGTACTTTTAGTGAGAATGTGTGATTTTGAGGATAATAAAATCTGTGGATTCAAACAACGTACAGATGATAAGTTTGATTGGACGTGGTCAACTGGACGTACTTCAAGTTCTTTCACTGGTCCTGCTAGTGATCATACTTATGGCACTTCCAAGGGTTTGTAGCTTTATCTATTGAAGACGCCGGGTCGTTTCTAATAAGTCTTTTAAATTAAGTAAGATCTTTAGTAAAATTTAGCGCTGTCCATGGATTTTACTCACCAATGTGATTATTCTAACATATCTTCAGGTACCCCTACCCCTTACAATATATGAATTCTTTGTTTTAGGTCATTACATTTATACTGAAGCAAGCAGTCCAAGGAGATCAGGAGATAATGCAAAGATAGAATCTGTACCACTAATTGCTACCAGTGGTCAATGTCTTTCATTCTGGATCCACATGTATGGTAGTAACATGGGAATTCTGAAGCTTTGGCAAAATGATCTTCTTACAAAGAAATCTAAAATTATCTGGACACAGTCAGGAAACCATCCTAACAGATGGATACCCATCTTTCAAACTCTGAAGAGCAACAATAATTTCACAATAATGTTTGAGGGGCAGATTGCTGGCTACAGGAGTGATATGGCAATTGATGATTTAAAACTAAATGAAGGAGGTTGTCCATCAGCAGGTTTGTTCAGTAGCTCTCTGATACTTTAATACAGCTTGTCAAAAATAAAACATTAATAGCATACAACAGGCTAACATATAATATGAGTGCAAAAACACAGATAGAGCTTGGTCGATACACCATTTTCATGTTTTTAATGGCGAATCTAAACAAAATCTTAAATCCTTATTCTTAGTAATTGAAATTATATCTGTATACATTTTAAAGAATTACAATATATATGATAAGCATTATTCAATTTGGTTTCTTATCACTTTCTGTTAAAAGGAATTATTTCTAAATCTATTTATCATATTATTTCTTTCTTTTAAAAGGAAATTGTGATTTTGAGAATGGATTATGTGGTTGGAGCAATCCTTCCGGATCTGCTGATAAATTTGACTGGATAATTGGTAGAGGACAAACCGGAAGCCAATTTACTGGACCAACGTTTGATCATACACAGCAATCAGGGCTAGGTAATAATTATGGCTATTTTATAACGTCTCCCGTATCAACACTCAAGTTGTTGTTCTCACCCCATTTGCTAAGCCGATATAAAAAAATGTCTCACTTGGCAGCTTATTTTTGTTTTATCTTTTTCAAGCATTGAAAGACGCAAAATTCGACTTGTCTCTTTTGCCGCTAAAATCATTGTTCTATACAGAATTCAACAGTGTTGTCAAATATCGATAAAATCTGCCCGTTGGGTGGGCGTGATAATGAGCTGGAAACTTTTATCTATTTCATTCATACGCTAATGCTTTGTCCTTTTCTTGCAGGACACTATATGTTTATTGAAGCTAGTCGTCCACAGAAAAAGGGAGACTTTGCCTATCTTGAAAGTCCTTATATGAACGGAAAGACAGTGGGATGCTTCACCTTCTGGTATCATATGTTGGGAGATGGCATTGGTAGCCTGCAAGTTTACACTGTAGTTGGCTCACAAGTTAACTTTGTATGGCAGATAACTGGCAACCAAAAAGATCAGTGGAACTTTGGAAAAATTCCATTGAAACTTACAAGCATGTTTAAGGTGAGAACAAGACGTAACCCAAGATTATGAGTCATTTAAACCTGTAGTTTTCTTTTCGTATCAGCAATTAATTTCATTAAGAATATTCTAGAAATTCTGACGGTATTCAGATTATAAATATGTAATTTTACTTGGTCAAATGGAAACATGTTCCATGGTGCTGCACGGATTATGGATTTCGTCTGTATAAGTTCCTGTTGATTCTAAATAACATTAGAATGAGACTGATCGCTGGACAATAGGGTTGCTAACATTGAAAAGCAATATTGATTTCCATATATCATATGTACTTCCAGATCAGAATAAGTGGAACCGTTGGAACAAACTATAAAGGAGATATAGCCGTTGATGATTTTGTTATTCAAGCTGATGTCTGTAACTGTGAGTTGAACTTCCTTTCTTGAATGGATATAAACTAACAAACACCTAATGATTATGCTTTGGATGACCCTAATATTCCAATCAACTGATATGTCACTGCTTTCAAGTTCAGATTCCTAACTTTCAGTTCTTGTAATAATTGAGTTTGAGTCGTATAAACGACACGCTTTCTTTACCATGATTTTGGTTTTCAGTACAACCGTCTTCCGCCGATCCCAAGACTCAGACAACGACATCCACCATGCCTACTTCTACAGTTTCACCTTCTCCGACACCAGGTACGAAATCTAATTAACAATACTGAATTAGAGCCCTTGTTCAATTATTTATGTGTTTGATGCCACCAGAATGCTTGCTCAACGATGTTCACACACGTATCTTTTGGATGGTCCATATAGCTTTGTAATGTTTATATGGTGTAATGTTTTACAAATTTGGGATTTTATAGTAATTTGGACGATATTTCATATCAAATCAATTTGGGGTAAGGCTGCAAAAGACATCATTAGCTTAAATTCCAACATTAATTCGAAGAATATCACATTGTTCAGTTTGAATAATATATCTCATTTTAGTGGCCACCGTATATGACTGTAACTTTGAACAAGGTTTTTGTAAATGGAGTCAAGATAAAGATGATGTTTTTGATTGGACAAGAACTCAAGGTGGTGGAAGGACTATGGGACCTATCACAATAGATCACACAACAGGCACAAGTAAGAGTTTTTACATTCGATCGTACAGAACCTGTCGTTCATAACTGTGTGCAACAAATTCCTACTAATCACCACCCTTTAATAAGCAGTCATTTTGAGCATTACCTTCACTGCATGCTTAATACAAATTACCAAATTATATTGGTTCATGGTCATACGTTAGAGACCATTTCCAAATTTGCTAAAATTTAACAATCAAATCCTAATATCAAATGATAATCCAATCCCTGTGCTGTGTGACTAGGAATCGTTTTGGGTATTTGACATAGACGAAGGTTCACCCATTGCTACTTCCTTGATGCCCGTCTTATTCTCCCGTGGTTGTGTAATAAGTCTGTTGTTGTAGGTAAAGGATGGTATGCGTACATTGAGACATACAAGAAACATTATAACGACACGGCAAGATTAGTTAGTGCCAGTATTAACGACGCCAGCCCAAGATGTTTGTCATTCTGGTTTAACATGTATGGTGCTCAGATCAATGCTTTAAATGTGTACTACCAATCTGGTGGGGGAGCGAGAACTATTCTCTGGACTCGTCGGGGAAGTCACGGAAACACTTGGTATGCAGCTAGAATGACTATCCAACCACCAACACCATATAATGTAAGTATTGCTCCCCAATTTTCTCTTGATCTTAGGTTTGATGAGGAGTGTTTAATCATTTTACTGGTTTTTATGGTAGAATCCCTCTAAAATATGTTCACTGTTTATTTAGTTAGATTGAATGAAGAACTGTAGAAGGGTTCAATCAGTTGCCAAAGAACTATATAAATAAACCGCAATTCTCTACTGCAATGCCATAATCCTCTGCTAAATTTGTTAATCCTTAACCCCTTGTGGCTATTCTGCAAAATGGATTTCCTTCCAGCCAAGTAATCTCACCAATCATGTAATAACCTTGTGTAGTACAACGATTTAGCAGCATCTGACATTATTATTACAGGTTGTATTTGAGGGTGTGACTGGAAGAGGATATAGAGGAGATATAGCTATAGATGATCTTAGAATATCAACTGGTGCTTGTCCAGGGTCTGGTAAGTTTATTCCCTTAATCAATTGTTACTGCCTTATGGTTTTGTATTGCAACTTAAACTCAAAAAGTCTTTCACGGTAGACACAAGAATATAATTTTGGACTGATATATTATAAAAGGAGAGTGTCTTGGTGCACCTGAAACAACTCTCCGATAGGTTTAATCATCTTTAGAATTTTTAAGATAACTGAAATGGTCATGAGCCAAGATAGAGTTACTCATAATTAGCCAATTTTATCATCTATGCTTAGATGTTTAATCTCTTTGTGATGACTCGTAATTTTGTTTTGTTAGTATCGTACAAAAGGATGTGTAAATTTGAAGATAAGAATATATGTGGATACACTCAGAACTCTGATGATGATTATGATTGGACATGGAAAAGAGGGCGAACCACCAGCTCCGGAACTGGACCTTCCACTGATCATACTTATCGTACTCCTTATGGTCATTATATGTATGTTGAAAGTTCTGGAAGACAGGTTAATGATTCAGCTCGAATAACCAGCCCTGAATACCAAAACCCTGATGGTATGTTTGTTTTAGTATATGTGTAAGAGTTTTAAAGTAGCCTTGGTATTCTTCATATATGTTATTATATCTATGATAATGCTTACAAATTTATAATTATATATAAAAATTGTTAAATCAGTTTTTTCGCCATCTTCAACGGACTTTTTACTTGCTCTTCTTGATAACCAACCAAATCCATTAACAGTGGCCTTTTTTTCTTTTACCTTGACTTTGCAATTTTTTGGTATTTCCTTTTTGTCGGTTACTTTGTATTTACTTATATATCAATTATTTTTTTTTATTACAGGATCTGAACTATGTATGACCTTCTTCTATCATATGTACGGTAAATCAATTGGTACTTTAAATGTGTATGTAAAAGACCGAACACAATCGACCGCATCTTTGGCACCGGTATGGAGTCGAGCCTATAATCTGGGAAACGTGTGGCAAGAAGGAAATGTCAACATCTACCAATCATCTGATTTCCATGTACGTTCTTCTACATTTTCTTTTACATTTTATTAAGATGTTCTGTTCTATGTTGACAGTGGAACATGGTGCGCAGTTTATGTTCCTGCCAGACCGTCAACACAAATTTTTAATGATTCTTTTTGCAAATCATTTATTATCATTCATGTTGTTTGTTTTCTCAATGTAAGAGATATCCGATAATGAAAAGAAACACTGCAACATATAATTAGTTGTTCCAGAAAACAATGAGTATAAGGATTTTAATAATTATTTATAAGTATGCATGTACTTATTCATATTTGGTAGGTTGTGTTCGAGGGTATTAGAGGAACGAGCTATACTGGAGATATTGCCATTGACGATGTGTCTTTCAAAGCTGGAGAGTGTCAAAAACAAGGTAACTAACCGCTACATTCTTAATACTGTTTGACAAAAAAATATACATATTCTCTTCATTGCAAAGCGAGAACCTTGAGTGCTGTAAGGTAACTGTAAGTAATGTATACAGAAGTAGAGTGGAAATATCTCAAATCAAGATCGCACGGCTTGTTATGTCTGAAACTTTGAAACTCCGAGTAACTGCATAATTCAGGTTCTTGTTCAATGATTGTATACAGGTTACTGCTCCTTTGAGAATGATTGGTGTGGATGGCGTAATTTAAGACCGGGAGATAACTTTGATTGGTTGAGAGGTCGAGGTCGAACATCATCCATCAACACTGGACCATCGACTGACCACACCACGTCCAAAGACACTGGCTACTATCTGTACATTGAATCAAGTCGACCAAGAAAACCATTAGACTTTGCACGATTCCTATCACCGGTATTCAAAGCTGCGAAGACGGATGTGTGTTTCTCCTTCTGGTCTCATATGTATGGATCTGATATTGGAACTCTGAAAGTCTCAGTTTTAACCAACACGTCCGCTGATACCACCACGACAGAAGCTACTATTTGGACTTTATCTGGAGAAACTGGAGATCAATGGTTTTCAGCTCAAGCTCCAATTCCTGCCAAATTTACACAGAATCCATTTATGGTAGGTGTGACTGTTACCTAACTGGATCACTTTAATTTACGATGTAAAGATACTCCTAAACCAATTCCGGTCCTGAATTAATTTGACCACGACCATGTTGATATTCATCTCAATTACTCTCATTAACTCACATTGACTTTTGATCGCCTCTTATTACCATTGTTGCTTCTCTCAGTTTTGTTACAATCCAATTTATTTATGATAAGTGTATGAACTGTATCTGATCTTTACTGAATTCCTCAAATCTATATTCCAGATTGCAATAGATGGTATCGAAGGTACAGGTTATCAAGGAGATATAGCTCTGGATGATTTTGCTGTTGCCTACACCTCCTGTAGCATAGTTCCTAGTTATGCTGATCCTACATCTGCTGGTACAGTGTTTTTTACAAATACATAACCTTGCTATATATTGACTCCAAGAAGATTCTACAAACACCTCATTGCTATAATTCTGAAACCTGCTTTGTCCCATTCGGATCACCAAGATCTTAGAATAATGAGCAATTCCTATCTCCCGGTCCACATCTATTTAAAATATATATTCGGGTTTGGTTGAATTTGAACAACTAATTTCTATTTCCAGGAACCGGAAATTCAGATTGTGCGTTTGATGATCAAACTATTTGTGATTGGACACAAAGTAAATCTGATAAATTTGATTGGACGATTAATAATGCTACTACTGAATCACGTGGTACTGGACCATCAGCAGATCACTCCGGAATGGGTAAGTACATCACGGACCTCCCTAGAATTCAGTCTTGCTGCATACTACTTGTATTAATATCTTTATATTATATACCTGAAGTTGATACATAGGAGAAGAACGATATCTAAATAAATACTGAATTCTCGTGAGATGCATACGACAGTAGTTACACAATATGTTCAGTTGGAAGAGGTGGGGTGGTGATCAAAACTCTGTTTTACCTGAAGGGAATGTCGACCTTAAATCACCGTATTATCTCAAAGACAGAAAATCGATTTGGCACAACAAAAGTGTCCATTCATTTTTTTTTTCTATAGGGTGAATTAATCTAAATTATTTCTCTCTTTCATTTATAGGATTTTATTTGTATTTGGAAGCTTCTAATCCTAGGAAATTGAACGATACAGCATTGTTGGTTTCTCCGAAGATCTCTCCCAGCACGACCAGCTACCAATGTTTTACTTTGTGGTACCATATGTATGGTCCTCATATTGGGACTCTGAATGTGTACACGACAATAAATGGTCAAAAGACTCTGAGTTGGACACGATCTGGTACTCAGGGTAACCAGTGGCAACAGCTGCAACTCTCTATCAACAGCTCAACCAACTATCAGGTTTGTTTCAATTATGAAAGTTTCCTTAGACTGTCTAATTCGTGGATTATATAAGACAGGATAGTCTTCTGATAAGATAGGTATATACTGGACATTGAAGAGGGGGGGGGGGGGGCGGGCGGGGGAAAGGGGGGGAACAAAAAAGGGGGGGGGGGGGGGGGGGGGGTGGTTCACAGCAGCAATTACGTCTTCAAGGCACAGTGACTCCTCCTAAACTCGCTGTTAACACCAGATGCTTCCAGCGATTATTTATTTCTGTTTATCCCACAGGTTTCTATAGAAGGAGTGGTTGGTAAAGGATGGTTAGGAGATATAGCTATTGATGATATACATATTGATAGCGACCAATGTCCTAAATCCAGTAAGTTATATTTTAACTGACTTGCATCGGTTCAATTACTTTTCATGCTAAATAGAAAATACTGGCGAATACTGTTGTGTTCTGAATACTGTTGTTACAAGAAATTGTGAATTTCATATTGCAAAATCTTGGTCTCCACTATCACTGCAATGGAGTCAATCAATGATCTCTGTAAATATTAATTATTTATATGATGCTGTGATGTAAATATTACAGAAACCTGTGACTTCGAGACCGATTTATGTGGATACACTCAAGACACCAATGATCAGTTTGATTGGACAAGAAATATCAGATCCACCCTTAGTTATGCTACTGGACCAAACGGTGATCACACAGAAGGTGTTAAATCAGGTATGTCTAGTCACATTATGCTCATTGCCTTAGATCAGGCCTGTGCAACCTTTCCGCAACAGCGGGCCACATTTGGGGGATGCGAGTAGGCCTCAATGAATCATGGAATTAACAATGAGAAACATGCAATTTTTTCAAGTCATTTATTCAATAACGTATTTCAATGTGAATTGCAAATAACAGACATATTTGACGTAAAATCACTGTTTCACACGAGGTCGGACCTCGTTAACGATTTGATTTGTTAGATTCATTTTGACGTCATACTTTGATATAACAGCGCGGATATGACGGGTTTCGAAATCACCGCGGGCGTATGTTGCACAGGCTTTTCAGAGAGAGAAAGGATGATCCCCTTGACAAACTCAAATGTAGAGTGTCATTAATGTTCCAAGGAGAGACTACGTGCTTTATTTTAGACCCAGTATATTAATTATTGAGTTGAGATATGTTTTGAGGATATGACTTCAATTATGCTACTTTGGCATTAAATTTTGTTTTTATGAGGATATGCTTGACCACTTTTCACTTTTTTGTATTTGTTTATTTCCGAGCACTTCACTGGTTGTGTTTTTTTTTCAGGTCACTATATGTACACTGAAGCATCACGACCTCGCAAATTTGGTGATATTGCCAGACTCATTTCACCAACGTACTCACAAACCGGCACAGAATGTCTGCGGTTTTATTATAATATGTATGGAACCACCATGGGTAAATTGAATGTGTATCTCAGATCTAATGGACAAAACGGTCAACCTGTGTGGAAGCTGTCTGGAAATCAAGGTCGTGCCTGGTTGAAAGCTCAAGTCACTCTGTCAGCTGTGGCGTCGAAATATCAGGTAAGGGAAGACCTATAGTCCCGAAAGTGTTATGACGATCCTTTTCCAAAATTCAGTTGACTACTTGCTAATGTTATCGGGCAACCGTTTGAAAAATGTTTCACTGAAGATATTTTCTCACTTTTGTCACTTTTTAACAGGTGAATTTTTATAGGAGAACGCTAGCGAACTAAAAATTAAATAGAATGCATACACATACAATACAACATGGCAGGTCCAGAGACAAGCATAAAGCTTATACATATTCTGTTTCGAATCTCATCATAAGCAAAATAATATACAATGTCTAATAATGTGCTATGCATACAAGAAGTATAGGCTGTAAATTGGTTCAAATTAAACTTGATATCGGATAGGTGATTTTGGTAAGGGCTTTATGTCTAAAAGAATTAAAGTAATTATCTCCTGCTTCAGGTTGTGTTCGAAGGACAGATTGGATCCAGCTACTATAGTGATATGGCTATTGATGACATCACTATTTTACCAGACGCATGTCCAAAACCCGCTTCCTGTACTTTTGAAAATGATATATGTGACTACACCAACGTTAAAGGCGACGATTTTGATTGGACAAGAGGAAAGGGGGCTACAAACAGTCACTTTACTGGTCCTCAAGTTGATCATACTACAAATTCAGTATTCGGTAAGAAACGATAAACTTCAAAATGATTAGGTTTTTGTGGGGTAATTTAAATTCTTATGTTTTAAAGTGCTTTCGTCCCAATCAACTGGATTTAACTCATTCCATTCGTAACCATTGTTTGCTAATCTCATTTAGATGTGTTATTTGTTTTGCAAAATATAAACTTCCACTAATAGTTGCCTATTGGTGCATAGAAATATCATTAAATCAGGCAAAGTACAATAGAATCTGAATTTTTACATTATATTTGGCAGGTTATTACATGTTTATTGAAGCCAGTAACCCCATCCAGACAGGTAATAAAGCATGGCTGATGTCAGACCCTATACCTGCAACTCAGGCTTCTTGTGTTAGATTCTGGTACAACATGTACGGTAGTGGTAAGTATAGTCTATTGATTTAATGTGAAATCATAAAATAAAGCGTCAGTAATAAATGACTTAATGTGCACATTTGCTTCTGTAAAATAATTTAATCATATCTACCCCAAGGGTAAATACAAAGATCAACATTTTGGGTAAGGTCCCTTTGATAGTAAAATGAAAATAAGGGAATTACTCTCAAAATGAATATTAATTGTAGGAGGTATTGTGGTCGGATAAGGTGATATTCTTGTATCTTCTGTACCACTGTATTTTTTATCATATGTGTTAGGATAATCGATATATTTATTACAGGCATCGGAAGTTTGAATGTGTATACAGTTATACCATCAATGCAACCACAGAGAGTCTTCAATGTATCTGGTAATAAAGGTAATTTATGGCTCATGGCTTCAATAGATGTCTCAAGCCCTAAGACATTCCAGTTAAGATTTGAGGGAGTGAAAGGGAAAGATTACAGAAGTGATATTGGTATTGATGATATTAGTGTCAATGTTGGAACTTGTGCCAGTATACCAGTTACTCTAACACCACCTGTCACAACTCCTCAACCAACAGCAGGTAAGCAATACAAATACTATGATAAGATTACAAAAAACGTAGACTCTTTAGAAGAAACTTGAAGTAGACTTGCCCAGTCGCTGAGTGGCTCAAGTGCTCCTGAAGGGTTGTAATATTCGGCAAAGAAAACATGCGAGCTTGAAGAATCATTCTTTGTCAGTCCAACCATATATTGCCATTTTGATAATTTAAGGTAATCCTTTTTCTATTGCTATCAAGCTTCACTGATAAACGATGATAATCGAAAGGTGATTTTTTTCAGGCTTTTTAAATCATTCATAAGTGATTAAGTATTTAATTAGTATCACTTTCATTGCAGCAACATTGATAGGATGTGATTTTGAGAAAAACAATCTGTGCACATTTACCCAGGATACAACAGATGATTTTGATTGGAGCCTTAACAAGGGACAAACCGGCAGTTCAGGAACTGGTCCTCCATTTGATCATACTCAACAGAATAACAAAGGTTGGTTCAATACATCACTGATGCGCTTCATTTCGCCTCAACAATATTGGATGGCTTTTGAATCAATTTAGACATAATCATTTTCAATCAAGGAGATAACCGGCATCTGTCTAAATCACTGATATGAAAGGAGGGCATCAGTCATCCCGGATAGGTTTTCTGCTGTTGTACTTTCGCAGTTATTTATGTTGTTCGTTTAAATGATAAAGTGGAATTCACTAACGAATCGGATTTGTCACATACTTCGCCTGATTTGTTTACAAGAAAATTCCGTCTCTTAATCGATCAAAAAATTTAAAACGTTTTGTCTCTTTGAAGGTCATTACATCTATATTGAAACTTCTGGCCAGAAAACTTCAGCTGCAGCCAGAATTATCAGCCCAACGCTCAATACACAATCCTCTACTTGTGTTACGTTTTGGTACCATATGCTTGGACGCCATGTCAACTCATTAAAGATGTACATCAAAAAGGGAACCACTCTAGGACTACCAGAGTGGGTGAAGACTGGTGATCAAGGTAACAAATGGGTGTATGCTACTGTTGAAATTGGTCCACAAAGTGGAACACAGGTGAGTATTGTAAGCATTCTAATCTGAAGGTTTCTAATCACGAGGAAGTCCGAACGCACTATGTCTGATAAACCATTCAAAACGACGACGTTTCTGGGTGTGGTATGTGTGACATGCATATTACAAATAATCTGCAACTGATATGTCGTTTCAGATGGTCTTAGAAGCTACCAAAGGAACTGGTTACCAAGGCGATATAGCTGTTGATGATATCAAGATATTAAATGGACCATGCCCTGCACCTGGTTGGTTTTCGTTTTGTTGTGATTATCCATTCTTAAATGCTAAATAATGGCGAGAGGTCTTTCTTAATCCTTTTCTTCTGTCGCCTTCTAACGTCAATTGTGCAAATATCAACGCTTAGAAATGGTTTGAGTTAATTAAAGGTCCCTTGGTGTTGGAATGCTATGTGTTTAAGACAGCTATTTACGTCTTATTATTCTTTTCAGCTTTCTGTGATTTTGAAGATACCAACTTATGTGGATATAGACAGGATCAAAATGATGATTTTGATTGGACAAGACAATCACAAGGAACATCATCTAGAGGAACGGGGCCCACCAATGATCATACTTATGGTACAAGAATTGGTCAGTATTTCATAGTATTTCATTGATCATTGATAAAAAGGTTTTTGCAACCCGCAAAGTATGTGGCTGTCAAATTATTATGCCGACTGTTAATCGTAGATATGTCTTAAGCATTTCTTTGATAATCAATTTTAGCGTGATTAGAACATGATAGCTTGCTGTGTATACAGCGTCATGGAATTTTCTCTAAGATTTTTGTCATCCACATTTTGAAGCTTAATGTAATGAGTGCGTCTAGCTTCTTTTTTTATTAAACAACCCATCCATCTTCAGGTCACTACATGTACATAGAAGTAAGTGGAAAAACACTAAGTGGTGCTATTGCTAGAATCTTCAGTAAAGACTATCCACCAACAAGTGGCAAATGCCTGTCATTCTGGTACCATATGTACGGAGGAGATATTGGAACGCTGAATGTGTATCTGGGAAAATCTAATAAGAAAGGAACACCAGTATGGAACCTGTTTGGCGACCAGGGTAATATGTGGAAACAAGGCACTGTAGAAGTCACAAGTCAAGAAACTTTCCAGGTATGCGTTGGTTTTATTTAGGACGCATAATTATTGTTATGTATAGTTTTAATAAATACTTTTAATTTATTGATGAGAGATTGTTGCATACGAAGGGAATACGTGTAAAGTCATCAGCAGAACTATTTTTGTGTTTTAAAGTGTGGTGGTAGATTGCTTGATCATTTACTTGTAATCTGAATGTCAAACTTACTTAGTAACAACATTTTATTAAAAGCAATCGACTGGATCATGGACACCTAACCAAAGGGAATAATGAAAAAAAAGACCACATCTAAGTTAATCTTAATATCAGAGTTTCACAATTTTTAGATAATTTTTGAAGCTATAACAAGTGGAGGATATCGTGGAGATATTGCTATCGATGATATCCAACTTAGCGATGGTACTTGTCTCTCTAAGGCTTCTTGTGATTTTGAAGATGATTTCTGTTCCTGGACTCAACTTGCCTCTGATCAGTATGATTGGATTAGAAACAGTGGTTCTACTCCATCACGAGGAACTGGTCCTTCAAAAGATCATACACTTGGTTCCCGTACAGGTATGTCTAAGCATGTTAGATCTGCAATGTGTACGGTCATACGCTTGCAGTTTGTTAAGGACAAGAGGAAAAGCATATTCACACTTTCTGACTGTACATGTGGAACGAATACTTCAAAGAAAATTCGTTGCTATAAGTATAATTTTAAGAGGTAATATTTATCTCTTGCTACCATTATTCTCCAATGTGTTATTTCCTATTTGGGGTTTCGCTTTTGGGTCGGATCGTTAGTACTTGATTTATTTATCTAAACTAGTTTGGGAATAACTTCTTATTGATATTATGACTTGATCGAAATCCACACTGCTTCCAGTTATATATCAATGCATATTTATTTATTTCAGGAGTGTATGCCTATATCGAAACTAGCAATAAAAAGTTAACCACAGTGGCTACTCTCCAATCTCAGACCATCCCATTAGATTCTGATAATGCCCCAGATTACTGCTTCACATTCTGGTATAATATGTATGGACAGAATATCGGAAGTTTAAACGTATCTGTGATCTTTGCTGGAAGTGGTTCAGATCAAACTCAGATATTTACTAGGACTGGTGATCAAGGAGGAGACAAATGGCTTCCTGGTATGGCCAGAATTGACGATCCCTTTGATGCTTACAATGTAAGTTCCTTTTTTCCCTCAGTTTTCGATAAATTGTACACTTTAAAATATAATGTTCGCGCGACTTAATGGCTAATTAATGGCCATAATAGAAAACGATCATCTCTGAAAACTTTAAAATGACTGTGTTTGTTTAATGTGGTTATCTTCAACGGTTCATCGCATCAAGATCGAGGAACACTTTGAACTAGAAACATGCGTATTATTATAGGACATCATAAGCTTTTCTTGGTTTTATAAGTTAGCTGCTATTTTGTAGATCCTGATATCAGCATCGACTGGAAATGGATTTCAAGGAGATATTGCTATTGATGATCTGAATCTAATACCCAAATCCTGTGATACCTGTATGTATTTTATCTATTATCGATCCAATCTGTAAAATTTATGACCATTTAGGCTCAAGGATGGATCAGAAAGAAATTCCATAATTCACCTTTACAATAATAATCATCATTCGAATCGTTTTTGAAGCATAGAAAAGCGTACAATTCCTTGCAATATATAATACATTTCCATCAAAATAAGCTAGCTAAAAGATTACAATTGGCGCAATAGTTGTTGTCTAAGGTCAGATAAACAGTTACATAATATGCTTTTCCCACTGATGTCAATTTTCTACTTTCTTTCAGTACCAAGGAATCAAAACTTTTCCTGTGGTGATGATGCCAATACAATTATTCCTATGTCCAAAGTTTGTGATTTTATCAGAGACTGTCCTAACATCTTGGATGAACTTAATTGTGGTTAGTAGTCTTAGAAGGAGAGAAATATAAATGTCAGTGCGATACCACTGCTTAGTAGGTTCAACTAGCGCCTATAAATGTGGGCAAATGAATACCAGAGGCGATAAAGGGTTTATGAATGGTTTAACGGTACTATAAAACCGGGAAGATTATTATCAATTAATGTGCGTAGTAACTATAGACTTTGGAGATTTCGTTCCCTCAAAATGTTCATTTAGATTAAACATTTATTCTTGTACCTCTTTTGACTTTTAAGATGTGTATCCCCTTCTTCAGGTGATTGTGATTTTGAAGCTGATACATGCGGGTGGAATGATGACAGTACAGGTAGCTTCCAGTGGTCTCGAGGATCCAATCAAACAGCTACCAGTAATACTGGTCCAGCATTTGATCACACCTTTAACAGTCTAAAAGGTAAGCTGTACACCCTTTCTTCTCGAAATATTCACATCCGTAATTTTCAATATGCTGTCTGGCATCTACTTCTGATTGGCAGACTGTTAAATAAAGCCATGAATATTTCTCGCATGTCGGGAACTGTGGCTATGGCGGGTTTTTATTATCTTGGACGCATCTGTTGCTCTCTGCTTGCTTAGTTGTCGCCTCTTGTACAAGGTTTCTTTATCTGGTTTATGTAACATTTCTTCAACCATATTTTTATCTACCTAGGATCTTACATGTATGTGGATGCAAGTTTAGGCAAACGTGGAAGTATTGCTGAAATTGTCTCACCAACATTAGGTGATTGTAGTTCAACCTGTCAGCTGAATTTCTGGTACCATATGTATGGTAGAGGTAAGTCTGCTGAAGAACGCAGTTCTTCTTAGTCAATATTTTGTGGAATCTTTGATATCGTACCATTTTCAAGTGTGCAAAATATAACATTTAATTTTCTCTCAACAAAAACATTTAATTGATGGCCGATTTTCCTGGTGGTGTGAAACTGACTCTACTAAATGTAAAGGTTTGGAGGAATAGGCTACCCAAACAGTTACATCCATGATCATATAATCACTTCCACATAAAAGCATGAGTAAATGCCAATCTAGTAATGTACCTTCATTAAAACAATGGAAATCGATTTATTTTATTGGATTAGTTATAAATCATAAAGTAGTCGGTTTATAGAGAATGCGATTTGAGGGGTTTCATTGTATTCAGAAGCCCAAGTTGGTGATTTATTGGGATCAATGAATCGAAAACACAAACACAAACTCAAACAAGAGATGGACTCTTGTCAAATAGAGTTAAAATAATCTTCTAGGAATTGGACATTTGACTGTTGTTCTACGGGAAGGATTTGAAGACACTATTCTATGGACTAAAATCGGTAACCAGGGCAACAAATGGAATCAAGTAGTCGTTGATATTGGCAGAGTCTCAAGATCATTTAAAGTAAGTAAACTTAATCCCAATTTTGATCATGCAACGAAGTATTACAAATCATGGCACTTAATTTGAAAATAATTCTTAATAGCTTTTCAAAATGAACCTGTAATACCTTGTTTCCGTTCTGTCACGAATCACTTTCTCTAAATGTGGGAAGCAGAAGCTGCTAACTTTAGTTGCTTCGTGTCTAAACCTACAAAACTTTTCCTTTTTCCAGATTATATTCCAAGCAACAAGAACTTACAGTGTATTGGGAGATATTGCTATCGATGATGTAGACTTTATCAACTGTAATTACTCACGTAAGTTCCGTCCTTTTCTTGTAAATTGTAAGTACCAATTGTAGCGCATTATGTGCATATATTAATCCATGATATATATCTGTATCATTTTAAAGATTAAAATGTCTATGCCAAGCTCTTCTACATATTAATACATAATTTTGAAACTGACAACTTTATGGCATGAATGCTGACAGTAGTAGTGGTGCTATTTACTATAAGTAAATTTTCGTCACCGATGCCTGTGTTGTTTTTTTCTGTGTAATACTATTTCTTCTGCATACAATATCATCTATATTTTACAGCTGTGAAGAAAACATGTTCAGGAAATGAATTCAGATGTAAACGAGGATCTTGTGTATCACAGAATCAAGTTTGTGATTTCGCTGATGACTGTGGAGATGGAAGTGACGAAATGAACTGTCGTAAGTTGTTCTTTTACTTTTTCTTTTTTTTAACTTAGATGTTTCAATTACTTGTTTGCATCGGGAATGTTTCCTTCGAACAATCAAAATTGTCATGATTGTCATTGACCATGTTATCTGGGTGACAAATATGTTTGAACTAATTTTCTGTTATCCATGGGCGCAAGTAAAATTTAATGTTAATCAATCAATCAATTTATCATGTTACTGCTTCAAATTTCAGTTATGATTTTTTGTTCCAGAAAACTACCAACCACGTTGTGATTTCGAAAGAAGTTTCTGTCAATGGAGTCAAGCTAAAGACGATGATTTTGACTGGATAAGAACTAAAGGTGAAACAGCTTCAAGAGGAACTGGCCCAACAAGAGATCACACAAAGGGAACAAAATCAGGTAAAGTATCTTTATTACAGTAAAAAAAATCCAGAAAATGGTTTCTTGTATCGAGAGTTAAATTCGAGTAACTGACTGATAAACCCTTGACAAATCAAGATACCTTCCAGCAGAATTAAGATTAGGTTTAGCTATCAAGATTTTGTGTTCCATGCAATCAGCACCTTTCATAACTTTTTTTCATCAATATTTTCAGGGCACTATATCTACATTGAAACCTCTAGGCCACAAAAACAGGGTCAGAAAGCTCGAATCTACAGTCCAACCTTCTCTAGAACTCTTCCTTCTCCACCTGGAGCACAAGTCTGTACTGTAAGTTATTATAGGTTTTTGCACACTCCATGTTGGTTTGTTTTCCTTTTGTTTTATCAGTTCTGGCACTTCTTTCGCTAAACGATTACAAGCGCATGTTAAAAATTTAGCTTGTCCATTGATGATAATTACGTTAATGCTAGTATGAATTTCTTACTTTTATGTCTCTATGTACATAATCCAACATAAGGGCGTTTATAAAGGGTTGGTTTTGTTAATTAAATTATATTTCTTTTAGTTGAGAATCTTCTACCATATGTTTGGACGTTCAACTGGAGCGTTGAATATTTACACGAGACAAACGCTTGGCAGTACCATGGCCCTGAAATGGTCTAAATCTGGTAACATTGGAGACTACTTTGAGAGACTTGATTTACAACTTTTGGAAACTGCAGATTTCCAGGTAAGATTAACATGGCACGTTAACACAAAAAAGCCTAACTATTTTCTTCTGTGATTGATAACTCGTTCTTTATTTTCCAAGCAGAAGTATATAACGAACATGACAGTTCTGAGATTCATCCACCACAAATAGCACCAAAATTCAATTGAGTTAATAATAATTTCAAAATGCAAAATATTTTTATTATATTGTTTTACTTGTTTTAGGTGGTAATTGAGGCCACTGTTGGGTCGAGTTATTTAGGTGATATAGCACTTGATGATATCTCATTTTCCTCTGGTTGTTCCGTCACAGCTAGTAAGTAACGGTTCATTTCCTGAAGACGATATTTTTATTTAGACCACAGAGGGAATAAAATTAAGAATAAGAACCGAAAGCCAATAAATATGAGGGATAATATGCACAATATTTTCTAATTAAGGTAACTAATACCACCAAATCCACCTTTTCCTGTGGATCTGTCACAATGTCTGAATAGAGTTGTGTTGAAGAAGAAGATGTATGTTGATATCACTGATACTAGTGTCATAACACTCCCAATATTCATCCGACATAAGCCCATTTGTGTGTTATTTCTCCCCTTATTGTCTTTCTTTCTTGGAGTTGATATTATTAGTCAATAGCTTTTCCCATCAATATATAATTTTCATGTGCTTTGCATTGTAGCAACCCTAGTCTCCGGATCACCTTTACCGGCAACCACCAGCAGCCCATGTAGTGTGTCACAGTTCCAATGTAATGATGGAAACTGTATCAGTCAACAGTTCGTATGCGATTTTACACCTACTTGTAATGATGGATCTGATGAACTGATGTGTGGTAAGATTTTCTCTCCTAGTCAGTTAAACAGTAAATACCGAGAATTGTCGCATAGAGTAGGTGTAGAAACAAAAAACTAAATCAACCAACTTAACGTTCACGGACCCCATGAGACACTGCTATACCGCTGTGTGCATCTTTAATATATCATGGTGCTAGAGAATTTTAATATTCCATAAGACCAATAACAAATCTTTCCTTAAGAGGTTCTGGCATTAAAAACCACCATCAGGTTTAAATTTATAGAATTTTCAATTGTGCAGGTACTTGTGATTTTGAAAGAGATTTATGTGGATGGACTGATATGAGTACTGGTAAATACAGGTTTGATCTTGGTTCGGGAGCTTCAACATCACAAGCAACTTATCACGGTCCTGCTACAGATCATACTACTAACACCAATAAAGGTACTTTTCTATGTCTAATTAAAGTTAATTATGAATTCCACTATCTGGAAAAGCTAATCTATAATTCATAAGAAATGCCATTAATTTTTGTTAACGGTTTTGTGACTCTTTTTGTATTTTTTCAGGACGATATATATATCAGAAATCAGGTAGTGGTGTATTTAAAACAAGAGCCAAGTTAGGATCGCCAGTATTTGGTCAGATAGGTCCAGCATGCCAGATGAAATTCTCGTATCATTTGCGTGGATCAGGGGCAGGTTAGTAAAAGTTTGAATACATAAAGTAAATGACAAGTCTAGCTACGATATTTAAAGAATAAACAAAGAATCAATAAACCTCAACAATTATAAATCATTTGATCATATTTTGTCCTCTTATAGGCAATCTAAGAGTGTTGGTTCAGAACAAGATCAATCAAAGGGATGTTACTACCTTATTTGGTATTACTGGTGACCAAGGTAACACATGGCATACAATTACAGTTGATGTTGGATTCCATAATGCAGGATACCAGGTAAGATTCTCTAAATACATGAACATGTATTCAAATTTACGTTTACCGCTGACTAAAGATTTAGTCAAATCCACTTCCACAAGAAGTATAGCCTTCTTTAATTTATTGCTTTTTCGTTTGCCGTTATTTGTCAGTATTGAAAAGCATTTGTTCAATGCTGAAATCAAAAATCAATTCCTTTAAACCATTCAAAATAATCCACATTTTTCAGGTTATATTTGATTCTATGCCTTCTCCATCATTTGGTTCCTACGACGTAGCTATTGATGATGTAGCCTTCATTGGTTGTTCTGCATCACAGGTTTACAATGGCAGTAAGTATCTCTCTGAGTTTCTTTCAACTAAACTCGGGTAAAGAATTAAGGAGGACGTAAAATAATACCCCGTGTAATTTTATTTTGTGCATCTATGGCCTAATCAAGATGTGTAGATTTTGGCTATGTTTTTGCATTTGCATGGCAATAGCTGATAGAAACTGACTTCAGCTTCAATTGAGAATTTGTTCGAATTTTTCAGGGGGAGGGGCGAATATATTGCCAGGGCCTGGTTTGATACCTTGATGTTGGATTGCAAATTTAAATGAAACTTCTACGAAAATATCGTATTTTAGGTCTGAATTGTGATTTCGAAAAGGGCTTCTGTGGATACCATCAAGACACTCAAGATGATTTTGATTGGACACGAACTAATACGTCATCACCAACTCATGGTACTGGACCAGATCGAGATCATACCTCTGGAAAAGGATATTACGTGTACATTGAAACATCAGCACCACTACGAAATGGACAGGACGCAGTTTTAGAAACTAGTTACCAGAATCCTACTAAAGGTAAGATAAAAAATCTGATCAATTTTTGCTTCATGGTAGACACTTTTGAATAACCGATGATGAAGACCTTGAGTCTCACTGGTTAACTTGGTTTCATCTGTTGAAGAGTAAGCTATCAATTGATCTCTCAATTCCATTCCGATGTACGTACTTAAAGAAGTTTCTTTACGTCTTTCAGGAATGTGTCTTCATTTCTGGTACCATATGTTCGGAGCTCATGTCAATACACTCAACATCTACATGCAACAATTTGGAAATTCCACCAAGAGTTTGATATGGACAAGAACAAGGAATAGAGGTAATCAGTGGTTTTCAGACCAGGTCACTCTAATCAGTGATACTAAATATAAGGTAGGTAACGCTTAACTTAGTTTGCTAAATTCATAAAATGATGTATGATGAATCATATCCTGATGATGTGATGAATGCATAGGGAAAGCTTTTGTTAAGTATCCTATTCAGACATTTCTTCAAATGTTGACGATTCAGTAACATCCTCATTTTTAATATTTCATAGCCGCCTGTCCTCTTGTTAACTGTTTTCATTATATATAGGTAATGATTGAAGGTATAGTTGGAGTCAGCTGGCAAGGTGATATAGCTCTAGATGATTTTACTCTTACTACTGGAGTCTGCATGCCATCTAGTAAGTATGCCATCACGTATTTTGTTGAACTCTTTACTGAACCACATCTATGAACACTCTGCAATTGTGTTTGTGAATATGTATGTATAATGTAATACCAATGACCTCAGAATACTAGAAGATGAGATGCTTGACAATGACAATGAGCTATGGAGAAACTCTATCTGAAATCAATTGCTTGATAATTGTAACCTTTGTGAAAGCCAAACGGAGTTGATGTTGAAGGCTATGTTGGGGTCATATACCACAACCTCAATTGCTGTTTTATTTGTATGTCCATCTCTAACTTGTAGCTTGTCCAGACCACTTTCTTATCATTTTGAATGTTTCTAGAATCCTGTGATTTTGAGACTGATATGTGTAGTTTTGATGATGATGGATCTAATGGATATCAATGGGTTAGACATCGTAATGGATCATCTGTTGGAAATGGACCAGTCGTAGATCATACTACTGGAAACTCTGATGGTATGTTGTTCCTTTCTTCGATTTGATGAACTATCTTATGTGAATAAGTATGGTTACAATGGACTAATAATAATCACTTCTGTTAGTTTCTAAATTTGTCAGCGCCAAAGGTATCTATATTCTTATTTTGGAGATGAACTCAATCTTGCATGAACAAGGATGCATGATGCTCTCAATAGGTTCACTATCAGCAGCAAGTCCTTTGGCAAAACATTTTCATTGCGCGCTGCACACCCTTGATATGACTATTAAAGTGTAAAACAGTTGAATGTAAACCGCTTATTAATTTCTGATGATGCTCCTATAGATGCAATGGAACTCTTCTAGGTTACTATTTATACACTGTGCAAACATCCACCTCTCAAGGAAATACCGCAAGAATAGCCAGTCAGACGTTCCAAGGAATGCCACAGAAAGAGTGTCTTAGATTCTGGTACCACATGCAAGGATCTCAGACAGCTGTTCTCAATGTATATGTGAAGACTGGTAACATGTTGAACTCCCCGGTATGGTCTATCACTGGTGATTCTGGAGACATGTGGATGGCTGGATATGTTACTATACAGACCTCCGGAGTATATCAGGTAATTGAAAGTCAAGTATCACCAAGTGATACGATTGAAAAACATCTTCTACTGGTATCTAACATCTAACATCTCTTGTGTCCTGATACAAATTATGTTGTATAATTTTATTTCCCACAGTCATTACTACTAATAATAATAATATCTTTACTACACAAGGGTAGAAAAAATTAGGCTATACAATATCGTTGAGCATCAAGATAAGATCCTGAGTACCCACCGATAGGCGTGTCTAGAAGGTAACCTTCGATTATCAAACTATGGACTTCTTCTTATTTATACTTTTCGATGGTCATCACACCCATGCAGAAAAACAGTCAAAATCAAAGCATAAATTTTGTATTCATTGATCTTCTATTGGTAGATTGCATTCGAGAGTCTGAAAGGACAAACCAACAGTGATATCTCAATAGATGATTTCTCCATCACACCAGGCCCATGTCCTGCCGTGGCAAATTGTAACTTCGAATATGATATGTGCGGATTTATCAATGGACAGACAAAGAGCGACGTGTTCGACTGGCAAAGATCTGCTGGCGGTACACTTACCTATGGTACAGGACCCAGCGTGGACCACACAACTGGAACTGATCAAGGTAAGCCCAAATACACTGTTCACCCATACGGATAACCTTGTGCATTTTTTTAACTGATTTTATCAGCTCGACTGCGGCCATAGCACAATCCAAGTTGTGAACAACAAAAGTTCTTAATTTTGGCCATCGTCTCAAAGGTGAGGTATCTGCCATATTTACTTACACTCTTGTCGAAATTCAATTAAGGTAACGTTTTGTATGTATGCTTCCAACGTCTTGTTTTCAACCTTTTCAAGATTACTACTTTCTTTCCCAGGTTTCTATGTATATGCCGAAGCATCGGGAAGAAATCCAAAAGAAAGAGCTTGGTTATTCAGTCCTTATCTCAAACCAACTACCAAATCTTGTATCTCATTCTGGTACTTCATGTATGGCAGAGGTTTGTAAATTTGTGATTTTGCGATTTGTTCAACAAAATATATTGAAAAGACAACGTTTGTCAGTCCGCATTTAGTTACCTTACGTATTGGTGATGATTTTACGCAGTGATGCCTCATTACAAACTTTTGTATGACGCTAAGAGCAACTGAACCTACTATGAGTTTAAAAGTCTAAACCATGATCAATAAGAAAGATTGAAACTTGATTATCAAAAATGGTCTTTTTATTGTAGATGTGGGAGCATTACGATTGTACATGCCCATGCCTAAAAAGACGATATTACTATGGAATAAGACGGGTGATCAAGGTAACCAATGGTTGTATACACAAGTACAAGTTACCAGTCGAACTGGATTCCAGGTTCGTATTGTTCATTTATAGTTAAAGTTTAACGGATACGTGTACTTTGTGCGAGGTAACCCCTGATCCACATTGTCCAGATGTCAATTTAACTTTGATGAGTATACTGTTTATATCCTCCAGATATCATATTGCAATCATTCAGCGTTAGAAGAATAAATGATAGATAGTTGTTGAATATTTTAATTGGAAAAATCCTTCTCCTTTATTTTAGTTTACTTTTGATGCTGAGATAGGAAATGGCTTCCATGGTGATATAGCTATTGATGATATTAGTTACTATAGTGGAGTTTGTATGCAGCCAACAACGTCTACGGTTATACCAACTCAAAATACTGTTACGTATGGTACGTTGTACATATTGAATACATGGCCGTGCCCATTTCAAAGAGAACACTTGTCCGTCATATTGTACAGCTTAAATGCGTAACTCGTTGATATTAACTCGTTGCTCAATCCGTAATATTCCAAATTTCATGGAGAAAATTGTCCATTCCATTAATTGCACGACATGCATCCACAGTAATCATATGTGCAATGCCGAGTCAAATACATTGCAATACTACCACAGCTATACTGTGGGCCTATATAAACGTATCAACTTCCCTTTATTGTTCAGCTACCTATGGGCTTTGGTGATAATATTTTTAGGACCAACCAATGTGGATTGTACATTTGACAAGAACACGATATGCAGCTGGACACAAGATAGTTCTGATAAGTTTGATTGGACACTGATGAATAATGCTACTGCTTCATTTTCTACTGGTCCTGCAGCTGATCATACTCAACAGAACAACAAAGGTAAGTTCATAAATTAGAAGATCTGTACAAACTTGGTAAGCATAAGCTTAGGAATCGGAGTTCCCAAAATTACAAAATTCTTAAAAAATAAAGACTTTTATTGAAACTAAATTAAGCAGTAAATTAGATAATGAAATAATTGGTTCTGATTGTTTCTATAGGTTACTACATCTATACCGAAGCATCCAATAAGAAGACCAATGATACAGCCAGAATTCTTTCTCCTGATATAAATGTGGATACGGTTGGTAAATGCCTGATGTTCTGGTACCACATGTATGGATCCAGGGTTGGGAAACTAAACGTATACGGCAAGCAAGGTAATTTCGATTTCATCAATAACAGGCGGTGGGAAGTCAACCGTGTAATAGGCATCTATAAGTGAAATGAACAAATGTAGATGGACCGTTGTTGGTTCGTTCGATTTCTCGTATAATTTGCTTGAACTTCGTCCCCTATTACCTTTTGTTCTCCACCATTTCCGTTTCTAGGAGATTCCGACCCCCTTACAAGTCCATTATGGTCTAGATTCGGTAATCAAGGCAACCAATGGGTATACGGTGATTTATATGTTACTCCACAAACACTAAGTAAACCACAACAAGGAGCAACAACTATCAAGGTAAGAATTTGACACTTAGGAAGTAAGGAGTATTTAATAAAATATATGTTCTGTAACACCTGATGCCAGTAGGCAGTAAGTGTTTGGAACCCCTATAGATAATCCACAAGGCTTATACGTTATTTTTGTATGTTGAATTTTCCAAATTTAGGGGATTCGTACTCAAATTAATATAACAAACGCTAAAACATCCCAGACGGCAGATTGAATACAATCACAATATTTAAATACAATTAAAATATTTACCTTGTTGAATAGTAAAACATTTAAGATTGAATACAATCACTATATTTACCTTGTATTTTTTGTTTTAAGCTGGTATTTGAAGGAGTAATGAAATCGGGTTATACTGGTGATATTGCTTTAGATGATATCAAAATGAAAGATGGAGCATGTCCAACTGACAGTAAATATTTTTACTGCAAAATTCACCTATTACCTCAGGAGTCCGCATTGAGTCGGTTCTCAATCTTTTCAACCTTAACCTTATCGAATTGCAAACTTTGCAAAATCTTCCTCACTAGTTAAATACGATTTCTAATAGCACAATGCCAATAAAGCAATCCCAAATCATTCAACAGAGTACCTTCATGTTTCTCACAATGTCAATTGTCCAAAACACACCATCAGAGCTAATGCTTGTTCGACTCAAATCATGCTCAAAGATTCCTTGGGCAATTTATTGTAACGATATTTTCATTCTATCCGACGCGTTACCCATGTATATATTAATTGCTTAAACAAATTAAAATCTAAATTTCAATTTTATAATGTCTTTAAAACCATTTTAATCTTTCATAATTTTAAATACTGATCAATAATTGTTCTCTGAAAATCCCAGCCACACTTTTATTGATACATACATAACATCTCTAAAGGATTACATTTTTAGTTGAATTTTTGAAGATAAATCAATACCTTCCTTTTCCCGTTTCAGTCAAGTGTGATTTTGAAGCAAGTGATATTTGCGGATATCAGCAAGACACAACTGATGATTTTGACTGGACCAGAAATCATGGATCAACATCTTCCTCAAGTACTGGGCCCACTACAGATCACACGTACAAGACACCCAATGGTAAGTACATAAATACTTTGTAACGCTTTACTTATTTGAAAAGCAACCTGTTTAAAAGCCAGTATGGGTAATAAACTATCAAAGGTACATAAATGAAATACTAGCATTTCAAATAGGAATATGCAGTTTTGAAACCTATTCCAGTATTATGTTGCACAATGTCTTTAAATATAGTTGTAGGTTAGGAGAAGCTTTGGTGATGCTTCTTTTTTCAACATTCTGCTTTCACGTAAACATGGCAATTAGGACTAAGACCACAAACATTTGAATACATCTTTTGGTTGTATTATAGGCTACTATATGTATATCGAAGCTTCCAGTCCACAGAAGTCAGGAGAAAAAGCAAGATTGATTGTGCCCAAATTACCTAAAACACAAGGATCATGTCTTCGATTCTTCTACCATATGAAGGGAATGGGCATTGGAACCCTGAATATATACATTAGACAGTATAATCGCATGAGGAAGGTGTGGACGAGAGGAGGTGATCAAGGGAATATCTGGAGAGCAACTCAGATTAACTTCAATTCTTATGCAACTTACGACGTAAGTGTGTTAACTGTAATGGACAGTATGTTACCAATTCTGGATCCTGTTAAAATTTGTCAAGTAGTGCCTTACTTACTTTCACAAATAGTTAAAATATAATGCTCGACAAGGAGCCGGCATACGAACATGCGATTTTAATGTTTTTTTCTGCTTTTGATCAGTAATTTTAAAACTAAATTTGAATATCTGAATCCTGAGCTGTACTATATCTGTTGTTGTGTTATAAGTAATGTATAGGTGCTCATTGTGAATAATGTAAGTATGAATTTGAGCATACTAAAGTGTTATCCAATAATATTCACCTCTTGTTTCAGATATTATTTGAGGGAGTAATTGGATCCAGTTATAGAAGTGACATCGCTATAGATGATGTAGAAATTCTTCCACGATCATGTGCATTCCCTGCTGGTTGTGATTTTGAGAACGACATGTGCACATGGATAAATAATGAATCTAGTGATGATTTTGATTGGCTTAGAGGTAAAGGATCTACTGGATCACAGGGCACGGGACCTTCTACTGATCATACACTTGGGACAAGAAATGGTAAGCATGCAATACAATATATAAATACAACAATTAAACCTATACATGTCTTAACTTTTAATCAAAATCAATGTCACGACCAAGATGATAGAATAGAAAATAAGTTTATAAACAGCATATAAGGACATAATCAAACTATTTGGTTGTGGTCCAGAAGGAGGGTGGACATGCGAGCTCCATTACAGCACATTTGTCCGACAAGAATATTACCAGTTGTCATTAAGTGCTTCTGTAATAACAGTTCGCCTGTGTTAGAAAAATGATTGGAAATGAGAATGCATTTCTGTCCATTGGCAAATCTGATTAGAAGGCTTGGGATTTTAGCAGTAACTCGTGGATATAATAAATATTTCATCGTTTCAGGCTATTACCTCTACATTGAATCCTCAAGACCACGTGTTCAAGGTGACATGGCTAGAATAGAATCAGAGGTACTCTTAATGAAAAATGGTGCCTGTATGACTTTCTGGTACCACATGTATGGACAATCCATTGGTAGTTTGAACATCTATGTCAATCCTCTAAACATTTCTGACTCTGTACCATTAAACAGAATTTGGTATCGAGAAGGCGATAACGTTAATAAATGGCAGAATGCTGCCATATCGATCAAGAATGTCGGAGAATATACGATTCAGATAGAAGGTGTAGTCGGAACTGGATACACAAGTGACATAGCAATTGATGACATCAGGATTAATCCTGGATTATGTTCTACCACCAGTGCCACTGGATCCGATTTCAAATGTCTAGATGGATCTGGTACAGTTACAAGTGACAAGGTTTGTGATTTTGTGTCGGACTGTGCTGATAGTTCAGATGAACTCAACTGTGGAAACTGTACTTTTGAGAAAGACATGTGTAAATGGAGTGATCAAAGTACTGGAAGTTATTCCTGGATATATGCAACAAATGGTACCTCTACTTTGAAAAATGCACCACAAAATGATCACACATTTGGAAACAGCTCTGGGCATTTTTCATTGGTAGACTACTCAACTGGACGCAATTATCAAATGTCTTTACTGAAGAGTCCTACACTAAGGCACACTTCTTCATCCTGCCAGATTTCAATCTATTACTATGCGCTTAGTAGATACAGTTACTTAGATTTGAGTATCCAAGTGGGCTATGAGATAACGTTAATCAAGAGATTGAATGTCGGTAGTCTTGTTTCGTCATGGGCTTCAGCAACGGCAGATATTGGTGGCATGAGAGGAGACTTCAATATTCTAATCGAGTCCAGGGCGTTTTTTGCCATTGATGACATAACTCTTACTAATTGTCAGCTTCCACCAGTCCAAAAATCCTGCCCCAGCAATATGTTTAGGTGTCAGCGCGGATCTTGTATTCCTAAACAGCAACTGTGTGACTTTACGGATGACTGTGGAGATGGAAGTGATGAATCGGACAAAACATGCGTAGGAGCCGTTGGATGCACTTTTGAGAAGTCTGCATGTGTGTGGCAGCAGAGTAAGATTGACAAATTTGACTGGTTAAGACATAAGGGACCAACATCATCCTCCAGCACAGGACCTACCAGAGATCATACCACAAGACTTAGCTCTGGTTACTTTATGTACATTGAGGCATCAAGACCACGAAAGAATGGAGACATGGCCCAACTTATCAGTCCAACCATATCACCAGCTTCGACCTCTGACCAATGTTATTTCACCTTTTATTATCACATGTATGGAAAAGGCACTGGAACGCTTTCAATATTCACGTGGTACAAGATTGGTGGAGCAAGACAAGTTCTTTGGACAAAGAAAGGAAACCGTGGAGATTTCTGGGAGAGGGCTAGTGTGCAGCTAACACGTTCAACCCAATTCCAAGTAGTCATTGAAGCAACTGTTGGAACCTCATACTATGGAGATATTGCAATTGACGATGCTATTTTCTCACCAGGGTGTAAATTGTTCGGTGTGACACTACCCTCGGCCATCACTCCACCTGCAACAACAGCACCAACTGTCAGCAACTGTCCAAATGGCCAATTCCAGTGCAAAGATAACAATGGCTGTATCCCAATGTCACAATATTGTGATTTCAACATAGATTGCCTCGACAAGTCAGATGAAGCAATGTGTGGAGCTTGTAGTTTTGAACAAGGTTCTTGTGGATGGATAGATGCAAGTACTGGAAAATACAACTTTACGGTGTTACAAGCCAACCCAAATGCAATCAAAACGGACCACACCCTTAACTCCGCTAATGGTCATTATGCCTTTGTTGAAGGATCTAGGGGACTTTTCTTCAGTCCAGCAAAACTACAGAGTCCCCCATTACCCGCTGCATCTAGATATTGCACAATGTACTTTTACTACCTTATGAATGGTCAGAATGCAGGCAAACTTTCCGTATCCGTAAACGTGAACGGAACATCAAAGACAGTCTGGTCAGTCTACGGTTCACAAAACAGCTTCTGGAGGAGAGGAATCGCTTATATCGGAAGAACATTTGGAGCAATGACAAAAGGTTCTATCGTTCAGTTTATGGCAACACCGGCTCGTGGATTTACCGCTTCAGCAACAAGTGATGTTGCTATTGATGACATTTCTTTCGTCCGATGTGACCCAAAGATATACCCTCCAGATCTGAAATGTAGTTTCAATGTTGACTACTGCAGCTGGGTTCAAAGCACAACTGACGATTTTGATTGGACAATGGGTAACTCTACCATCAAATCCTATGGAACTGGACCTTCCTATGACCATTCCTACCGAAAGAATGGTAATTATGTTCTGATGCGTTCAAGAGGCCAACGAAAAGGAGATATGGCAAGATTGGAAACAGCTACTCTTGGACCAACTACGTCCACTGGTCATTGCTTTAAATTCTGGTACTACATGTATGGATCGGGTGTCAGCTCACTTACTATTTACCAACTCGGCAGTGACGGAACTGGACAGTTCACCAACTCGACAATCTTCTGGTCGAAGAAAGGAAGTCAAGGAGACAAGTGGATTCAAGGTGCAAGAACAATCTATTCAAATACTGAATACATGATATCCATAGAGGGATTAGTAGGTGGCTACAGAGGAGACATTGCACTGGATGACTTCACTGTTTCGGCTGGTAGATGTCCGGCATCCCACACCTGCACCTTTGAAGATAACAACTTCTGTGAATGGGATCAATCCACAACTGGTCAATTTGATAATTTTGATTGGTCTATCGGAAGTAGAACATCATCCCGAGGAACTGGACCATCAGTTGACCATACATTTGGTTCCTCTTCTGGACATTATGCATTTATTGAAGCTTCCGGGCGTAAAGAAGGGGATAAAGCTGTGTTGATCGGTCCTCTTTTATCAAGAGCCACATCTGGAAATACCTTCTTTGGTGGAAAGTGTTTGAAATTCTATTACCACATGTACGGTCCAACAACAGGGTCACTGAATATTTATATGAGAAATAATGGTTCATCAACATCAAATCTGTTATGGACTGAATCTGGAGATCAAGGAGACGTTTGGAGAAGAGGCGAAGTTTCATTCAGAGGAAATAGATTAACACCATTCAGAATACTGATTGAAGCTGTAAGAGGATCAAGTTATACAGGAGATATTGCTATAGATGATTTAGATGTTACTCAAGGATATTGTCCAGCACAGGGAGCGTGTAATTTCGAAGACGACACCTGCGGATATATCAATGTTCAAGGCGAAGACGATTTCAATTGGGTAAGAGACTATGGAGGGACACCAAGTTCAAACACAGGACCTTCAACCGACCATACACTGAGATCTTCTGCTGGGTATTATATGTACATTGAAACATCCGGATTCGCAACTAAACCCGGGTCGAAGGCCTGGCTTCAGAGTGAAACTATACAAGGGACATCATCAAGTAGTTCCAGCAGTAGCTTCTGTCTGACCTTCTACTATCACATGTATGGCGCTGGAACAGGTGCACTCAATGTTTATTCAAGAGTGAGCGACAACCCACTATCTCTGATCTGGTCTGTCACTGGAAATCAAGGCAATGTGTGGCACAAGGCTCAAGCTACCATCAATGAGTATGATTTTGCAATAATATTTGAAGGTGTCAAAGGGAACAACATTACAGGCGACATTGCTATCGACGATGTGAATGTAGGGAAATATGCATGTTACAGAGTTACTCCAATCACTCAGCCAACTGTAACACCGACACCTACTTATCAACCATCCAATCTTGACTGTGATTTCGAACTTGGATTCTGTTTTTGGAAACAAGACAAAGTAGATGACTTTGATTGGTCTAGACATGCCGGGGAAACTGATTCCAAATTTACGGGACCTTCAGCTGATCATACCATTGGCAATAATCAAGGAAATTACATCTACACAGAAGTGTCTCGGAAAAAGACCAACACCACAGCAAGATTGATCAGTCCTAGCGTTACAATTGGAACACAAGGAATATGCTTCAAATTTTGGTACTACATGTTCGGCGCAAACATCAACAGATTAAGCATAAAGGTCAAGAACGGCGTAAACGAAACAACTGTATGGACAAGAGCTGGAAATGTAGGACCTTCCTGGAAGTACTTCCAGATCTTCTTACAGAACATGAGTGGGCCATCAAACATAATCATCCAAGGATACTCTGGTCAATATTATATGGGTGACATTGCTGTAGATGATGTGTCGATGAACCAAGGAAATTGTCCATCATACGCAGCATGTGAGTTTGAAGGAGGAATGTGTGGTTATGTCCAAGATGTTGATGATGATTTTGATTGGAAGTTACAAAGTGGTGGAACAACAAGTGGGGGAACTGGTCCTCAAACGGACCACTCTTTCAAGACCAAGTTTGGACACTATGTCTACATAGAATCATCGAATCCACAACGCCCTGGATACAAGGCAAGAATCACATCACCAATAATTCAACCGACAACAGGTTCTTGTCTCCAGTTTGCTTACAATATGTACGGAAGAACAGTGGGAACACTGAATGTGTATCAGAGATATGGATCTGGTTTAGGTCATCCAATCTGGTCTTCTTCCGGAAATCAAGGCGACGAATGGCACATAAGGCAAATCAATATCCAGTCTAATCAACAATTTGCCATCACTTTTGAGGGAATCGTTGGAAATGGATACACGGGAGACATTGCAGTAGATGATATCCATATTTTGTCAAGAATGTGTGAGCCCTCTGGAAGCTGCGACTTTGAATCAGGTCTTTGCGAATGGGAAAATGTTCTCACTGGTGATGATTTTGATTGGGTGAGACTAAAAGGATCAACTACTACAACCAACACCGGTCCCGGTAAAGATCATACAACAGGAAACAAGTATGGGGTCTACCTGAATATGGAATCGTCTGCTCCTCAAAAACCTGGAAACAAAGCATGGTTACAGTCGCCTCCGTTTGCTAATGCAACGACTAAATGTATGAGTTTTTGGTATCACATGCAAGGAACAACAATGGGTACACTTAATATTTACAAACTCGCTTATGGTACTAAAAAAGAAAATATATGGTCCAAAACTGGTAACCAGGGTTCTGATTGGCTAAATGCTCGTTTGACTGTCAGTTCTACTAATGGTGACTACATCATTGCCTTCGAAGGAGTTGTTGGTAGTGGCTTTTCGAGTGACATTGCTATTGATGATATATATATCCAAGATGGAGATTGTAGCACCCTACCACCTCAACTCACTTTCAATTGCCCTCAAGGAAATGTCGTTAACGGTGACAAGGTATGCGACTTCTATCCAGATTGCGCCAACGGAGAAGATGAAGTGTTCTGTGGATATAACTGTACATTTGATAACGGCACATGTAAATGGAACAACACAAAACAGAGTTCCTACAGTTGGACCAGATTCCGAGGCGCAACTCCGGATTCCAACACAGGACCATCTATGGATCACACAACTCTGACTGCATCTGGTTATTACATGTATGTCGATGCATCTAAAGGCAAGAATTACGCATATGCTCAATATGAAAGTCCAACACTTTCGGCATCAGCCACATCATGTTCCTTCTCATTCTGGTATCACATGTATGGTAAACAAGTTGGATATCTTTACGTGGTGAAAAAGGAAGGGCAGACATCAACTACTTTATGGAATACTAAAGCAGATCATGGCAACAAATGGAACAAGGCACTAATACCAATTGGTCGTACCCAAGCTCATTTTACGGTACAAATAGTAGCTCGAAGAAGCTATGGTGTTTTGGGAGATATTGCAATTGACGATATTCAATTTTCTCATTGTGATTTACCAAGACCGAATGGACCGTGTCAAGCTAGCCAATTCCAATGCCAAAATCAAGTCTGCATTGAAAACTTCCGAGTTTGCGATTTTGTTGATGATTGTGGAGATGGATCAGATGAAATTGATTCAAAATGTTCCTCCTACAAACTCTGCAACTTTGAACGCGGAATATGTGACTGGCGACAAGATCGCAATGACAACTTCAATTGGTACAGAAATCGTGGTGCTACTCGATCTATGTTGACTGGCCCTAGTTATGATCATACTTTAATGAATCCAAGAGGTTATTACTTGTATGTGGAATCGTCCCAACCGCGATTACCGGGAGACAAAGGAAGACTGATGAGTACTTATTTCCAGGTATCTTCATCGGACACATGTTCTTTGAGATTCTATTACATGATGTATGGCAAAGATTGTGATACATTGGCTATTTATAAGAGGACTACAATTGGTGGTGGAATGACCATGTTATGGAAACGAACTGGCGAAATAGGAGATTATTGGGTAATCCAGGTCATAGACATCAAGGAACCACAGCCTTTCCAAATCATTATCGAGGGAACAGTTGGCAAGTCATATTACAGCGACATAGGAATCGATGATATTTCGTTCACACCTGGATGTGTGCCATACACAGGAACTCTGCCGACAGGAGTACCCATGATAGGAACAACTCCACCAAATCCATGTGGTGTTGGAAAATGGACATGTGTTAACAAGGCATGTATCCAGGCCCAGGGACTCTGTGACTTTAGAAATGATTGTACAGATGGATCGGATGAAGCAAACTGTGGAGCATGTGACTTCGAAAAAGGAACTTGTGGTTATGTTGACATCAGTACTGGTATATACAAATGGGAGAGACATAATGGTACCACAAAATCATCTGTTTCCGGACCTTCCAATGACCATACCTTTGGTAATTCAGGCACTGGTAATTTCCTCTTTGTTGATTCTACAAAAGGATCCAATTTTGGTAGAGCGGTGATCCAGTCCCATGCGTTTGGTCCAACAGATGCTAATTGTGAAGTTCAGTTCTGGTACCAGAAGACAGGCACACAACGTGGTGTAATGCAACTTTACCTTGTTCCTCCAAATGTTCGTGGAGATGATCTTAATAATTTAATTTTACTGTGGACAGCTTTCGGAGATAAAGGAAAGAACTGGGTTCAAGCAAGTTCTGGCATTGGATTGCGTCAAGCTGGATATAGCTTGTCATTCCAATCACTACAGATGCAGAAATCAGGAGACATGGCCATTGATGACATTTCTTTTAAGAACTGTGCTTTGAAACAGAACCAGTCTTCTTGCCTACCAAATCAATTTCATTGTAAGAGTGGACCATGTATCGATAACTCACAACTTTGTGATTTTACTGATGACTGTGGAGATAACTCAGATGAATTGGCCTGTATGAGTTATCCAGAAAGATGCAATTTTGAGAAAGATACTTGCAACTGGATTCAAGAAAAGACTGATAACTTTGACTGGAGGCGATCTTATGGCAAAACAACAACTTTAGGAACTGGACCTGATTTGGATCATACTTACGGAAATACCACGGGAAACTACATGTACATTGAAACATCATGGCCACGAAAACCCAACGAAACAGCTGTACTCTCTAGTCAAGTATTTTCACCAACAACGTCTGGAAACTGTAAAATGAGATTTTTCTACTATATGTTTGGAGTCCAAGTTAATAGTTTGAATATCTACATGAAATCCGTGGTTGTCGGACCGAAAAATCCTGTTTGGACGAAGCAAAATTCTGTAGCAAACGAATGGAAAAAAGGTGTTGTGACGCTATCTAGTACCGTTCCTTTCCGTATAATGATTGAAGGCGTTACCGGAACTGGTTTCAAAGGAGATATTGGTCTGGACGATATATCATTCACACCTGACTGTAAAATTGCACCAAGATCAGTCACTCTGCCACCCAGTATAACGACGCCAGGACCCTGCGGTATCGGCAAGTTCCAGTGCGCCACCAGCCAGAAATGTATTTCTTCAACTGCTGTGTGCGATTTTAGAGAAGATTGTGATGATTTGTCTGATGAATCAAGCTGTCCAAAAACTTGTGATTTTAACACAGATCTTTGTTCGTGGAAGAATGTTATTGGTGTAAATAATCTCAATTGGACGTTGATGTCAGCACCAATGAAAGACCATACAACCAACTCCAACAACGGCAAGTATGCAATTATTCAGGCATCAAGCACTATGAAGTATGGACAAGCAGCAAGACTATCGAGTCCACTCTATTTCCGAGCTGGTGTGACTTGTCAATTTAGTTTTTGGTACGCAATCAATGGTACAGGATTTTACCCTTTCAACCTTATCATGTCATCGGGTGGATCTGATAGAGTCCTCTGGAAATTGAACAGAATTAACAACGTTGCAAACCAATGGCATAATGTCACAGTAGACCTTCCGTCATGTTCATCTGAATTTAGCATGATTTTCACTGCTCAATTCTTTACTAGTAGAACTCCTGGTTCCTATATAGCTATTGATGACGTGGCCTTTGTTAACTGCGGTCTACCGGATCCTCAACCAACTTGCGCTGCTGATCAGTATCGCTGCGGTACTGGACACTGTATCGATCAAAAATTCAGATGCGATTTTGCCACAGATTGCTGTGATGGGACAGACGAAAAGACAGACACGTGTAAAGGTTATAATATGTGTGACTTTGAAGTAAATCTCTGCAGTTGGACTCAAGATACTAATGATAACTTCGACTGGTCAAGGCATAGTGGACGAACTACTTCTTTTGGAACTGGTCCAACAGTTGATCATACTACAGATGCTGCAGTAGGACATTATCTTTACATTGAATCCTCAACACCACAGAAACTAAATGATGTTGCGAGACTTTTATTCAACCTCCCACCATCGAAAGGAAAGAATTGTGAACTTCATTTCTGGTATCATATGTATGGAACACATATTGGAGGTCTCAACATTCTTACAAGAACGATTGGGGGTAAAGAAAAAACTATTTCGTCTCTAGCAAAGAATCAAGGAAATTCTTGGATGCGACAATCTGTAAATATTTACAACAATGTCGAATTTCAAGTAATAATCGAAGGAAAAGTTGGTGTAGGCTTTAAAGGAGATATTGCGATAGATGATATTAGTTTGACACCAGATTGTGGTGCAGGAGGCATACATCCATTACTTCCGTCAACCACAACACCACAGCCTACGTTCCCCCCGTGTGCTTCCAACCAGTTTCAATGCAAATCAGATGGCAAATGTGTTAGTCTCTCACAGATTTGTGACTACAGTAAAGATTGCAGTGACGGTTCTGATGAAATGTACTGTCCATCCACATGCGATTTTGAACAGAACAATTGTGATTGGAACTACACAGCACAGCCATTCGACTGGTTACGATCTAATGGAATCAACACTGCCAACCAACGAGCAAATGCACCACTTAATGATGCCTCTAGTGGGAGTCCTAACGGCCACTATGTCTTTGTCAATGACCAAACTGGTGGAAGTCCAAATTTTAAGAAAGCTGTTCTTACCAGTCCTTCATATGCTTCAGCAAAATCTGATTGTAAAGTGAGATTTGCCTATTACATCCATGGACAAGCAGTTGGATATTTAAGATTGAAGATTTTGGAAGATGGAAAAACATCTACTTTATGGAGATTAAGCAATCAACCTGGTTCTGAATGGAGTTATGTAACAGTTGGAATTGGCAGAAGGGCTGACACTTTTAAGTTGTCTTTTGAAACATCAAGTCTTCAAAAATTTAGCGGGGCCATAGCTATCGATGATATTAAATTTATGGATTGTGCTATGCCACCTAGAACTGGAAACTGTCTTCCTGGCCAGTTTGTGTGTAAGAATAATGCGTGTGTTGATCAAGATAAAACTTGTAATATCATTGATGATTGTGGTGATGCATCGGATGAAATGGACAATGACTGTCAGTCTACCATTCAGTTTGACTTTGAAGCTGATTACAGTGACCTATCTCAAGGAGTTGATGGCACGGATGATGACTTTGATTGGGTTTTATGGAAAGGAAACACACCCACTAGCTTCAGTGGACCCGATCGAGATCATACGACTGGTTTAGAGACTGGACACTACATGTACATGGAATCTTCCGCCCCTAGGAAATACGGACAAAAATCATGGCTACTAACTAAACCTATCCAGATCGTTGGCGATGAAGGTTGTTCTTTAAGGTTCTTTTTTTACATGTATGGTATACATATCAACCAAATGGCTGTGTATTACAGATCGTACAACTCAGGACCACCAACTAAACAGGTGTGGTTTGCAAGTCATAACCAGGGTGCCTATTGGCAGAATGCTGTTGTGAAGTTTACAAACGATTCGCCATTCCAAGTAATATTTGAAGCAGTCGTTGGTGACAGCTACATGGGAGATGTTGCCATAGATGATATATCATTCACTGCAGGATGCCAGTATTCAACAGAAGCCCTTCCAACACCACCACCATATTTGACAAGCTCCATTGGGCCAACTGCGTCTACTGCTCCTCATACATGCGACCTTAGTTTCCAAATTAACTGTAAGAGTGATGGCAGATGTATTGATCTGAAACAACTGTGTGATTTCACTAGTGATTGCGCTGATAACTCTGACGAAGCAAGTTGTGGTGAGTCTTTATCTAATTCTCTTCTTCATCTCCTTCTCTTTTTATTTCTTTTTTTTCTCTCTCTTTCTTTGTAAGTCAATCATAGTATCCTTCCGTTTCTGTTGTTATGACGCAAAATTGCTATCTTACTAGAAAATTCAGCTAATCATATATTTCATACACATTACTACATGTAGATGCTTATGAAAGGCAATAAACAATCCATAAATCATCCTCAATTGTCATAACTGAATTTGCATATGTCTTTATAGCCTCATCTATATGTAACTTCGATGATGGTACAACGTGTGGGTGGATGATCAATTCTACTTCACAAGCCGGTGTGGGAGAAACATACAGATGGAAAGTGGATATTGCTAGTAGTTTTACAGGCCAAGACTTTGTTCCCAGTACTGATCATACTTCTAATTCACCTAATGGTTATTATCTTTGGGTGGACAGCTCACCAGGTAAGAATTCTACTTCGCAGCAATTGCCGTACATTCAATATCAACACTTTTATAGCCTTCCTAGAATTGACAAAGCCAGGGTGAAATTAACAGAGATCAATTCCTTATCAAGGAGGAGAATCTAGACAATTGAATTGATAGATAAAAGTTAAGTTATATTGTGCAAATGATATCTCAAAGAAAAATCACGCGCTGTTGGGAGGAGCAACCACTTTCAATTTCTGTATGTGCTATTTCTGTTGTAGTATATGACGTGTTACCCGACACTGACTATCTTTCTTTGTAGGATCATACAAGGATGTGACACAAGTTCACACGCCACCTATTGGACAGACTGGACCACAATGTAAACTGGACTTCTGGTATTTTATGAATGGACCTTCAGTTGGTAGTTTGGAAGTCGAGACCAAATATGGTGATCAAAGTACAATGATCTGGTCTAATAATGGCAACCATGGCACTGCGTGGCAACATGCTGTACTTCTGATTGGTTCAAGGACTGATTTCGAGGTATTATAACATTCAATTCACGACTTAAAAAGCATGATAATATGTAGATATGTCAAAATCTTTTACACGCTAAGTTTATGTAGTGTTATCAATGAATGATACAAGAGATATCAAAATGCATTGTTTGACTGGTGCATCATGATGCTCCGTTATATTCTAGGTGATCATCCAAAGTAAGCGTGGAAGAACATACCGTGGTGATATAGCAATTGATGATGTTAAGTTTGTGGACTGTGTACCACCAATGCCTATGATAGGGGGTTGTTCTAGTGACCAACTGACTTGTGGTAATGGATATTGTATACCTATTGTACAGAAATGTGATTATGCTAATGACTGTGGTGACAATTCAGATGAAAGTGTAAGTATAGAACACTTGAACGATCAATTTATTGGGGCTATATGTTAAATTTTTTTAGTCCAGCAATTCGACTACAGAATTTCTAATCTAGTTATGAAATTTTTGCCCGAAAAAATTGCTTTCGGGGCTGCACCCACAAGGCCCCACACACCTTTGAATCCGCCACTATACCAGGCTACTAGTGCCAATGCTCGGATTTCAGCCTCTCCTGGGATTTTGATGCAAGTAGACATGGCAGAATGAGCCTCATTACTGGCCCCATTTTTATGTTTATATGATTTTGTACTTCGGTTAATTATTCAACATATATCACGATGGTAACAATAATGCTTACCGATTTTCCACAGTGATCTAGTCAGGTAGATAAACAAAATAAATATTTCAGGTGATACAATGCGATCAAACTTACAAAGGAAGATGCAATTTTGAAAATCTACTTTGTCCGTATTGGACACAGTTAATAAATGACAACTTCGATTGGACATTGTCGAATGGTGTGACTAAAACAATTGGAACAGGACCAAGTAATGATCATACTACACTCAGCAACAAAGGTGAGAATTTAAAAAGAAAATTGGCCACCATTGAAATTTCAGTCTATCTAAGATGGATCGATATTTGAGCTCCCCATGTGGACAAACACATTCATGAAAGGGTTTGAAAGGGTTTCAAAAATATTACAATCATTGCAGTAGATGTTGCTTATCAAACAGTAGTAAGATTCCAAACCCTCGTCCGCCAATAGACGTGTGACAAAACATGTTGGCAAGCACAGTTTTATAACAATATAGCTACAATGTAATAAATTCATTCATTTCAGGCAATTACCTATATATTGAATCATCCTATCCACATAAGGCAGGACAAGTTGCTAAACTAGGTTCACAATCTATCAGTGGCATGTCTCAAGACTGCAGTGTAAGTTTCATCTCATTTGAGTATCTAGATCTCTTAGTGAACTATATCAAATGCTGCTGCTATCAAAACGAGATCAAGTCGCTTTTGAAAAATATTTTGCAAAGGGAGTAGTTCCCAAAATGATAAATGGTGTCAACTAAATCTAAAATATATTCCGGAATTTCTAATGTTATACACGTATGTTGCATCTTGTATTTACAGTTACGTTTCTGGTATCATATGTACGGAGTTGATATTGCCGACCTAACAGTCTACAAACAGTTTGATTATGGCGGAGATGGTCGCACCCTGATTGAACAGATATCTGGCAACCAAGGTGATATTTGGTTAAGGAGAGAGGTTGACATAGCCAATGAAGCTGGTGACAATCGAGATTTTATGGTAAGGTTCTCTTTTTAACTTTGGTGATGGCAGTTGATAGATTATGACATATGCAGAAAGAAGCTGAAAAATGTTCTGGTCTGTAGTAGAGTAAATTAGTTATGACATTTTCAGAAAACGCGCTGAATTAAATGGCATTCTGTTCTGCACCTCCGTGGGTAAAAAAATTGAGTTAATGAATACGCAAAAAATAAGTGGTAACTTAATAGTGTTTTTTTACTTTAAACAACTTTTGGCGTAAAATGGGACAAACTATCTAAAACACTGAAATCTGAAATTGCTTTCTATCTTGGATATAGATTACTGTTATTTAACCAATAAATTTACGTTTTTATTGTTTTTGTAGATTGTATTTGAAGGAAAGGTTGGAAAAGGATATCATGCTGATATTGCTATTGATGATTTATCTTTAACGCCTGGCTGTGAAGATGGAGGTAATTTAAAATTGTTCAAGCCTCACTATAAATCGTTCTAATATATCTTGATAGACCCTGAACTAAATACATGGCACTTTCCTGACTTACACGGCATCAAGTCTTCGTGGGTTTCCAAAGTTTCTAACATAAATGGAAACTCAAGAAAAATTCTATCAGGGAATCACATGTTCATTTATGATTTCCAGGACCCCTTACTGGTCAGCCTACTGCCCCCAGTGTAACCAATGCAATGTGTGATGATGATACATATAAATGTAAGAATGGTAAATGCTTCTCGGCCAATCAGCAATGTGATTTCTTTAACAACTGTGGTGATTCAACTGATGAACTAACTTGTGGTAAGTATTCATCTTCGCTAAATTCTTCAATTAAAATTCAGTTGCCTCAGATGTATGCATAGTCATGTGCGTAGCTATGCATTCGAGATGCACATATGCATATAGGAGCTTTAAGTATGAAAGCTTAAGGTATGCAACTCGAACAGTCCATATACATTAATAAATATTAAGTTCATCTAATAACTTACTGGATGCTACAGGAACAACATGTACGTTTGAAAATGGCGAATGTGGCTGGAGAAATAATCAACGAGATAATCTAGATTGGCAGACACAGAAGGGACCAACATCATCTAAAAACACAGGACCAGGAGCTGACCATACCACTGGTACTGCAGCAGGTAGGCGTTGTTCTTTAACATGATGAAATAACATACAAAAAAATCAGCACAACAGCCAATACATGTATATGCATTAGAAATTCAGAAATCAACAAAGTAGAGTTTTCGTAGAAGGCTTCTTAACGTCTGAATTAACGCATCATTGATGGATCGAAACTTAAAAATGTAGTCTGTCGGATGCCTGTCTAAAACCTTCCACCCAATTGAATAGAGTTTCTTTGAAATGTTCTCCTTGTGTTAATGTATGATGTTGAATTATATTTCCAGGAACTTATCTTTATCTTGAATCAAGTTTCCATAGCCCAGGCGACTTTGCCATTTTGGAAACGGAAGAATACCAAATTAGCGGAGCTGCATGTTCAATGTCTTTCTGGTACCATATGTACGGAACAACTGTGGGAACTTTATCAGTTCTCTTGAAGACGGAAGTCGATGGAATTATAAGTAAATGGTCTAAGTCGGGCAGTCAGGCAAACCAATGGAATCAAGCTACAGTCACTATCGGCAGTAAGAGAAACTTCGTCGTCATGTTCAAAGCTTCAATAGGAACTAGTTACCGTGGTGATATAGCTATTGATGATGTGCAGTTTAATAACTGTGAATACAGTGAGTAGATAGTTTGAATTATTTTATTGTCTGAATTCATTTCAAACATTTTTACTCACTGAAAACCCCTGAGAACACATAGATTATGGATGCACTTTGAAAATTATTGGTAGATACTTGATCGAACAATATTTATTTTTTTCTCGTCTTCACTTTCAGAGAGCAGCAGTAGATAGATTAACAATTACTAATCCCTTCTTTATCCTCTAGGTTCAAAGAGTAAATCCTGTACAGATCGTGAATTTATGTGCGCTAACAAACAGCAGTGTATACCAATAAAATACAAATGTGATGGACAGAAGGATTGTCAAGATAATTCTGATGAAGCTTCTTGCTGTAAGTGACTTTTATGCCCTTTAAAATTAGCTTTACGAAGGACCGATGTAAAAATGCTTAATTTTCGAAGGACGAATTTCCTATTTATGAAATTGACAATATATAATGTTTGAATTGCTTTTGTAGCTTTTGGTTTAATAATTCGAAAGCATTTTTCCCAAGTACAGAGAGACTACATGAGATTATCGAGTATTCTCAGTTAAAAGAATTATATTTTGTTAATTGCGAAATCTTCGTTTCTGCTTTCAATACAGCTGTCAAACAGCATTATAATTTATTTTTATATTATTTCAGTGTCTGTGAATGGAGATTGTCATTTTGACAGTTCTAATTGGTTAAGTTATTGTAAATGGCAACAGAGTACAACTGATGATGGTGATTGGTTGTTGGCAGCTTCCTCCCAGAATTCTGGAACTGGTCCTAAAGTTGATCATAGTGCTACGGCTGGTGGTAAGTAGATATCTTCTCTTGGATTTCTGACTGACACTTCTAAATTCTTTGAAATTGTGATTAATTGCCATTAAAAGATGCATTTAATAAAAATAATTTGCGGTTGTCACCTCAAGAAATCTAACGAAATCCCTTAATTTCCAGGACAATACATCTATATGGACAGTCGAATTCAATCTGTTGGAGATATTGTTAGTATCGCATCACCACCATTCATTGCTAGTATTGGAGTGTGCTATGTTCGATTCTACTACTACATGTCAGGATCAGCCAATATTGGACCTTTGAGAGTGAGTATAATAATCATGTTGTGTTTCCTTAGATATCTTCCTTTGACACTAGATAAAATTTACGTGTGATCACGCCTATCATCGAATCTATATATGAATTGTAATAAGAAAGCTTTATAGATTGGTGTGAATATTTAAAATAACATTATTGCACATTTTAATCTGGAATATCGGATCAGATCATCAGTCGTCATCATTGACCTTGTCTATTCTATTTTCTTTGGTGTAGCGTTCGAAGAATTGTTTGACATGTTGAAAAATTCAAATCCTTGCTGTCATTTAGGTATACACTGTGAACAGTGATAAGCAACGTGAACTGATGTGGTCAATGACTGGAAACAAGGGTGCAGCATGGCAATACGCTAATATACCAGTTGGTAATAGTAAGAACTATAGTGTAGTATTCGAGGCAGAACATGCTGATGGAAAGCAGAACGATGTAGCCATTGATGATGTTACGTTTACACAAGGCTGTGTAACTGGAGGTAGGATATGATTATCAGATATTTTGGATCATGTACTAATATTTGAATTGGGATGGAGCTAATTTAAGAAATTAGCAATCCATTTGTATGTCTTTTTCAAAATATCGGCAATGAAAAACATATCATTTCGGTCTTCTCTATACTTCTCATATAGAAAATTTTCCAAATAATGCTCTTTATTATTAGCATTGAGTGATACATGATATGACCAGAAGTTATTTTTAATTCATATAAACCAGCTGTAGGAAGAATTCAAAGTATGAAATAATTATATGCCTTGCACATTTCAGCAATCTACAATGCTTCCAGACAATTCGACTGTGATTCTCATCATTTCTACTGTACACCAACTAAACAATGTCTTCCAACAGCCTGGCTCTGTGATGGTGTCACTGATTGTCCTGATGGAGTCGATGAACCCAATGAATGCAAGGGTTAGTTTAGGTTATAGTTTGAAATAAAACCCTTGGTTAAACATACATCACTCTGAAAGCCAGCCACTTTGTTACCAGTGTTGTGTCTCAATTATATCCGCTCTACAAAATCTAAAAATCATTTCTCCGGTGTCAAGTGCCCTTTTTCTCTATGAACATGCGTCATGATAGTTGATGAACATTATTTAAATTTTCGACTATTTTTTTTTCAGGTATTAGTCCAGTTACAGGAGGTAAACTTTTAGCTTCATATACACATACATGTATAATAATTCCCGAATTGTCGAGTTTTCTCAAGAGGAATATCCACTAAATACAATAATTGATATTAAGAACACTTTCAAATACTTACAAGAGCTTGAAGATACCAGTGTTCGGGAATATATTATTGCAAATTTAATCCGATTCAACGTCATAAAAGATTAACATTGTGTTTTACATGGGTCAGAATAAGGTCAAGTGACATTGCCCAGTAATATCATTCAAAAAATTTATAAAAAAAATTATTTCAGGTCCCAAAACTCTGCCACCAACCACCCCGGCACCTGTTACAGCTGCTACTAATACTTGTGGTTATGGTAAATATACCTGCGCTGACAAAGTCTGTATCTCAGCTGCTTTCATTTGTGATGGTGTTAAGGATTGTAGTGGTGGTGAAGATGAATACATATGTGGTAAGTGTTCGCTTTTCTTTTCAATTCATGTATTTCACATGAAGCTTTTTGTGTATCATGTCAGTGGTACTGGCCATATTCTAGCTATGTATGCTAGTTTCTATGTCTGGTATCTTGCCGTTAATGTGATATTAATTTGATAAAACACAAAGGACATTCTAAATGTATTTGTACATGACTTCATGTACACTGTTTTAGCTGATTTTAGCCAAAAATAATTCTTTAAACTGCGTACAGGATCATCTTGTAGTAAATATTTGTTTTGTCGTGTCCAAGCTATGTACTATAAACTTATCATTACTATTACTTGTTATTATTTGAAGGAAATAAATGCAAGAAGGGATATTATAAATGTGAATACAGTCAAAATTGTATCAAAATATCAACACAATGTGATGGTACGCTAGACTGTACTAGTGATAGATATGATACTATTGGACAAGATGAAGCTTTCTGCAATGTCGGTAAGAATTCTCGATTGTATTTTTTGAGATCTTTCAAATGTGGCTAACGATATCACTGGCAAATACCTTGTATCAGAACTACGTGTTAAATACCATACCATGGTTTCTTCACACAATGGGTTTTGTGCTTGATGAGGGTTTGCGTTTGTGGTTTTTGTGATATGTTAAACGATATATAATTTGGGAGTGTTCTGTTCAATAAAGGGCCAAGCCGACAGGAGATTTAAGTACGGTACCTACACTTAACTGCTTTCTCATTTTAGGATGTCAAAACAACCCATGTCAAAATGGAGGAACATGCACAGTGGGTATTAAAGGAAAATTCACTTGCAAGTAAGTATAGGCCTATTTACTTCAGATTTTCGAGATTTTTGTTATTATATTATTATGTTTGTTTTAATGACAAGTAGCTTTGTTAAACTTCATCATATAAGATTTCAGTCCTGCTCTGGATGCTCTGTTGATGATCATGTTGAGTAAATACACATACGAGGTAATTTATGCGAATGGCACTTACCTCACACTTAAATGCTTAAGTAGTCTGCTATCATTAGACGCATTTGTCAAACCAAGACTGAATTTAAATCTTCTGATTAACCATATGTTTCCAACGTGCTAAAAACTATCAAGGGAAATAACTCTTTCGTTATATATGGGAAACAACTCCGTGTAGAAGACTCAATAAGACCACAGCTGATATTAGCGATTCATCTCTTTCTACTATTTGTTTACATCGCAGAACGACAAAAACTGTCAGAAGGAATAAAGGATATAAATGCGACTAGTTTTGAACTGTTATCGAATCGATAGTTGTATATTCAATACAATGTTTCTTCGAGGACTGAAATATTAAAAAATAGGATCCTGGCAACATCTTTCCTAATTTTAGGTGCCCGACTGATATTACTGGTGGAAGATGTCAAGTTAAACTAGGAGTTAATTCACCTCAAACAGGATCTAGTGGTAAGAGTTCTTATTAGTTCACCGATTATATTGACAAATCCTGAATATGGTACGCAGAAAAGGTTGTTGCTGCTCATTTCGGATCTTTAGAACACCTGATGACATTCTGTAACTGAATTTGCCCCAACACATCCTTTCTTTTTCCAGGTAAATGGCCTATACCAGTTGGTATTGTGTTAGCTCTGGTATTTATAGCTTGTTTCTTAGGTCTTGGCTATTATCTTAAAGTCAAGAAAAATTGGTAAGAATTATTCAATTTAAATTAATTCCTTAATAGAAAGGCATACCATTAAGACTGCTGTTTGAGGTTTATGTATTAATATGAAGTAGTTCACAGTTTTATTGAATTGAGCTATTCTAAATTATGTTATCGTAGAGTCTGTTAATACGAACAGAATGGATAACATATTTAAAGAAAACATCTCTTTATGGTTTTCATAAAGATTTGAATTGACCATAATAAAACACCTCTTTATATCGTGAGGCATTCTTTTACTGTGTATCAAAGAGTCCTAAAATGAATTCCTTAATGGTATATGTACAGATTAGCTAATTCATATTGTATATCGTAATGTAGGCAATTCAAATTACCAGCACCATTGTTACGAAGACAGGTTAGCTCTGCAGGTGTGGAAAATCCTGTATATGATTATGGATCAGGAAATGTAAGTACAGTGGATCTGTTGTTTGAAATATATCGCTAATAACTCATCATACACATAGGGCCATGTATTCGATGGATCGTGATATTGCTGTATAATTTAATGGGACTTTTGGGGGAATCACGATGGTCATTTGGGGAATTGCAATGATCATTTTGGGGAATCTCGATGTACTTTTTAGGGAATTTCACAGCATTTTGTTGTGATTTATTGTCCATTTATATTGAACATTATATAATATTCACTGATTGTAGCTTTTATTTCCATTGTGAACTTAGTTGAATTTTCTCGTGAATTTCAGATCCAAATGGATGATATACATCAACTTGAACCACCAGCTTTTAAAGCTGATGATCCTTCAACTTCCATCACCAATCCTCTTTACTCGGATTAGATACCCAACTGAACCCCGGACTATGTTCTTATAATTACTATTATATATATGCATTAAAGATACTTACCAAAAAGACGTTACTTATGTAAATTTGAAATAACAAAATGATGTAAAATTATATTCTAAATGTAAATTTTACAAATATATCTAAATTGTTAATTTATTGTATATGTAAATTTGTTTATTATGTAATTGTTAATATGATATTAAATTTGTTGAGTTTCGCTGAGATTTTTTCTTAATATGAAGGGCTTAAAGTAAACAAGGGCGTTTTATCACCAATATATTGAAATGAAAAGGAAGTGTTATCTTAAATCAATATTAAGATGACAAATATCTGCATTAAAAGTATATTGTATCACTAGCTGGTAAAAATCTTCCGAAAGTGAAACAAACCAGACGGAAAATAGTCTTCAGATTTATTTTTTCAGATTTACTCTGTAGTGTGAAATAACTTCTTAACGGAAGACACTGTCTGATTCTGCGTCTTAGATATACCAGACCTTAGCGTATTATTTGTCAGTAATTGTGGTGATATAGAACAGTTTACGGTTCCTTTTAGTGATGTCCAATTCAACCATAAGACAAATTATTTGACTCAATATAAATTTAGTGAATCCATTTTGGAAGCATCCAGCAGCATCGAGATAGAGCTATTTAGCTGGAGGTTCAATTACGAGTAAACTCACAGCATGGGATGCGTAAGTCGACAAGTGCGACCAAATGCATAATTGACGATTCCTATCGCTGAAGTAAACTGTAGTCTTGGTTTATGGGTATCATTACTTAAAGAAGGTCATTATTTCACTGATATAATAAAACGTCCCTCAATGTCAATACAGGCGAATACATATCAAATTAAAACGAATGAATCATTTGGTTAGGTTCAATATTTGATTTTCAGTGTTTGTTACAGTGCACTTTTTTTAACAATGGGATCTTAGAGATAAAGATTTATTTACCAAACTTGAAAATGTTCTCTTCTATTCAAAATTTAAGAAAAATTGGAATAAATGAAGTATATGGTTTTTATTATAATTTGACCCGGAAACTCCTTATTGCAAATATCAGTAAATAAAATATTTGAATTTTGCACGTGCTCATACATCTTGAAGTGCATGTAATGAAACTGTCTTGCGAAAATATTATCTAAGATCTAAAATGAAATATTTGAGTTCTAAGTTACACCTACTTGCTAAATTTTACTATTTTGTCAAAACAGCATATCCGTTTAAAAGATAAAACTGCAAATATAATATTGTTACAATAGTAAGTTCAATTAGAGCATAAGCTATGTAGAGAGCCATTGCAAAGCTAGATCTATTATTTACTAAATTGTATTATTATTTACTAATTGATATAGCCAAAACTTGGTGATGTGTCCAAAACTATTGCAAAAACTAAGTCCATGTTGTATACTAAACTAAAAAGCTGTTGTATATTTATGTAAAGAGCTCTTAAATCCATACGACAGATATAGACTGATGGCACAGGCTTTTACAAGAGTTGTATTAAAAGCTATGAAAACTAAGAGCTAAATTAAGACTTCTACAGATTTTAGATCCACACAACAAGAGCTATTTGGCAAGGTTATTTCTTCAGCTATAAACAGAGCTATTATGACTCAGTTATAAGATATCATTACATGACGTATGCTATAATAGGGCATCTTTGTCGTACGATGCACAATCTTCACTATGGTCAAGGTACTATGAACCTTGTCACATACCTTGACTACCATAGCCACTGTTCTTGTATCATGGAATGCAATGACTTGATTGGATTTTACCTAAGCGAATACAGCCAGTCATATACATTATTTATGTCTTGTGATTTATGGTTATTACATGTATTAACAGACGTTCTGATAGCTTGATATTGAGAATAAGGCGATGCATATACATATATACAACTCATTTGAAACACTTCAGTGAGTTAGACGCTTACTCGCTAACTTGGGGATTCAATCCGGTTATAGATCGAGATAATACGGATGGGACCAAGGCCCCGTGTGTTACAGGCTGTATACGTTCAGGATCTATCGACAGTTATAAATCGACAAGAGTAGATTAATGCCACTGCCCTAGCAAAAAGTCTTCAGTAGCCCAATTAGTTGCTGAAGAGTAAGATGTAAAACTCTGTTCAATATTTCATTTTAACGTTATATTGTAGGTTTTATGTATGTGCGTTATTACTTATAAACAGGTCATTGTCAGCCTCTTATATGGAATCTTGAAATCGTCAATATGTAATCGGTTAATCCATTAATTATTTTAGCAAAAAAATCTTTTACCCAGTCAATATTCTCCTGTGTGGAAGTGTAGCTATATCATTGTTAATTGAAGTATAAAAGCCATTAAAAGTCTACAAAGTCTTTAATGGCAGACATAATGTTTGTTTACTTGACGTCAGTAAATATAGTCTCCAATATCTAGTCATTTAGTCTGTATAGAATTCGTATAAAGAATGAATAAATGATATATTGGACTTCATTTGTTCATAAAATACAACTCGTTTCCTTCTCTCACGTTTGATTCAAGATGGGCTATAGTGAAGTTCATGAATTTATGGGAGAGGGTTAATATCGCCACCTACTCCTTTAGGCGAAGGAATGGGGCTAATAGACTTAGGGTATTCTAGCTGCAGTTGGCAATGCCTATTCTATTTGTATGTAGTCTTATTATAAAAGAATTTTATCTTCCTTCGTCTTTGTTCTCACTCTCTAAGACAACTATTAATCTGCTTTCAAAAATTCTACCGAAATTAAAGAGTTGTTTTCACTACTGGTACATTCACTGTATATAGTGTTAACTGACTGCCTATTTTAATTCTAGTTTTAGCATAGACATTTTCAAAAGCTGGTCGGTATATGTTTCAGATATAAATATTTATTGTCAGTACTCTAGAGTTTGACATGACGATCCACAAGTCCCCCATTATTCAATATATATTATCTTGCTGTGATCTTTCTGCTTGAATCCATATGATTTTCACGATTTGCTTATTCATCGAATGCGTCAATTTCCTATCCACACGGCAAGTCACCTGTACACGCTTAATTACAGGTAGTCACGATCTTACTACTGGTTAATAAATATAATCCTGTAGTCTTGAACACTAAGTTAATTTTTTATGAATAGACATATTCGTCATAACGATTGAGGTTTTGGTTCAGTGGAGTTTTATAAGTAAAGTGAACAATTAAAAAGGGACTTCTCCGGATTCAAATCCGTGAAGGGGGACGGGGTGACGTGTTGTGGCTAAAAATAACTCGGGACTCACGCTTTGTGTTCTATATGACAACAATAGTGCTATTTGAATTAAAAGGAATAGGATATAATGATTTTCAATATTATGATTTTATAGAGCAGACAGTCAACATCGAATCTTGTGTATCAAAGTATAATCTAGACAGTACAGAATGCATTCTGTGATATTTTTGTTATGTTTTTCTACAGTATTCTCATTAACTCCAGGTAAGATTCCATTCTTTATTTTCTAGACTAAAACGTTAAATTACTAATGACATACCTTCTATAAATGTAAAGACGCTGTCATGTATCGTTCAATCTTTTAACGTAAATGTAACTAAATGTACATTCGGCAGTTTTAAAACTTGAAATTATTAAAACGTTGTATTTAACCAGGTGTTCTGTTATTTGGTTATCATGACACACTTTTTTCTTTTTATATTATCGATAGAAAGTCCCTAGATTTAAAGAGATTGTTAAGATTTATTGTTCTGTAGCGGGGCCATTTATGGCTTCAATATGCATTGATTCATTTTTCCGTCAGATGTCTGTCGATCCTGTAATATAGGTATGATTAAACGTATATGACAACACTATCACACAAGCTGCTAGTAATATCTAAGGGCCTTTGTGATAGCTATAACATAAAACGCTTAGTTTTTGTGGAATTGCAAGAACCACAGACGTCTTATTGAAATTGAAAATTGAAATGGTGCAAATAGATGCTATCGGTGTCCCTTCTACCAATAAAAAGTTCTAAAAAATCTCTTTACAATCCTTTTAATCATCATATTTATTTTATCGTATTTATATCATTTGATTTATCTTTCAATAATCCATAACGCTTTCAAGAAAGTATGAATGTGATTTTTTTTTTTTTTAAATTTTCTTGCGTAAGGAAACAAAATCGTAGTAAATCGCGAAGTTATACTAAGGTATATCACTCAGTAAAGTCAATCTAATTTCAATTAAGAGTTTTAAAGGTATAACAAAGCTGTATTATAACCGTTCTAAATCATCGAATATCAGAAGATTGCCCTTATTTCAAGCTTATATAGAAAATTTTATCTTTGATAGATAAATAATGAAAATTTCATTTGGGTGTGTAAAAGTGATCGAGGTATATTGCCCTCTCAGCACCTAAACCAAATAACAATATTACAGATAAACCAGATTTTATCTATGCTTAGATAATCATATTATCAACGCCTTAGGAAATTACCCTAAGTGGATAAAACTTGTACATAATAACTTCATAAACTTTAATAAAAGAGGTTTAAAAAAATATATTGTTGGCATATACACCACTTTAAGCGGGAAAGATAGGCCAGTTGAGGCACTGTAGGCACTCTTGTGATAAACAATGTACATTCATGTATACCAATTGCTGTCGATATAGCGTGTAACATAGCAATTTTAACTAACAGATCAAATTTTTTTAAAACATACAGTAAATCAATCATTTTTATCAAAAACCCAAATTTAAGACGACAAAATTCATACTTTTATAATAGGCTTGTCCTTGTGAGGATTTATTCGCTCACAAAGATGTGTTCTATCCAAATATAACCCCGGATTTGATTACTTGTGTATTTTGGATCAAATTGCAATTGCTTTATTTCTATGATAATACAAAAAACCCACATTTTATCAAATTCTGATTACATTCAAAAAAGAAGGACGAATAGATAACAGCAAATTCTTAAAAGAAATGGGTTTTTTTAACATGAAAGTGAAAAAGATAGGCTACTGTACAATAATATATAAGGTAAAATTATATATGCTTAATGAGAATTATGATACGTGCTGCTAAGGTATGGCCATTGTAGTCAATATGCAGGCTTTATAGACCAGGTTTTAATAGCTGTTACAGACATGTTAACCTGTTTTACTTTTACATAAATCATAAATCTTGAAATATGATAACATAATACTGAAATCATGCCAGATTTGCTATGGAAATGCAGATTTATCTTCAAAATTGCCCTAAAATACTTAGGTGGTCTAAAGATGGTTACATTTCCAATCAATATAACGTTTTAGTTTATTATTTATCTGAATTCACAGTACATAGGCTAATATACCCTATTCAGTCGATATAAAAAATAACATATTGCATTATAGAAATGTCTCGAGATCAATACTTACCAATCATTCAATCATATATCCTATTGATTGATATTACTAAGCAATATTTAGTATAAAGACATTTCAGTATAATATAGGCCGATTTCTTGGCAATTCATTCAATTTTTTGTTCGATATATATCAAGGAATACTGCATTATATGCCTATATGTTATGTATTATGCATAATATCAAAACCTTATACACTTGGCGGATTTTTGAAGAGTTTATTTCCTTGACGAAATTTGAATTCATACGAATAACTATTGATTGGATTCAGAAAGCGTACAAAATAGAAAAGTGAGTTGGTACTACTGTTCTGGAAAACTTTCACACGACGCACGGCCCGCGTCTTATCGCAAATAGTTGCATTCATACTTACAAAACTTTACATAAATCTTCTTAATTTTTGAAACTATTAGTATTTGTTCAACCTAAGCGTAGAATACTGCCAGTGTTTCATCACAATTTGCTTGCTAGTTGTACACGACTTTTCGTTATATTTTACGACAATGACACACCTGAGTCCGATGTAAATATCTATTTTCAAATCTTTTGTTTGAACTTTTCTAGTCAAACTTAAAAACTATATTTTTTTCTTCTTCTATAATTAGTCGCGAATACGACACATTGTTTTAGTTGAATGTAAAATCTCACAAATACTCGGCAAGGTGTGGAGCTTTCATCAGGCTAATAGGTTTGATTCAACTGTGTAGTTCATCTGAAGTTACATGAATAACAAACCAATTTGAAACACTATCTTTCTCCTTTGGTTCCTTTCGAACGTGCCTTGGGCTCTTTTAAACCCTGCAGTAAATTCTGATCTGATAGCGAAAGGATATTATAATATCCTAAGCAACATTGAATGATATATCAAATATGATGCACAACGATTGCCCGAAGGGTTGCGTTTTTACTTAAGAGATATATATATATATAAGACATGCAACGTGTTTAAGTTAATTATTAATACACAACCTATCCATTTTTATTATTCAAAGGTAAACATTAAACACAGAAAGATACCGTTCTATGTTAGCATGAATTTTTTTTATGGAACCATCTCAAGTAGGAAAACTGATCTGTTTGTGCAGAACTATTACGATGTTGTAGAGAGTCGGTTTTGCATTATTAAAACACAATCTAATAAGGACGTGTGGAAACATTTTAATTATTCAAATCTTGCCTAAACAAAGGTGTAGCAAATACATAATACATAATGACATCGGAAATCTACTTGTGTCATAGATTTAAAGAGACTTTCTATTCTACTTTCTACTAATCTAGTTTGTACAGAGCCATATTCTGTTTTCTATAGCCAAATGCATTCACAGCGCATTCTCTAAAATCAAAAAGACAAGGGAAAAGTTACTGGGTGGGTTCGTCAGGATCTTGGAGTATGGATTAAATCTATACTCCTTGATCAGAATGCATTTCCTGAAAAGTGTCATAATGTGCATTATATTCATGTTTTTTAATATCGAAAACCACACGCCTTAGGCCATTTCAAAGATAAACAATCAATAATAATTCAAAATAAGTGAAAATCTGTCTTGTTTGACGTATATATTGATGAAGATTTTACCTCTGATTTAAGAAAAACCTTATCCATGCAATCTCTTTAGTGACTAGCTAGAATCTACCTGATTAGGACTCCGGTTGGATCTATCAAGATTGTACACAGGGTGAAGTCAGTTTAGATTGTATCTACGGTTGATTTGTACCTCAAGGATACAGACGCCGACAAAGATGGAAGAAACCTTACATCACTTCAAATGTCAATTATATCTCTGTTTGAGGGAATCCCTTATGAACCGTAATGTTATCTAAATCAACGCCCATTTCTACCTACATGGTAAAAATCCATTTATAAGTTTTCAGTTTTTCCATATTTTGGTGGAGATGATATTTCATGATCTTGAGCAGATGGTTTTTAACCTTGTCTTTGATAAGTAATTGCATGAATATCTTAACATGCCCTTTTCTCCTACTTATACATGTGATTAGAACGTATGCTAATTTATTACGTACCTGTTTGTTTGTTTGTTTTGATTGCTCATCCAGGATGTAAAAGTGGCCTTGTTTTTAATATTGCACCGTACTTTGTAAATTTGAATTATTAAGTTAAACATCTGATGCGTCGTTCGGTACAGTTTCGGGCTGAAAATCTTACGACTGGTTCACCTGCAATTGTCATATCGAGGATAATGAAGAGATTGTCAAATTATGTGTTTCATGGCATGCATATCATGAATTACGATAAGCTTTAAAGATAAAAAAAAATAACAAGTACAATCATGTCGACCAGATTGTATATTTTTGATGAAAACATGTTTTCTGTTTTGATCGTTCAAAAGCCATTTCTACAATTTAATGGACATTGCCCAGAACATAATATCTCTTTATTTCATTTTATGTCCTCTTTATAAAATGTTAAATTCATTAGAAATCATCTCATGTCATCTCATCAGAACGACTGTTTTTAATATTTGTCCTTTATTTGCTTTAGGGGTTCGAGCAAAGTTAACGAATTTATTGAACACGAACGAGAAGTCGACAATGAGTATATTCTACTATAATCGTTTTTCGGTTTCTTTGAGTAGTCTTCTTATTCTAATATTCTCATTTTCCTGCTTTTCAAGTGCTTTTTGGAACATTTACATTCGACTGCAGCGTTTACATAAGTGAGGAAATTCTGATTAAAGCCACCAGAAGAGATAATTACGAAATGAAATATCCAAAATACATTTTTAGAAGATTGATTACCCATACGGCTTTAACGACAGAGCAATTATTTTTCTACCTTAAAATTATATTTTTAGCAGATTGATGCTACGTTATTATTACGATTGAACACCAACCTTTGATCATGTTTTCAAAATGACAAGATATTTGTCTTTATTAGTGTAGTCGTGTAAGCTTGGGTCATAATTTCATCAGTTCCGTGCTATTTTAATTAATGACATGTAACCAGATATGAAATAATCAAGTTCGGCCTGTTTTCAGGTCCATTAATATGACAGGTAAATGAACTAAATTAGGTGACTCGGTTCTTTTTTGTATGATTTGATTTCCCGCCAACTAGGGTAAATGTCTGTT